CTCATGAAAGCTGTGTGAAATTCAGGCAAACTGGATGGGAGGATACCAATCGTGGCACTGGGAGTACGGCCAATATCACCCGGGGTGGCCACTTCTTCTGGAATCCCGCTAATCCCTAGGCCCTCTCTGGTCGCCATGAGGGTGAGTGGAGAGCCACTACGAGGAGGTCCTTGACTTGCAGGAGAAAACGGTGAACCTGGAGGATGTTGTCCGGGCGTGTGTCTAGGAGACGATGGCATGTACGAATTCCAGGCTGGAGGAGATTGGGCAAGAAATCCCCCCAGATTCTGTGCATTAGAGAGACGAGCTATAAACTGACGTTAGTAAATAGCAACACTAATTCCAGGCTTAAGGTCGTAAGATCGACCGACTTACAGCTCATCATTTGATTCTCCCTAACAATCATATACGCATCTTTGATCGCACTGGGCTCCTGCTTATTTAGAGCATCCTGGACATCATCTTCGGCGTACCCCATAGTTTTACCCAATTTCCCCACAACAGCTTCGTGAAGCTCGCCCTCAAGCTTTTCTGCAGGTCCCCTCTCGATAGCTCTCAAAGGCGGAAGCTTTGCATAGTCCACCCCAGTATCAAAAAATTCCTCCGGTGTTGGGCGCAAATAGTCTGGGAGATCCTTCTTAAACCATGGATCCTTACGGATCTCCTCGATATTAATTCGGTGAAGGGGATTCACAACCAGCATCTTCGAGATGAGATTCCGAGCTTCAGAGCCGAGGTAGTTGGGAAGTGTATAATTACCCTCTGCATTTCAAAAACACGTGAGCTTTCTCTAAACAATATCAAGGGGTAACCGGTTGCACCCGGAATGCTCGTGTCATAAGCGAACGAGGGAAGGTCATGAGTCTTGATTGAAAGTGGGGGCGTGGTTATTCAAGAATAAGGCAGTGTCAACTTACGACTAATCTTCTTAAATAGGGTTGGGATGTAATCATCGTCAAATGGCAACTTCCCACAGAGGAGTACGTAAAGAATCACCCCACTACTCCAAACATCTACCTCAGGGCCTGCATATAACTTTCCAGAAATAACCTCAGGTGCCGCATAATTCGGGGACCCACAAGAGGTCTTCAAGAAATTTCCATCCGTCATAATATTGCTCAGCCCAAAGTCTGCAATCTTGACATTCATGAATTCATCCAGGAGGAGATTCTCTGGTTTCAAGTCGCGATGAACGATTTTATGACGGTGGCAGTACTCGACTGCACAAATGATCTGTTGGAAAAATCGGCGTGCTTCCGTTTCGCCCATTTTTCCATGTTTAACGATGTAGTCAAACAATTCGCCGCCAGCATACTCGATGACCATGATGATTTCAGTAGCTGTGGTAATCACGGTATACCTAAATGTTTGATCAGTATTTGCTCCACCCCAGACCAATCGCTTAAACGATAATTCAATAGCTACGACTCCCGCCTAGAAACAGACCATCCCTGCCCGTTTCCGAGAAAAAGATGGAGTAGAATATAAGAGTATATGCGGGTACTTACAGTTTGATAATGTGAGGGTGTCTCAGAAGCTGCAGGTAGGCAATTTCTCGTTCCACCCTCCCGGCCATGTCACGATTGATTAATTTCTTTCTTGAAATAATCTTTAGGGCAACCTTCTGTCCCGAGACCTGGTGCACGGCAAGCTTAACCTTCCCGAATGAGCCCTCGCCCAGGGTCTTGATGATGTTATACTGTCCCAAGCGAGCCTCAGGGTCCCTTGCTTTGAGACGCAGGTCGGCCCGAGGGTCCATGCTTTGGCGGTGGTGGTGGCCATGACCGTGCGGCCGGTTCGACTGAGTTGAGGACTGGGAGTACTGTTGCTGACCTGGTTGTTGAGGACCGGGCGGAGAAGTACGATGGGAATTATATGACCCTTGTTGTCCCCGGAATGCCGGTATAGACAACTCGCCTTCGGTGTAGGGTTGCGGCATGGCGACTAAGTATTCGGATGCGAAAGATGGAAATGTAAAGTCTCAGGTTGGGGGAATCCGAGTTGTGAGGTCGGGGTTGCTGTGGGGGAGAGCTCCAAGTCCTGTCTGAAATGGGTGCGATAAGGTGATTACGAACGTCAAGCTGCACGCACCGACGTCACTGTTCAGAGCCTCTAAAATATTATAATCACCAATATACCTCCAGCTCCAATTTTGATCCTCTTCGCAATTATGCTTATTTGGATGTCCTACTTGATATCCCCTCCGGCAGAAAAATTCCCTCAATAACGACTCCACCTCTTCCTTTCCTTGATTCCCACGCCCAGAACGGGGCTTCGAAGTCGCAAAAACTCCCGGTCTCCTACACGAGCTTTCCACCTGCGAACGCAGAGGGAAGCAGCAGTTTAAATGTGGAAACAAGCCTCGTACGGAAGCAGCCGAGAAACCTCTAACCGGGGAAGGAGAAAAATCGTTCCGGACCTTTCCCCACGTTTCCACGTTTCCGCCGCAAGGGTGTGCGCAGCAGAGATGCAACGATACGATTGTGTAATCGTTCCCCACGCCCGTTGAAAGAAGATTCGGGAAGGTGAGATTTTCCCAAGGGTCAGGAAACGAAAAAGGGCAGGAGAAAAAACAAAAAAAGTGTCACCAAGGGGTTGGTGGGGATGAAACGGATGTGATTTCGTGGGGGTGGGAGGTTGTAACTTGTTAGTGTAGCTATGTAGTGAGTTTATCTTTCTTTTTGAAGTCTTAGAATTCTTTTGGCGCAGGTCGAAAAGAAATGGAGATGGCTAAGGAAAGGAGTCTACGAAGTAGTCTGGTTATTCTCTTTCTCTACACAAAGTGAGGGGAAATGGTGTGTTGGGGGAATGGCGGGCTTCCTGTAACACCTCTCACAAAAGTGGGCATCGTGAAATTTAAGGTGGTTGTGGCCGCGCCGGGCTGGAGCCAGCGAATAAGCCTTTGCAGTTGGCCAAAAGGAGTTCGGGTGTGGGGTCTTGGCTAGTAGAGTTGTAAACGTGGCTTGCCGCATGTAACTTCCGCTTGTTGACGAGCCTCATGATGTATCACTCGATAAAAGACACCTTCCGTGCGGTGGTGTGGTTACGAAGGATAGATGATATTAATATATTATCTGCAGATACCATCCGAGTCAGAGCCCTTTTTTATGTTAACCAAAACTCTCACAAGGCAAACCATCCAGTAAAGTTAACCTACTACATGTATCCTTCATCGGCCCATACCCGGTTACAGCTCATAATTGCAATTCACCCAATCTGTATCAAATCGCTTGATTGGAGGTTTGAGTTACATACATTGCAGCACACAAGATCAAAGTGGGCGTACGTACGAGGGTGTTGCTTTCCACCAGGGTTATCTTTTAAAGTTTGACGGCAGATTTTGTTATGCCGGCAAGATGGGGTATGATTTGACACATGAGATAGTCTTCTGTGGCTTCCTAGGACCCGGAGAAAGCCTCTCAGTACGACAGCACATGGCGTACTTATGTCCCTTAAGCGCTGTAATAACTGTTGAATGCGCTTTTAGGAACAGAAAAATAAAACGTGGTTTTGTTTGCGACATGAAATAATCTCTTCCCTTTTATGACGAGAATTTGAAGGATCCCTTTACGACTCCGGCGCATGTGTCATCACCTAGAAGACTTTATTTGCTGCCTGGATTTTTTTTTCTTTCCTTTTGGGCGGTATGATGGATGGATAAAGATACATGTGCCTTGTGCGCCGAGAATCAAAGAACACAGGCTGGGCACGAGACTACACGTACCTACTTCTGCGTGATACTCCTCCCCCTTGTGGACGTTAAGTCAGTTTTAGAACGTGTTCCCATAATAAGACATGACTACATGTACATGTATCTGCTGAGATCTGTTCTCTCCCTGAGATCCGATGAGGCTCTACATGTACTTCTGTCTTATCCCCAACTCGATACTTAACTTCGATATTCTACTTTGAATTGTACCACCAGAAACATCGATGTGAAAATTGGACACTTAATATCAAAGCCTCGAGAATTTGACAGAGAGCATCGACAACAAAGACTTTGATTAGTATTTTCCCATGCTTTAGTCAACTATAGTAGACTGTATCCATTTCAATAATAGAAACAGCCCAAAATGACCCACAGGTCGCGATCGAAGGAGTTCAACAAATTGTTGGGATGTTGGCACTTCCGGAAATGTGAAATGTGGATCACGTTAACACCAATATAGCTAGAGACCTGAGTTGTTTTCTTGGAATTGCCATCTCAAGAGGTCTCGATAATGGTCGATAATCGCTCGAGATCAGAGCAAGGATTTGGGACCCGACTCATGAAGTATCACTCGGGTGTTTCTTAGTCTTTAGGTTTGAAACACATGAAGCCCCAAAAAGGATATTTGCAAACGAAACTCTTTCTTTCCAGTAAATACTTGCCGCCCCCTTGCAAACTTTGTCGCAGCTCTGGGTTGAGGTTAAGGTGAGACTCCACTTCTATCCGAAGGTCGCTTATGGGAGTATGTCCGATGACTTGTTCCCGTTCCAAGCAATCTGTTTAGCTTCTTGGCCGTCTGCGTCAAGGGTGACGTCGTAGCCGAGAATTTAACAAAGGTTTACAAACAACACAAACAAAGCCAATATAAAAATTAAAAATATAAAAATCTACCAGGAATTAAAACTTCCCAGGCGCACCTCCAAAGAATTCCTCCTTGATTTCTTCTACGTTTTAGGACCGATCTATGATCCGTTTTACGGGAAATGATCAAATTGCAAAAAAAAAAAAAAAAAACTTACAACCCTTGAAGTTAAGGTTTGTTCTATAGGTGTTTTTTTCGGCTCCAGGATGACCCACTAGCCCACTAGCATGTGGGGAAAGCTCCTCCGATCAATGACATAGATCATACCTCATCATGACAGAGAAAAGATCCCCATATGAACTCGGTATATAGACCCTTTACCGTTCGCCTTTCTCGTTTTATAGCTCTTCACCAGAAACCATTTCGCACCTTTTCCTAAACCGCCTCAGATAATTCCTTCTAATTCAGAAATTTGAGAAATCAGCAATAATGCCCTCTGCAATAAAAATGATCCACATTATTCTCCGAACTTTACAGGTCTGCATTCCGATAATTCCATTTGTCCAGCAGGTTACTAAAAATCCAAATTAGTTCATATTCACGGTCCTGGTGCTCGCGCTTTCAGGTGCCTTGATACAGCAGCAAATGCGTGGCGGCACTCCAACTCGTGTGAACTACTCAATCTTTGTCGCCGCCTTTGCAGCAGTGACGCATTTATACCTCTTCCCGGCTACTGTAGTAGACCGTATCGCGAGTCCTCTCTTCATGACAATCCTCGATGCCCTCAACACCATTTTCTATCTGTGCGCCGGTATTGCCATGGCCGCACAACTCAATGGAAATTCCTGCAGCAGCTTCGTAAGTTTTCCCTTTAAGCACCTTTATGTATGATGCTGACAATGGATACAGCACTTTATCCATAATAATGGCATCACCAACGGTGGCGGATACGTTTCGCAGAGCCGGCGTTGCCGCGAGGCGAACGCCATGACGGCTTTCGAGTGGTTCGCCTTTGCGGCATTCTTGGGCAGTCTGTTGATTAATCTATGGAACCTGAAGAACCAGAACCACATCAGCCGCGGCAGGGTCAACATGAAGGGTGTCAGGCCCATGAGCCAGACTAGCCAGCCGGTGTGAAGTTTCTAGCTAATTGCTGTTGGTTGGAAGTGTTGATAATCCCCCTTACCAATCGTTGGGGATTTTTATATCAGGTGTGGCGAAATTAAGCTTTGAGTGACCCGTGGCTGCGATTTGATAGTGTATGAGTATATATAGGATATGAGATGGTGTGGAATGTATTATATGGCGGGTATGAAGCTTGTATGGTGTAGTGGTTGATGGGTGTGGTGTTTAATTGTTGGTTTTGTACTGTATCTTTTTGGAAAACATAATGTTAGCTCATTTATACGAGATACCTGGGAACACTCTTAGCAATTAGATACTAATTTATTAAGTGCATAAAGTTTTCTCCTTTACAAGAATGCTTTGATAAATGACTCCTGGAAAGTCTGGCCAGTTATCTCCTGTCATGTTCGGTGTCCTCTAAACCTCAGTTAGAATTCGTCACATGAGAAGCAACTTTCACTTCTGTAGAAATGAAGATTCCTATCATACATCCTCCATCCTGCAACCCACAAACTACAAACCTTTTCTACCTGCGAATCCTATTCGGGATCCATTCCCCAGGCATAAACCCCCCCGTTCTATTATCCGCATTTTTCCACGGATCCCTCTCCTTCACCACCCCACCCTTCCCTTCATCTCCGCCCTGAACACCACTCCCATGCGCCCTCCCAGCCGTACTCTCACCCTCGACAGTCTTCCTCTCCATGTTCTTCCCACCTAGATCCGAGCCCACCTCGCCCCGCCCCTGCGTCTGATCCTTCATCATCCCACTGTCGCCCGCAAACTTCGTATTACTCTCCAGCACGCTGTCCGCCGGCGGGTGTGGGCCAACATTGAGTAATGAGGGCTTTGCTGCCCAGCGGGCGTCAGCAAGTGCGGCATTGACTTTCAGCCGCTGGATGCGTACGATGTCGCCCTCGAGCTCGGCGATTGTGGGCGGGTCGGTGCGGGTTGCTCGCAGCCATTGATGCCATTGGGCTGTTCTTGTGTCAATTACAGGGACGAGGGAAGAAGCTGGAAGGAGGGGAGGGGTTACGGGTTAGTTTGTAGTCGACGTAGTCCCGCTGGTAGTCTTTGTATTTTACCATGCGTCGGGGACGCCCGCGGTTGAGCGTGTCGTTCATTTCCCAGTATGTGTTTCCGTCGAGGTCCATGCCTGTTTTTAAGGAGTTTGTATCAGCACTACTTCCTGTGCTTCTGTATCCACCTGATGGAGAAGTAGAACTGGAGGAGTAGGAGGAGGACCGATGAATGTCTGCCTGCGCCAGGGTAGACGGTAGGACTTGAAGGTGTACCATACGCGCTTTAGGATGTTTCCGGTTGTTGTCGCTGACATCTTGGGTTTTGTAGGGGTTTTCTATATTAATTAGGTGTTTTGTTAAGGATTGTGAAGCATCAATGATCGGAGTGCGTGGGGATTGGGTTGTGAGATGTTTGGGGGCTGTCATTTGTGAGGATTGACGTCGACGCCAAGACTTACTTGACGGGAGTTGACGCATGCAAGCTCCCCGCGATATGTTTCAATTAGTAGCACTCGTTTCAGTGAAACATCAATGTGAGAGAAATTCATCTCAATTTCAAATAAAAAGCCATAGGAGCTCTCATAGAGCAAGCTCCAACAACAATCATTGACTCCACTCTCCCAATTAATATACAGTAGAATCCGCACTGGTATAACACAAGTATACAATTCACCGCTCGCTCTATTTATTCCGGCCAACACCAACAACAGCAGTAAAAAAGAAAGAAAAATAGAAAAAGAAGATACAAGTAAGTAGAGTGTTTCGTCTAAGCTATCCTATAGTACCAAACCCTAGCATCTAATCCGACTTCTTACCGGGGATCTTTCCGATCTTTGGCTTTCCCTTCTTACCAATATCCCATCCCCAGCCTCTGAGCACCTTGACAACCCTTGGAGTAACGGCCGCAGTTAACGGGACTCGGATGAAGATGAAGGATTTGTGGATCGCATATGCGAGTGCCAGCTCCGTCCAGAGACCTATTCAGCAACACCCATTAGCTTCACTTAACTCAAAAGCACACCCAGAAAGGGGATAACATACTAGCACTCCTCTCGACCTCCCTCTCCGCACCCTCCACCTCCTCCCACCTCCCATGCACCTCCTCCCCCTCCGCAGTCACCTTCTCCGCCGCGGGAAACCCCACACTATGTCTCAGCATCGTCCAATACGGCTTCACGAACCCAACCGCCGCCTCCTCCCAGCGCCCGATCCGCTCGGTCCCCAGATACCTCACCGCCAGAAAACAGAATGGGAAATCGAGCGCAGACAATGCCAGGTACACACCGAGCGCCGAGTATCCGTACTCCTTCGAAAGCGCCTTGAGGCGCTGCGACAGCGACGGTGCCGGCGCAGCGGTAGTGTTGCTGCTGCTGTAGAATCGGACTTTCGGCACCGAGCGCCGGAGAAGGAGCGTTGGGTTCGGACGGGCGCTGGAGAGGATGGGCGAGCGAGCGCTCCGCATGAGCGGGTGGAACGACCGGTAGAGGACTGTTGAAGCCATTGTACAGTAGGACCAGGACCGAGGGTATTATTCCTTTGGTTTTTGATTTTGTTATGGGGAGCTCGTTCGGATGATAACTATGAGTCGATCGGCTCACAGCAGCTGGGCTTGTTTTTGTGGCCTGGGAGCGAATGATCTCCGATGACGACTGCGGGAATAAAAGAGCCGCAGCCTTTGCCTCTTTCTTGGCGTTCAGCTGTTCAGGGGGCTACTTGCACCGCCTCGCCGCCACAGGATTCTGGATTATGATAATTCTCACGGGCATCACAAATGAGTAAGGGGCATTGGGGCCGTATATTTCGTGGGTACCGTCCTTAGCTTTATATCTGGTTTATTTAAATGATCAATGGTTTAAGGTGGATTGGCTAAGGGCTTGCTGAGGGCTGGCGAGAAACAATAACCCAGGTTGATATAATTAAAACGAGCTAAACCTTTGAATTTAAAGATTTAGAGAGTAGTTTAGTGGATGCTGGATAAGAGAACCCATCACCTGGGATAATTTACGCAGCAGCAGCGTTTTTAAAAACGTTCGGAAAGAGCCGTAAGTGTAATCACGAGCGATCACTCGCTCTCTCTTCCTTTTAAAACAAGCTTTTCTGGTCATTCAATGGCTGTAACATCTAGTAACCAATTTTCTCCCCGTTCTCCAAACAAGCTATTACACTGGAATAACATAAAAAAGAATAAAGCAAAAGTACCTTCAAAGAGAATCTTGACAAGAGCAAGAGTTTTGAATGATATCCACCGGATGACTTCCATCACTTCCGCTCCTCCTCATAATTAAATTACCCTTCATTTAGTTCTTGGCCTATCCGCACGCATTAAAGAGGAAAATTCTCAACTTCCTCGACACTCTCGTGATCACTGCTATTGGTTTCCGTGAAATAGCCTGTGCTCAGCAAACTTCCACCACTACTGGTTTGACTATCCCACGTCTGCAATTGTTCTCTCGCCCCGTAGGCACTGACAACAGCTTCGTTATTGTCGATGTCGATCCCTTGTGTAGCTATATCCACTATTGTTTGTTTTCTGGGAAGAGGATTTAATACTAGAGCTCTCCCTGCGCCTGTATTCGCGTTGGGTATATCAATAGGACTTTCTAGTGTAGGCTTATGCCCCTCTTCCATAGGCAGCTGACCGTCAACGATCACAATCTCATCGTTAGAGTTCCCGTCCAGAGTACTGTCGTCGCCGATAGACGTCCCCCTACTAGAATCCACATATTCGCCGTCTCTACTTAGTTGCTGCTCTAGCTCAACGTCCATTTCTCCGAGGTCTGTAGAATCTCTGCTTGCTACCATAGGGTCACTGAAAGCCTTTACCCACATGCCTCCTATTCTCTCCCCCTTCCTTTCCTTTCTTATAACCGTACCGTCAGACATCTCAGGAGTGCTACTCTCCGAAGCCGATGCTGCCTCTAAAGAAGATCTGTCATCTTCAACTGCAGGATATAAATATCTTCTAATAGAAGACCTCCCAAAATCCCCTCTAGCTTGTGGGTCTACCTTATCAGCGCTGCCGTCAAATCTTACCAGCCGAGAGGGTTTTCCTTTCAAGCTGCTTCCCTCGCTATCTGCTTCTTCCGCTTGATTATCTTCACGGGTGCTACTATCACCATGATCAGCGAGATGTAATTCTCCTAAGGCATCTGGTCCATAACTATCTCCGGGTGATTTGAGGATCCCCTGAGGATTTCGTTTCACTGCACTACCCTGCGTCCCTGATGCACCACCGGTTACAGGAGCTCGGATAGATGATGGTGGCAATTCTCTTACTTCGTGAATACCAGAACCCTCGTCCTCACTAGTAATAGGGATTGTTGACAGTCGACTCATACGCTCGCGGATCAGTCTCTCACAAACCTCACTCACAAGATTGGGATCGGGTGTTCTATTACTACTGATAGTCCGGCTAGAGCGAGTCTTATTACTTTGTTTAGTAGTAGAAGAAGAAGCATGTAATGGAGTCCCTTCAAGATTGTCGTTATGCTCCACGCCCCAGCCAAATAAGCGCTGGAAAATCCCTGGCTTCCTAACAGGAACGGGCCCAATAGACCCCAAGAAGAAATCTGCACCATCCAAACCTTGTCTGGAAGCGAGACCTGATCTATTCGCGCTTTCAACACCATGTATAGATGCGAAACCTGACCTGCTCGTACTCTCAACACCATGCCTGGATCCAATGTCTGGTCTTTCTAGGCTCTCAAGGTTGGATGCACTCTCTGACATAGTATTGGGCCCGATATTTTGTCTCTCTAGGGTATTGGAACCGTTGGTGCCGGGGGGACCCCTCTCGGCGTGGTTGCTGTATTCTCACCACCCTCTATGGATGCCGTTACACCCGGATTTTCTGAAGCTCTAGACCCGCCTTCATAACGAACATGGTCGGAGGTTGGTAATGCGAGATCATTCATGTTAACTGTTCGAATCCAGATATATTGTCCTTTTCTTGACAAGGCACAAATGATAATGAGCGAGGGTATAGCCATCAATAGGCCTAGGCCAACTGCCTTTGCCAAAACCTTGTTGAAATTCTTGGAGGGTCTATAATGACTGATTGGGGGCAAAGCGGAAACCTTGCTGAGAGTGACTGCCTCAACACTGAAATCCTTGGTTGATTCCTCTAGAACGAGTGGCTCTTTAGACTCGAAAAATTCACCGGGCTCAAAAGATTCTTCAGACTTGGATAATTCCCCGGACTCATATAATTCTTCGAGTCCAAATGGTTCCTCGGATCTAAATAATTCTTCTGCCTCAAATAAATCTTCTTTGTACTCGGACAATTCTTCTTTGGAATCAAATAATTCTTCGAAATCGGAGAACTCTTCAAAATCAGGGAACTCCTCAAAGTTTGAAAACTGTTCAGGTTCTTCGTCCATCTCTGGTGGTGTTATAATTATCGGCGGGACAATATCTAAATTATCATCGCTTTCCGCGTAGGATTCCATAGTGTCATCCTGTAGTTTTGAATCAACACCCTGAGTAATTATCGCAGGGGATTTCTCCACGACCACACTTGGACTAGGAATGACGGAATAACTGTGTTTAAGCTGCCCAGTGTAGTTACTGTACGGGCCCGGAGGGGGTGAAACGGAAGGCGCTAATGTTTCGCTAGCTGATTGCAACATTTCAGCCTGGCGTATCGATTCGCGTGCCCTTTCCCAAGCTTTCCCAAGATTTTCTCTATGGAAGGCATTGACTTCCTCTCTCCAATTCCCATCGTCATATTCGGTATTATCACGGGTTGCAGACTCTGATCGAACCAAGTGGTTACTCATGATCCCAAGGATTGCTTCATCTTCATCCCAACCCACATCTTTGGTTATCCCTGAGGTTGAGTGGCCAGTCCTCTCAAGCAAAATTGGTTTATCCCCTTTCTCGCTACTGACCTGGGAGATGTCTGATATAAGTGCCCCTCCGGTTCGATGGTGAACGCTGTAACGGTTATCCGTGCTAGATAAGCCGGACTCCTCGTTCCAACGGGAATTCTGTCTCCGGGAAAGACGACAACCAGTGTCAACAAAATGTGGAACCAGGTGGTTATCTCTATCGAGTAGATAAACAGTTTTCCCATCAAAATAGTCTTTGCAGGGCAGTGGATTCGAAAGAACAGGCCATGTCCAAACGAAGAAAGAAAAAGCGGATATAAAGATAATTCGCAGAACATGACCGGCGAAGCAGGGGCCTGAGATCAACCTGGAGGTTTGGGACATTTCCCCTTCTTTGGAAAGGATAGTAAGCTACCGTCTTATCTTGTCAAACTGTCAGCTACTGCCTCATCTGTATCATCTGAAAAGGTATAATTACTGCGATTGTGATTGCAATACCGTTATTTCACAGAAGTCTGAACTTTACGAGTACGTAGATAGAATATGATGAGCAGAAATAGAACCTTAGTCACCTCTGATTGAATATTTAGGTATACGTATGCAGATGTAAAAATTAGCATGCTGCGTGTTTTCTTTTAACAGATGCAAGGTATCTGACAGTTTGTTACCCACAGATTAGGATCTCTTAGAGCCATAATAAGCAGACAGCGGCCCAGAATACTTCATATAGGCAGGTAGGTGGTGTACGTTTACTAACATAAAATACATTCTTATTCTGAATACCCGCACCTATTCAAACATGCTAGCTTCGCTGATTGCAAAAGAGAAAAAAGCTCGCAAAGCTAGCTAGTTCCCACACTGATTACATTCCAATACTGTCACAGTCGCCACAAAGGAGTGTTTCTTGCGAAACCCAATCTTAGTTAGGAGTCAGAGAAGAGCATACCCTTAACCTACTCTTCCGGCCCAGTCTCCCCTGATACCGCTCCTGTCGACGACCGCACATCGCCTTCCAAATCTTTGGACGTTTTGACGCCATTCACTGCTCCCTGAGCGGTCTCCCGTAGCAACGACGACCGCCCCCACCCAATTGCCCTCCAATAGCCCTGTTACTGACGCAGCATCTTCTCCAACGAGGGATTCGTCCATATATACCACCTCTGGTGCCAGATGTCGTATTAATGGCAGGAGCGCCCCATCAATCGTATACGGCAAAACATATTCTCGAGGATAGTCCGCCGGAAATATGTTTCCTATAACTTTGTACGCGTTTTCCGGTTTACCACCAGATTGTGGAGAGTGGACCAGGATAAAAACGTTTGTGGTTTTGAGATTGAGTGGGGTTGGTATATTCCAGAGAAGTCCTGGGGCGCCCTCTCGGACTACTACAACGACAGTTCTCTTGTTGCCTGAACCGGTAGGATTTGGCCGTTGCTTTGCTTGCGATTGGTCTAGTCCGTCTTCTTCACCCGCTCTAGTATGATCTGACAATTCTTGATCTTGCGGCACTGGGCCACTGGAGGAGGAAGCTGGGGAGGAGTTTTGTTGCCAGAAGTAGAGCCCCAAACCAACTACAGCAGCCGTAACAGAAATGCCAATTGGTACAAGTAAATTCCTTGATCTTCTGGGACGTGACATTGTTGAAATTGAGGATAAATGTGGAAGGCAATGGGATATTTGAAAATGATATTTGAATGTGTTGTCGGTCAAGCAGCGAGCTGAAGGTCAAACGAGCTGTCTGAGCCCATCCCCGATAACAAACGCGACGGGAGCTCGGTTCTCGGTTCACGTGCTTTGTGGCTTGATAATTACTAGCCTCAATAGACACCGCCACATCAGCACACCAAGAATTTTAGTGGTGGTTTAGAGTGACCACATATCCCCAAAGTTGAAACCTCCTTTTACGATAGATCACGAATATCTCGGATCAGGCATAAGGATTCACCAATTTCACCCGCAACTCGTCTCGCTATTTAATTCAAATATGCAACCCTCAACAAGTATACCGTCATTGCTCGTATTGGCCGTTTCACTCTTCTCAGTTGTCGGATCAGCTCTCAAGTTCGACATCGCCGCCGAGCCTAGAGGTCATCGACAAAGATGTATCAGGAATTTTGTCGCAAAGGACACACTGGTAGTTGTGACGGCGACTGTAAGCGGACACAAGGGTGACGGGCAGCAAGTCAACATTCACGTATGTTTTACTACCTACCGACTGATTAATTGGTGGTCGCGAAAGCTAATCCTCGGGGGTGGTTAGATCAGAGATGCAGTTGGGAACGAGTACGGACGTCCCAAAGATGTTGTCGGCGAAGCTAGAATGGCATTCACTTCCCATGCCAATGCTGCCTTCGATGTATGCTTTGAGAACAACCTCGATGATGGTATATTCCTGCTCCTTCAGCTAGTAGTCCTACGTATCATGTGAGCTAATAATACTTTGAACCACCAGGCCGCCCATATGGCCCAACCCGTTCGGTTGAGCTTGATGTTGATATTGGCGCTGATGCGCGTGACTGGTCTGCCATTCAAGCTGCCGAGAAACTCAAGCCTGTCGAAATTGAGTTGCGACGCATTGAGGAGGTTGTTTCAGAGGTTGTCGGTCAAATGGAGTACCTGCGAACGCGCGAGCAGAAACTGCGCGATACGAACGAGTCGACAAATGAGCGTGTGAAGTGGTTTGCCTTCTCTATCATGGCTACACTTGTTGGACTTGGAGCTTGGCAAGTTGTTTATCTGAGGGCTTATTTCAGGTCAGTTCATCGTCACTCCAAAAAAATGACACCAAAGCGCTAATACTTATTCCTAAAACAGATCCAAGCATCTCATCTAGATACACCATATCATTGTTTCTATCATTATACAGCCCCTTGTGTCTTTCTTTCTGCAGTTTTAATCCCTCTGCAATCCTTTTGCCAAATACTTAGCCGGTTACGTGTGTGTCGTTAATTTCGATATCTTATCTTGTTTTGTTTTTCCTACTCAGATATCGTTTCTGGTCTGTCCCTTCATACCTTCATGAACGCCCTGAAACGATATATCATGTGATATGTGGTGTCCATAAGGACAAAAAAAGGTCATGAAAAACTACTTTAGCGTCCTAGGTTAGGACTTGATGCACTGTGGATTTAGGCTTTGGCTCGTGATGCAGAATAGACTTCTATGACGATTTCTCGGGTTCCCCCCTTAGTAGGGAGGTTTGTTGGGAGGTTTCTCTTGAAGATAAATGTTAGTAATGTTGACATAATCTGGGGAAATGATTGGATGCTATCGATTTTCAAAGAAGGTTGCCCCTCATAGTTACGGTATTAAAGTAATACAAATCTTTATGGGTGGAATTATCACCCGATTTCCCCGACCATCTCGTATAAAGGCCGTTAGATTACGGGTGCCCTCAAAGTCTTTCATCACACTCAGGTTGGTCAACGTATCCAAAGAAAAATTCAAATTTATGCAGCCAAGAGACTCCGGGATAATGGGGTACAATAAGAAAAAGTACGGACAGAATAGCGGCAGCATCAATCGGCAAATAACGGGTGAAGTTCATATTCAAAATACCCCTCTAGATGTCGACAGTATTGCCGCGGTACCTACATATATATGCATGTAGCTTTTGTATAATTATTGGATGAAATAAGGCAAGAAACCCCCAAGTACTATAGCCGCTTAGTGCGACTGTAATTTTGATAAATATGGTAGGTAGAGGGATTTTTTTTTGCCCTCAATTTAAGCTCTTTAGCTGGATATTTCCAGAAATAAATCTGTCATCCGCAGAAATATACGGAGGTTATGTTTTCATAGCTGCAGGAATTTGTCTTAGATTTCACTAACCCGGTTATAGGCACAGAATGACCCTAGGTCCGTTATACATATCAGAATGTTTAGCTGCACGAGTTGGACCGAATAGGAAGTAATCATGTAGTCAATAATTTCTGCAGGAATGCAGGAACTTTTGTGGAAGTACTTAGTGCCCGACTTCCTGCCAAACTCGTGCTCTATCCAGAGTTTATTCTTTAATTCGGTATTTACCGTTTAACTCTGCAACACTACATCTAGTACTGCGGTAATTCTATACTGTTTTTTTGTTCTAATGGTGTAAGAATAACGAAAGAACGAACATTCCTATCGTAAATAGTTTCAAATAGTAGATTAGTTAATTTCTTGGCTTTGACCGGTGTTTGCTTCGGCATTTTCTTCGGCATATATGCCATGTTAATGTACGCCCAGAGTTCAAGTATGTGCTCATTTTAAAGGTTATTGCTGAAACCTGGGAGAGGCACGAATTATGATAGAGTGCATTTATCGAACGATTGTTGGGTACGTATACCTACTCCCAACCGTCCCGGATATCTCCATCTCGCTTGTATGTTAGTATTTCTCAAATATAACAATCGTAGTTTTTACCCGTTCTACAGAACTTGTAGTGCGTAGTCCACCATTTCAACCTCAAATTCACCCGGCATTCCCCGGAACCTCTAATTAATTTGGCGGTAACAAACACCCCAAAACCATAGTTTGTAGTGGGGTCCCCGATTCCTTGGTAGCCTGGTAGTAATCGGATCATCTACAATTCCTCCCTCTTTCTAGGAAGTGATTAACGTTACGATCGGCTTAGTGACCGACTAAACTGCTGGTTGTGGAGTTCATGCTTGTTATTTGCAAACTTTGCTGAGAAAATGCCTTCCTATTCGAGATAAACTCACAGTCCGGGGAAAGTAGGGTTGTGTGTTGGTTTGCATGGGGTCGAGTGACACCCCATGATCCCACGTTTTTGCCAGCATGTTTAACGTTGCGACCTATCAAGTCCCAAGACCCCGCTTTCCACATATGGTAGATCAGTCTAGAGTTATGCATAAATTTGATCAGTAACCTACTTGGCCTAAGCAGACAGTAGACCAGGTTTGGACGGGGCAGTCTCCGTCAGGTCACGATCTCGGATCCATAACGGTGGTTTCTCCAAGGAGGCTTTTTTTTCCTTTGGCGTTTTTTCAAGACACCTTTGCCCGATATTTCCCCGTACCAACATCTCTGGGCGGTGAGAAAGTGCAGTCAAAAAATCTCGGCGAGAAGTCCTCTCTATCTCTGGTGGGATGGTGCTGTGGCTTTATGTACTTGGCGAGTTAAGAGTTTCGGGTACCCCACATACCAAGACCGCAGGCGCCTCGGTGTGCCCAAGTCGACCCTTTCGCCCGTACTCTAGGCGCAATAAACCTCGCCAAGATGTATATTCTGTAGACCGATGGCACAGAGGAGTTTTTCTCATGTGTCTAGGTATTCGGTTTCTTTCGGGCGACATTTGGGGCCTTAGCAGGCCTAGAGATGCTGATCATGATATTGTCAGTGGTTTTGTGAGCTTTACAGCATACAGCATATTGTAAATTAACTCTCACCTACAAAAAGATATTTTGATTGAAGAGGTGGGTGGCCAGAGTCTGGAGTCTTGGTGTTGAACGCGATATGCACCTCGGCAACGGCGCACTCTCCGCCAACACAAGCCTCTCTCACATAACAAAGCATTTCGTTTGCTTAGGGTTGACAATTGATTTTTTTTTAAAAAAAAACCTGCTATTCCAAAGTGAGCAAGTATCTACACCTCCCTAACATATGCATAAGCTTAAAATCAACCTCACCCAAAGTACTCGGGGCTACCAAGGCTGAAACTGCAGCTGGACCATCCTGAATCCTGAGAAATCACAACCGCCCCCGCACGGAAAAACATAACGAACCATCATCACAAGATTATGTACGCATTCCTGCCTTCTTTTTTAGAGTATCGTGCATGGAAAATGGCCGTACTGATACCAAGATTGGAAGTTCGTAGTGATAGCTATCCGATTAGAGATTAAGTTTAAAGATGGGCATGGGTGCGCGACGTCTTACATACATGTAGTTGTAGTTACCGTGTTATCGTGACAAGTAAGAGGTGAGAAAACAACAAACCTTGGTTACCGTACATACTCTCGATGAACTAAAGGATCATTTGCTTGGCTTCCAGAACAAGTGCGGGGATATCAAAAATCCAAGGCAGAGGATCTTCACATTTCATTTTAATGGTTAAGGTCAAATGATAATATTAATATCTCAACTATCACGAAATGTGGTACCAACCATTAAGATAACCTCGACATCAGCGGAACAAGGAATTATATCCCTCGTGGGTTATTCGTTACAGCCGGATAAAACTTGTGGTGAGTATAATCTATGAAAGAGAGATACCTGAGGATTCAGAGGGGAGGCTTATCTGTGTCTAGGTTTTCTGATCAATGAAGAACTGAAGGTTTCCGGCTGGTCTGCATAGTTCCGGAGGGTTTACATATTCGGAGCCTGTCCCGAAGCTGGGCGTACATTTAAGCAAGTAAGCGACCAAAAGTAGTGCAGCAACTAAAAAACGGAAGCGTGCCCCAGAATTGGGAACTTATGCTCCTTGGCTACGATCTCGCCTTATTTTTTCATGGGTGGATATGTAGTTCCACTGCAGGCAAGAGTACATCCTCCTATTGCACCCTGCAACACCACGAATGGGATGCGGGGAATAATATCGCCTGAGCTCCATGACATCGGAGAAACGTTTTACGCATGAGGAATTGAAAGTTGTGTGGAGGAGCGCAATTTTCAGGGGTTCGAGTAGTCTCATAGTTCTGTCATAGTTTAGACAGCTTGGGTAAGTGTTCTACATGGCCAAAATCAATAAGAAGGTTCATATGATCTCATATCACTAGCAACAGGTCATTACAAAAGCCCGCGGATTCCCACCCGCTCATACTCCTCATCCCATCTCACATCACCGAGTAAAACCGAGTGAGACATCAAAAAGATCACCAATCATGGCTGAACCTTCAAGAATGTCGAGAATTTGGAAGCACATCAAAGAAATCTTCACCACAGGTGAAGGTCACTACATCAACGAACATGGAGAGACTGTTTATGGCAAGCTTCCTAGGACGAAGGTCGAAAATCCTATTAGGACTGTATGCCGACCAACGGCTATGAACTATCTCTTTTTCTTTGTTGGTTGGGTAAGTGACACTACTCCCCCCATATAAACATGACAAAGTCTGATAGTTTATAGATGGCATGGACTATGGACGGATATGATTTCCATACAGTCTCACTCTCGCTCTCCAGGTTGGCAGTATATTACGATCAACACAGAGAGCACATAGCAACGTCGATCACATTGACTCTGCTATTCCGTTCTGTTGGTGCTGCGATTTTTGGAATTGCTGGTGATCTCTACGGGCGTAAATGGCCGATGATCATCAACTTGGTTATTATTGCTGCCTTGCAGCTGGCCACCGCGTTCTGTGGGACATTTTCAGAGTTCTTGGGAGTCCGTGCCCTCTTTGGTATTGGGATGGGTGGTATCTGGGGTCTTGCAGCCTCTATGGGTCTTGAAAGTATGCTTCTATTATCTATGAAGGTTCTTACGGTTTTTCTTCTTTTTTTTTTTACTGACGACCATTACTAGATATGCCCATGGAAGCCAGAGGGCTTTTCTCAGGAATCTTGCAGCAAGGTTATGCCCTTGGTTACTTGATTGCGGCGGTCTTCAACCTATACATCGTCCCCGGCTCCCCGCACAGCTGGAAAGTGCTATTCTACATTGGCGCTGGTCTCACGATGGCTGTCGCCATTGCCCGTGTCTTCTTCCCTGAATCTAGACAGTTCATTGAAGCAAAGGCAAACCGTGAAGGGCCGCAAGGAAAGGAGAAGGTTAAGCTCTTCTTGGCAGATGGAAAAAAGATCATGAGGGAATACTGGAAGAGAGCTCTTTATGCTATTGTCATGATGGGTATGAGCGCAATATACCTCCATATTGAGGAGTTCAAGGACTAACTGGAATCCTTTCCATAGCACTCTTCAACTGTATGTCTCACACTTCGCAGGATATGTACCCAACCTACATGCAACAGACCAAGGGATTCTCACCTGAGATGTCATCCAAGGCAACCATCATTGGTAAAACCGGTGCTCTCGTTGGTGGAACTGTAAGGCTCTTTTCACGCCCCGGAATAAACTTATAGCTAACTAATTTTTCAGATCTGTGGTTACTACTCCCAATTCCTCGGCCGTCGTTTTACCATTATGATTGCCACCTTCATCGGGGCTTGCCTAATCCCCTCTGGGTACTCCCCAATGACTGGCGCCTCCTCACTCTCGGCGCCTTCCTTATCCAATTCATGGTTCAGGGCGCCTGGGGTGTCGTCCCTATCCATCTCCAGGAGCTTGCGCCCCCACAGTTCCGTTCGTCCTTCCCCGGTATCGCCTACCAGCTAGGGAACATGATTGCTGCGCCTGCCGCCCAGGTTGCGTCCGCCATCTCCGAGAAGTTGATCATCTACATCCACGGCGAGGAGCGCCCTGACTACGGCAGCACCCAGGCGGCTATGATGTCGGTCATCTTCGTGCTCCTGTTCATCTGGATTGCATGCGGGACTGAGCAGCGCGGAAGTCACTTCGAGCTTGCTGCAGCTGCGGGTGAAGACCAGGGTCTCAGTAACAAGATGAGGGCGGCGGAGGAGGTGGAGATGGCGGCGAAGGCGGGAGGGGCCGGACATGTGGAGACTGTTCCCGACCTGGGTGATGGCCGGAAGAACTAAGATCTACTTAGACAGCGATCTTTGAATATAATGATATCGGTCTTTAGTACTTATTTTAAAAGTTTCGAGATGAATGTATGTACCTGGGAAGCCTGTGTTTAATTAAAGGCCATGAAATTAAAAGAATTCCATTTATTAAGATGGCCGTTGGCTGTAGAATCAAACTATCTTGAAGTTTTAACCTTGGCTTTTAGCAATACTCAAGACAGACCTGAGAGGAGAAATGCCCTTGGATTCAAGCTAGTGAGGCTACACGTACATACTTACAACACCCATTCACTTGCGCGCGCGGGGAAGCCCAAATAAATGTGGCAAGCAGCTAGGATCGAGGGCCAGGTGATTATTGCTTGATCTTCCACATAGGGAAACCTAAGTACTACCTAGCAGAGAACATCCTTAGACGCTAGTCCATATGGCCATGTCCATAGCTAACCCCAAAACTGTTGCCAAGAGGATCCGATCTGATAAGATTTTAAGGGTATATATTGATAACTTCTGAGTAAATTAAATTAAACACTGCAAGGCTTAAGCCTGACGAGGCCGAGATATATGGCTATTGCCAATATTCCCAAATCGCGCCATTCAACGGGTAACGATCATTGACACGGCAGTCTAGCTAGCTAGAGTACATAGCTAGGCTATATAGGAAATCGAGTTCGCACTCCGGCCACATAAAGTAAGTTTATACCCCGTATATATATACCCCCATAACTAACTACCTACCCCATAGCTACCCCGGGCGGGCTAGCTGCCTTGATATATGTACTCGTAGGTTTTTTGGCGTTTCCGGACTGGACTGGGGGTGTAAATCGTGCTTGACAACCATATTTTGGTGGTATGCAGGCAGACCCAGTTCAGTCCGGAAACGCCAAAAAAACTACGAGTAGAGTAGGTACATAGCTCAATTGCACTGAACACATTTAAAGCAAGCCGTATGTACGTTGTCCAACCAAGCTTTGCCAATGCCCATTGCATGCCCAGGCCGAACACACTTGGCGCAGGGCTGGGCTGGGCTGGGCACCACGTTGCATTGATCAATGGGATCGTGTGCAGTGCATTGAAGCAACAGATATTCCCACGGGCCTGGGTTGGTGTGTCTTGGAGTACTTGGCGGGCTTGTACTGTATTGATCATGTTGTGCCGGGGGGGAGGCTGGGCACGGTTATGATCTGTGGGGGGGGGGGGGGGGTTCAAAAGTGATCATTGGTATCCGGCCACAGATCGGAGGACCTCTAGCTGCTGGGATGGATGGAAGGCTACTCTAGCTATCGGGTATGTATATTCCCACTATTTTTATGGTTATTTTTTCTTGGCGGTGCGGATTAATGGTGAGAGTAATATTCACTATTTTTTTCAGATACCTACTCTACAATGCTGGCTGGAATTGGAGTTGGGGCCTGTAATAAGGTATGCAGAAATATTCATGAGGGAAATGATCTATAGCCCGTGCTTTTTTTCTACGAATGGGGGGTTTAAGGAAATTGCACAATGTTAAAGGGACGCAAAAAAAACTGTTAGCCACACCTCCCCAACAAAGAAAAGAAAAAGAAAAAGCCAATTCCCTCCAATCCAGCCAATGTACCCACCCCATCTACAACACCGACTGTACCCCCTCCCCCGTCTTCCCCTCGCCCTTCCCCTCCGCCGCCGCCTCCTCCACCCACCGATTCACCGCCTTACTCAACTCCCTCACCATCTCGGGCGTACACTCATGCCCCACACCCTCACACACCACATCCCTCCACTCCCCCCTCCACTCCCCCCTCTCCCTCGCCGCCCTTACCTCCCCCAAAACCCCTCCGCGCACGCCACCGGCACCAACCGATCCGCCCCGCCACTCAACGTCAGCACCTTCTTCCCCTGCAGCAGCCCCCTCCTCACAATCTGCTCCACCCCAGCGCCGCCGGATCAACACCCTTCACCACGTCCACGAGGTCCTCCGGGAACTCGCGCGCGGCGCCCGTCACGCCCCCCGCGATGCCTGAGCGCGCCGCGCGGTGCGCCATGAGTGTGAGGAAGTCCGGGCAGCCGATGACGACGACGCCGGCGGTGATGCGCGGCTCGTGTAGTAGTGAGAGGTAGGCGGCGTGGCCGCCGAGGGAGACGCCGGCGACCAGGTGCTGGGTGAGTGTGTGGGCTGAGTGGCGCCGCGGGAAGAGGTAGGTGGGGAGATAGGTGATGAGCTGTGAGAGGTCGAGGGAGGTGCCGTGGTAGATGCTGAACATGTCGGCGGCGTGTGTGGGGTTTGAGGAGCGCCAGTCTTGGTTGGCGAGGTTCTTGACCTGCCGTTTGTATAGATAGAGATTTTATGAGTATACGTATGCCATATTATATATCACGTAGAAGTAGAGTAGACTAGAATTGTAGAAAGAGAATTGTAGAAGGAGAAGAAGAAGAAGAAAGCAGTACCTCCCGCTCCCCATGGTTCCTCTGATCAAACGCCACACAGATCAGCCCCCTCCCCACCATCGTCCCCTGCGCCTGCTTCTGGTAAAAGTCCGCCAGCACCGTCTTCGCAATCCCCGCCATGTACATGTGATCACACAGCCGCGGGTTCAGCAGATGCAGCGCCGACACCTCAATGGCATTATCCATCTTGCCGCTCTGCGGCAGCTGCGAGAGCCCGTAGACGTGGGCATTGATACCGGCGATTGTGAATGTGTCGATGCTGACGTCGAGGGAGAGAGCGGCGGGGCTGCCGGACGGTTGGCGTATCATCTTTTCGTGGTGGGGCGGTGGTGGGGTTTATATATGGGTATGTCGGTGGGGTGTGTAGGCTGGGTGAGAGGTGATGTTGTAGTTTTAAGAGGTGGTGGTTGGGATGGAGGTTTAGTAATTGTTACTTTCCGGGGGGTAATGATCAAGTAGACGGAAGGCGTGCGTGCCGCGGTTAATCACAGGATGTCACTCGGCTGGCTTTTTTGCGGGGGGATCTGCGGCCGGTGCCGGGGTTCCGGTGCTAGTGAGGGAGAGACCACGTGCGGCGAGTTGCTTGCTGCATGTGCGAGTAAGAGTACATAAGAGTAGGAGTAAGAGTAAGCACATGTCGCAGAGTTTGGGCGTTGGAATGGCCAGGATGTCGAGGCTGGGAGTATGGATTGAGTTGGATATATCGTTCGATCATGAGGAAGTGAATCCCAAACACCAGCTGGAACCCACACTCACCCGCAGACCGATATCCACAACCTCCCCTCGACCTGCAAGCCCATTGAATTCACCCAAGAAGAAACATCATCCACCCAGCAAAGATATGCCCCTATCCATCCTGCCCAAAACACCGGTCCTCAAAAGCCGCCCATGCCACCCACACTACACAGCTCCCGACAAACCTAAATCCACTCAAGCTCCCACAACAGCGCCCCCCCCCCCCACCCCCCCCACCCCCCATGCCACACACCCTCATTAGCGTAACGTTCCCCCCATCCCGGTGAGCATCACTCTCACACCTCATGGCCGGGGGCTCATCATGTAAGTTACATGTACATGCAGTAGATCACTGTGCCGCATGCTAGCTAGCTCGACCTTAGTGACATTCCTGTTCCTCTCCCCCATCTCTTTCTTTCTTCCTTCTACCAAAGCAAAGCCACACCAAAAAAAGGTGCCCGTACTCTCCCCACCATTAAAAGCTTCTTCCATCCATCCCCTCTATAATATCCCCAAAACACCCCCGGCACCACGAACGGGCTCCGCAAAATCGATATACAGCCCACATAGCATGGCCGACGAGTGGCGAAATTAACTCGAGCTTTAATTATATAAACCTGCCTAGGCTAGGAAAATCTATCAAACCGCAAAGCAAAGCAAAGTATTGAAAAAAGTTTTATTCTTTATGGGGGGATGATGATCTTAGGTCCCAATCAATCAATTAGAAGCTAAACGAAAGGCCTTTTTATCTGCAGTCGACTCGGGGTGTGCTTAAATTCTATGTGCACGTCGAGCATCGATCTCGAGTCGATTTTCTATAAAATTAAATCGCTCGGGAAAGGCTCAAGTCGTGACTGACTCAAGTCGTGACTGACTCGAGTGACTGACTCAAGTCGTGACTGACTCCAGCTCCTGCTCGAGTACCATGCCCGAGAATATGTACAGTATCCGGTAGAATTATTGCAAAAGTCAGAGCTAAAGGAGTGGATTTGTTGGTCTGTGCTCGCAGCAAAAAACCTTTTAAGGGCCAATAGGACTATCGGGTCACGGAGAACCCACTTTCGCAATAATTTTACCAGATACTGTATGTACGAACCCAAGCGGGCTCGACCCGCCGACTACACACACTATTCCCGCACAAACAGGTCTGCCCCCCAACATTCCTGACTCCTGTGCTAACTTGTTGCTAGAACTCCGGGCCACCTGCGATATCTACACCCCACGCCCAAACAACGTTCTTCGAAGCCCAGGCTGCACAGGGAAGTTATTCATGACGAACCAACCAGATATATATAGATAACACCCCACGAACGCCACCCGCCATTGGGAATCGTGAGCCCCACCGCCACAGCAGCTAGCCGGCCAGCCAGTTCTGAATTTCCAAAGATTTTTTTTACCCCGTTCCACGGGGAGGATCCAAAAGCCAGCTCGGGGAAGTGGAGAAGGTATAGCCCTTTTTTTTCTCCGCCTCAAGCAAGCTCAGCCACCGGAGCCCGACCAATAAACCTACAATCTCCGCGGTCCTCAATTGCATGACTGACCACAGCATGACATTTCAACATTCAACATTCAACATTCAACAGCAACACCAGAACACAACCATAGCCGGATATCATCGGAACACAATCATTTTAAAGAACCTCAGTATTTTGAAGACACTAAAAGCAAAACAGGAAGGAGAAAGAAAGAAAGAAAAAAACAAGTAGTAAGTCAACATAAACCTCCCAGCTAAAACTATTCTCTTCGAATTCCCATTTCCATATCCATGTCCATTCACCCCCCTCCAGTTCCATTCCCGTTACCCTTTGTAACACCAATTTCAAAAAATCAAGACTCTTCCCATATACATTCATAAAGGAAAAAAATGAAAGAATAATACCAAATACTGACTCCGTCCCCCTTCTCCTCCGCCTCGTTCCAGAACCATATAATCATATTCCATATTCCATATACCGAGCCGTTAGTCCATTTCGTTTAGTCCACATATCCACCTGTATCAACGTCCCTGTGATTGTTAGGGCCGCGAATACAGGAAGGAGAGAATATTGGAAATCGTAAGAATCGTAAGAAGGGAAAACCCAAATACACCAGTCACCTAGACAAAAGAAAAAGTCCAATAAATAGGATAGAGCAGCCATAAACGTAGGCCACAGTGAGTTTTGTGGATGGGGTTACAATAAGAAAAATAAAGGAAAGATAAAAAACCAGAGCCACCTAAAAGAAGTAGAAAAGCAAAAATAAAACATTTAATAGAAAGGTCTCAACTCAAAGGTCCACAGGGGCAGTCGCAACCAAGGCCGCAAACACGCCAACACCCCCAACAATAGCGCCGACCAGAGCAGTTGCAGCAAATTTCGCAATTTGGCGACCGCTACTAGTTGTCTTTGCCCTCTTCCTAGGAGGCTCGGCATCAACTTCACCTCCCGCTCCTGCCATTTTAATATCGGCCGCAGAGACCTGCACTGCGGTATTCGCTGTTACGGTAGGAGCTTTCTTCGATGGATCACCGCTCTCCGTAGGGTTAGTAGGTGACATGAGTGTCTTCTTCCATCCCTCTTCTTTGTTCTCCTCCTGGTGCTCAAGATCATCATCGGTCTCATCAAGGTTACGAGTACCGGTGTTGCCGCCGGCAAGAAAACCCATCTCTTGCAGCTCCTCATGGCCATGCTAGAGATATCTTCATGCTTACGCTTCGATCCCGCTGCCGGAGAAGTAGGGTTAAGAAGATCAGCCATAGAATTCTCTTTCCTGATTTGAGGAGATGAAATATTTGCTGTGTTTTGGGGTGTAAGCTGTTCGGGACTTTGATGAAGCGTCCTAAAGGGGGCTCGGGCAGGGTAAAAGGTACCAGTCACTGCCGGCTGAGGCCTTGGGGTGACAGTATTCTCGTTTACAAGATTGCTTATAGAGAATCCACGAGATTTGGTAAAATCTCCCTTGCCAGCCTCGGATGCACTTGTCCTTCCAAAACCCGAATTATCGGAAGACGTGACAGAAGACGAAGCAATATTGAACGCCTTTTGAAATATGGCCGGAGCTTGTGTGTGTGAACCTCCATACTCGCTCAAATCTGTGCGAATATCATCATCCTGCTGTTCCTCTTCAAACTCGGACTCCATGTCATCATCGTATTCCTCATCAAATTCATCCTCAATGTTTGCATCGTCCAAATCATCTTCAGCCCCAGTTTCCGGGTCTTGCTCCATGTTGTCTTCCTCTTCATCATACTCCCCATCTTGGTCGTTCACAACCTCTTCATCATCCCAGCGCACTTCAGAGTTTTCTTCATTGTCGAAAGCCACTTCGCACTGTGGCCACCAATTTGGAAATCTGGTTTCAAAGGCCTCTTTGTTTTTCTCAACAATTGGCGCAGCGTCTTCTGAGAGCTTCTTTGCCTGAGAAGTTATGGTTGCCGGTGGAGATGGCATGGCCTCATCGGCCATACCCTTCATTGGATTGTATTTATCAGAATCCGAAGTTACCGGGAACAAACATGCCGCTTCCTCTGGTGTTTCATTGCTCTTTGAACCATGTACCCATGGAACACCATCAACAATGTATGGCTGTGCAGGTGACTTCGACCCCGAACGAAGGGTTTGGGAATAGACAGCATGCATCTCATTTGAAATTCGTGTATCTCTTATCCGAGTACCGTTGACTTCTCTTGCTTCAAAATACTCCTTCTTGCGTTCCATGTTACAAAGTGCCATTTCGGGGAAAAGAGGGAAGGGCCCCTGGGTTGGTGTCTTGTCCCCTAGCCAATGAATATGGGAAGCCCCGGAAGGAGTCTTTTTAATTATAGTTTCAGTGTGGAGTTTTGATAGCGGTGGGAGTTTAGCTATTGAGGGCGGTGTAGGTGCCTGCATTGCAGCAGCGGCGGCGGCAGCATGAGTTAACTCATCAATAGGCGATCGGAAGCTCGGTTTCGAGGGAATTGGTGCCAGAAGCGGATCGAGAGGGGCAGCCGAAGTCTTACAAGCTGTCGCAATAGTTGGGGGGGTCATAGGCCTCGGTTCTACATGAGATCGTGCGTCGATACCTGCATAAAAGTTGGGCCAAAGATAAGACTCTCTCTTTTTTACTTCGCCTTCACCGTTATCGTTTTCTTCGCCTTCCTCCTCATCTTCCTCTTCCTCCTCCTCCTCCTCCTCATCTTCTTCCTCCTCCTCCTCCTCATCTCTCTCTTCCTCTTCCTCAGAAGACATCTGCTCATCTTCATCATCTTCATCCTCATCCTGTTCAGCACCATCTTTAGTATCGATAAGGTGCAATTCATCTTCCTCATAAAACATCTCTACATCATCTTCGATGATAATAGGTTTCTTAGATTTTGATTCAGATGAAACCTTAGCCTTGGCTGAGGCTAGAAATGTCTCCTTCGGAATAACTTCGACTTCAACGTCATAAAGCGTCAGATCATAGGGATTCAAATATTCAGAAAAACATTTGCTGGTGCTCTTCTTACCAGAATTTTCGTCCTTTTCGCCCTGGTAATGAGCATTAGAGTCCGCAGTTTTGTTCATTAAACTTCCAATTGAAACCCTTTGGCCGGTAGTTGTTCGCATTCCAGCAAAATCGTAATTGGGTTCGGGGACATTCTCTTTCCTAGATGTCATCTCCTCGATTTTCCTCTTCAGTTGTTCCTCACGCTCCGAATCTTTTGTCAAGGCATCAACTGACATATCCTTTGTGCTCCGCTCATGGCTAACAGGAATATCCTCATCTGCGTAGTAAGGTGCCTTTGAGGTGGATGCTCCAACATATGCAGGCTTTATGGTTTGTGTTATGGGTGAGTCAGTTGTAGAACTGGGCGAAGATTCACCAAAGAAAGAAGAAGCCTTGTCTTCATCAGAGGGCGGGAGGTCTAGATAGGACATTTCTGCATCCTCTTCGTCGTCTTCCTCCTCATCATCCTCTCCACCTTCTTCATCTTCGAAGTCTTCTCCTGAGTGATACGTGAGATCCTCTGCAGTTACTCCATAACCACGGATCTTGCCTGTTTCGGCCAAGCCCAACGTTGCCGAAGTCTCGGGCGCCTTTGGTGGACTGAAAAAGTGATAAGCATTCTTCTATTCAGTATTCAGGAAAGGGAAACACTCACGTCATATCTTCCCACACAATATCACAACGAAATGTTTTCGGGGGGAAAACCTCTTCGCCTCTTGTAACTTCACAGCCAAACGTGACTTCAGTACCTTGTCGTAACTCTGCAGTTTCTTCTTCAACGAGTTGTAATCCGTTCACAAAAGTACCATGCATAGACTTGGTGTCTTTGATTATTATCTAGTAGTTGATGTGAGTAACCAAATCCACGTCATATAAGAGAGGTGGGGGATAGGGCGTTTTCCCCCAATGAGATCACTATTAACTAGTTTAGGGAAATACGTAACCGAATAATGAAGCGATTGTGGCAAATGGAATCAGAGTAGGAGAAAGAAAAATGGGCATTTAATTTTTTGAACCCAACGATTCAATTCATCAAACAAGTATAAAATACTACCTTCCGTTCTGGCTCCAAAATAAGCCGGACTTCAGCATGTGCTCGGCTCATCACAGCTGACTCAAAGAAACCATTGTTCCGGTCGGCTACCAAACCCTTTGACGTGTTTCTGCTACTCCTACCGATAGGTTGAATGGGTGTATCCGGCGTCAGAATGATTGTACGGGAGAAGTCCGTGCCATTATTGGTGATATTTGTAAAGGTTGGGAAAGCACCCGGAGGTCCTGACACAAGCTTCGATTGAGAGTTTGGATGTGGATGTAAATGGAGGTTAGCTGTGTATTGTATTAGCATTTTCAATTACGAAATATGATTAACCAAGTAGAATGAAGAGTTCTAGGGTATATTGACGAGGAAAAGGAGAGAACACGGTGGTTTGTCTATATAAAAACCCTCTTTTCCTTTCTTTATTTCTCGCTTCTCCTAATCTTAATAATTCTTCCTATGTAAACTTACCTCTAAACATCTTGTCACGGACTGTATGGTTCCCCAACTGTCTCGTTAAGATAAGTCAAAGGAAGAGCCGGTTTAATTCTCGGTTTCTTGTTGTCAATACGAGAGTTGTTTATTCGGGACAGGATAGGCAGTTGAAAGAGTATAAGCAGCACAACAAGAGTATGATTTCTATGGTTATGGTTGTGAAAATAAGCGGATGCACAAAGGCTACTCGAATTAAAATTCCAGAACCCACAGCCAGAAAGAGGCAAATTGGCCCCGCACACTAAGCGAGATTTTGTTGAGGTTATGGACTGAAATTGTTCTCTGGGTAAGGTAGTAGTTGGAGCTAGTTCTTGAAGGGGCGAGGTAGAGCTCGTGGAGCCAAACTTGACGTCTCGAACTCGATATGCCTTCTAGCTATAGCTGGTTCGTAGCTTTCTTTTCCAAGTTATTCACGATAAACTCCGCAACAAATCGCTTCTCTCAGACAACTGAGGAGGAGAATAAGGCGGAGAAAGAGCAAGTCAGTGATGAGTGAGGAAAGGAGGGGAACTAAACTCTCAAGGCGGGGGGAAGAGTAACAACAGCAGCCCTCACGTAACGTCTGCCTGCGCACACAAGTATTGAGGCGCCGCAGTACTCACTCCATTGCACCCAATAAAAAAGCATTAAGCTAGTCCAAAAAAGGTTATTTAGCGCCATTTGAGCCCTTAAGAGTCATTCCTGTCTATATTTACAAGGATTATCTACTGATTAACACTCTCTTATCGGATACACGGCGGATAGAGAATCACGGCTACAGGCTACAGCTTCGAAAGTGCAACATAAAGAATTCCTTGAATGTGGACATTCCATGGAGAGAACCCCTCAGTTCTGATTCCAATCTTCCCGCGGGGGTCATAATTCGAGTCGAAAGAGCCCCCAAAAGCAGAAGAAGCACACCGTAAGTAAATTTACCTACAGAGGGGTAAACTGGAAGAAACACAAACCCACAAGGTGTGGAGGTTATGGATATCTTGTTACTAGACCCGCTAAGTTCCTTTTTGTTCCTATTCGTATGGCACCTGACTGACCTACCCATCCCTATTATTTATCCTTGTCCATGCCAGGCTACAGCCTTGATGATGATGGGTGGTTACATACCTACAGATTTTACGATCACGCTGCTCGCTCCCATTGAACTGAATCCTCCACATTAGCCTAGGTAAGTACTTTCTTCATAGGTAATTAACTATCTGTAACAGTAGAGATAGGTAGCTTGCACTCGGATTGACCCCCAAGTTCTTTATTGCTATCTTGATTGGATTCTAATATAGGTATGTGCCATTTGCACCATTCGACGATCGCGGCCGGCAGGAGGTCCAGTCGCGATTCCGAAACCCCCCATACACATTTACGACGCTCACGTGCCTTATCAATCCCACATATCACCGTTTCCAACAGCTCTCTAGTTTAGGTGTGTTGATTTCTCTCGTTCGCTATACGTACACTAGAGAGGAGGACATAATCCTTAGCCATGCTGTATTTATGTGTGTATATGTGTTGAAAGGTGTAATCCGGTGGCTTTTGGCGTGAGACGACTATTCTGGACTCGGAAGTGAGACCCCGTAAAGGCACTTACCTTACCAATCATAAAAGGGAGTATTTTTATGTGTGTCCAGCTTCAAGGTAATAAATAGTGCTCAGCTCACTTCCGTCATCGGTGATCCTCACTAGATTTTGAATGCGGCTCCTTCTGATTTGAACATTATGTTTGCTCAACACCAGCTCCTCCCTGAACCATTCCCTTAACTACATAATACTAATTCTACCTTAGCCTTAAGGTATGGAACCTCTCATGTTTCTGGTGATACAATTCACCCGATAATTTTTTCGAGTTTGGAGGTATCTAGATCATTGGCCCATCCAAGTAACCTGGCAGTCTGTTGCCCAATCGATAGTGGTTAGTAGTTTTGAGGTAATAAGTGCCGCGAGAACCTACATACATATATAAATGGTTAGGATGTAAGAATCGGCGAGAAGACGTAACCACTTCCGGGGTTCTTGGTTGATTTGGCGTGCGCTCCGCCTCAGCTCCAAATCGACAGACAAGTGAAGTCTTTCCCCAACCTATGTGGACATCCGTAGAAAGTCAGTCTGGCGGCCACGTTTTAAAATACACTTGTTGCCGCACGGGCTGGCTAGACTTGATCACAACAAAAACGCCATAATCAGAGTAGAACAGCTACAAAGACTACGTACACCTGTATTTCTATTCAGAATACCTACCGGTATGTTGATTATGAACTTTCAATTGAGAAGAACGTTGAGCAGGGTTCTACACGGACTTGCAGACTGCATGTCACCTAGAGTACTCTCTTTGTCCAGACTCCTCCAACACGCACATCAAAACACCGACCCTTAAAAGAAAGTGGATCATGAATCATTTCTCTCAAGTCGACCAGTTAATGAGCGAAGAGTTTCTACTTCTATCGTCATCGATGAACCTCACCCAGATCCTTGGCTATAGAGCCGAAACCTATAACAGTATTCTACAGCTCTGGCTCTTCGAAAAGATTTTGCGGCCAAAGACACGGACATGGCCCTCGCCCGGCTAGAACGAACCACCACCCTCGAGCTTACCTAATTTATAGGCCTGCATTGGCCGGTCCGTATCCAAGGCTCTCTACGATATCGTTCTGCCGAACCTACATAAATTTCAATGACATCACGGAGACCACTAACTGGTTGAAACAATCCTGCCGTATAACTATGCCGTACCATGCAATTGCCTCTGAATACTAATTAACTAGCTTCGAGGGTCATATGCATAGAGAATTAGGTCAAAACACAGTACAGCCTATGAATAAGGGGAGAGAAGAGTTAAAAAATGAATTGGCACGACTGCGCTCTTGTGAGTTTTTACTGATTCAATTATTGAGCGAGTGAGGGACTGTGGATAGACTAAAGCTGAAGGAGCATCAAGTCTAATGATATTTTATTTCCCTTCTGTTACAGTCCATTTTGCACTTGGTACACTCAGGACTCGTAACAACGTTCTACTTTTTGAGTATACAAAGTGTTGATCTCGCTCTATCAAAATCGATTCCGTAATGCAAGAAAAGCAAAAGAAGAAGAAAAAATACAAAACACCACCAGTTGAAACAGGATAACTATACGGATATATGGAATCATATGAGATCACCGCCAAACAATAATATCTCTCCCAACCAAAGTCCACTTATCTATCCAACACCTAAAATAACTCGGGCACATTTTTCCACTCTCCCTTAGCTCTTTGCTCCCAATAGCCATCTTCTCCTGTCCGGATTTTCCATATTTCCTCGTTCTCATACTCTCTCACCTTAGTGAACCACCTAGGTTGCCATTGTTCACCATTGTCTTCCATCTCTTTCCTACGTTGTCTTTGCCCCTCTTCTAACCGCACCTTTTCTTCTTCTGCCTCGTCTAGTTTTCCTTCTTCTACCATCCTCTGATCAGGCCGAAGGCGCGTATCGGTAATCGGGATATGACCTTCTTCGATGGGTGTGATCTCGTTTAATGTGGCCGCGAAATGAGTGAACCCATAGCGCGTATTTGCCGCTTCTACAAGTTCACCCACGCTCCAAATGACTTTATTATCTGGCTGCATTATAAGTTCTTCTGTCCATTTTCCAACCAACGAAAGTGGATAAGGTTCTCCATCGACATTGAAAGCTTGTATTGTGAGATCTTCACTTCTCCCGGCAAACATTCCTTTGTTCGCCTTGAAGGTGACTGTAGCCTTCTCACCAGTATTTTCATGATGAATCGTCATGGTACCCACAGGCTCTACATATTTCTCCCCCGCAATGATATTTCGAAGGAAGCTTGTTGCAATGGTCCAGGAATAAGAGTCTCCGGTTGTTGGGAAGTGAATGCGTACTCGACCGGACGTATTGAGTTCAGCAGATTTACCCCAAAACTTTTGGGTTGGCATTGGGCATTGTGTGAATGTCCAGAGTTGAGATTCGGCATGGCAGGCCATGATTACAGGCCGGTGGCAGACTTTTTCAGCGATGAAACGAAAACCTAGAAATAAAGTGAATTAGTTCAGGTAAGTCTTTATAGCATGACCCACAATCTACATACCTTTATCTTCTCGGACCAATTCGAATGTCTCGCCTAGCATTGGATTGAATGGTTTACGAATCGAACGATCCTTTACTCGACTATTGGAGAACGAACTAGTCGCAAATGCGGCGACATACAGTAGCCTTTCGCCTCGTTCCTTCGACGCATTCACAGCGTCATCGAGCAGCTCTGAATACTCCAATTGCTCTGCAAGTCTTTGCAAGAGACTTGTAGGCTCATTGGCAGATACCGGCATAGCAATTGTCGATAAATCCTTGCCCACATTTTTTCTCAAGAACCCAATCAAACTTGGAGGCAGAACCGTCGGAGGAGGCACCACCTCTCGTCTCTTCACTGGCTCACAAGGTAGCGGTTTTAAATTTCTAACACCTCCTTCCTCCACAACATCCTGAGCCTCTTGGGCTAGTTTGTCGCCGCCTCTCCTATTGTTGTCGTCAAAACTGTCATCTTCCGCATCACTTTCGTCGTCATCCGTGGCAGCCCCTTCGTCTTGTACATTCTCATGCTGATCGTCGTTTAGCATTACAACTTTCCCGCGCTCTGCTTCATTCAAAGCATCCTCTGCGTCAAAGAATTCATCATCGCCATCAGATTCCATGCCCATACTCATTCTCGACACCCTTTTAGACAATCTATGTGTCATGGGTGATGGGGCTCGTATGGTCGACATGCGGTGCATGTATCTCCGTTGTTTATTCTCGGCCACCAATCGCGAGAAGTCTTCAACTACTGAATCTAATCCAGACAGTATAGCGTTGAGATGTACACTCATGTTCTCGCCTCGATGTAGAACTTCAGAAGATCCGTTCGGAGAAGCAGTGGCCATGGCAGCAGAACCCGACACACCAGCAACGGAGCTTATAGACATGTTTCTACCTGCATCCCGGGGGTGCAGAGTAGTTGGGCTAGGTGCTCCTTGACCCCCGCTGCCTTTACGTTTCCAAAAAGGCATACGGCGTTCTTCCATTGGGGATACCGACATGATAGAAGCTGCCGAACTAGTCAGATTTCCGCCAGATGTACTTGGTCGGGGTGAACTAGGCTCCGGGGCCGTCGCAAGTCTTCGCACGGCATCTCGTATGCCTGAAACTCTCCCGACCAGAGCCTCCACATCTGCCCATCCCCCGGCCTCCAGCTGTCCCCGGGGAATAGAATCCACTCTTTGCTGTTGTAAGGGTGGTACAGTATCCTCGTCTCCGGTAGTACCAGCTTTCAAAGCTTGCTGTGTTGCCCTTTCTAAAGCTGTTTTCCACCTTTCCCAATCCTGCTCGTCATTTGCCCTGAGATGCCAGACCTCTGCGCCTGAGTCTATACAGATTTCCTTGTCATGCTGGTTCGCACTAGTCACTGCCAACGAGAGTGGTATTGCACCGCGGAGGGTCGAAGATTCGGGATTCAAATAGTAAGACAGTGTTGAGGAAGTGAAGTCAAGTGAGAAGAACCGACGGGCATAACCTTGATGCCTTTTGCGTTTTCGCTTCTTGAGGACCCCAGTCAGAAAACCACTATTTGTTCCTCCGTAGAAGCTATCATCACGGGGCTGCTGCATGAAGGACATTGTTTCAACCGACGCATTCGACCCAATCATAAGAGTTGGTGTATTGTTCAATGAAAGAGATGTTGTAGACATCATTGCAGGATTGGAGTCGTAATGGTGGAGCGCATGGGAAGCTGGAGGTGCGGAATTGGACGGGTATGTAAGGAGTACAAGGGTGGCTTGTTTCGCTATTTGCTTTGAAAAAGTATTATCAAATACCTATACACTCTTATTAGAAGCTATCTTGAGATATTTAGTCCGAAAACTAGTAAACATACCAGTGCATACATTCCACCTTCTTTTACTGCGTAGGTTCCAGTGGTAACCTTCTCGGCCTCACATTTCCCATGCCAGTAGACATCAAGCAGTCCAGCCGCATGAAGCTTCTCAATACAATCACCTTCATTGCTTCTTCCCCTGGAGTTTGTGGGCCTGCGTTCTTTAGTCGAGATGGAAGTCTCATCAGAGCGCGCAGTTGAGGGTGGTTGCAGTGATGACGACGAGCCTTGGCCCCCGGCTGTTGGATGTTTAAAGATTCCGAAGTTCCTGGGGGGTTCCTAGGTTAGATGAAATTGTTGAGGGGAAGTTAGTGGGGGTGAGAGCAACTAACAGTGACTTCTTTGATGGGTGCACACTCCAAGAGATTGTGTAGTTTTTAGGGCAGTCCACCCAGCGTATGAAGTAGGACTAGATGGATAACCACGGGAGCATCAGCAAAGTAGTATCTCGGGAGAGCTGGTTGACAAACGTACCTTGCTAGGGACTTCCAGCTGTTCCATAGCCATCTTGAGTTTGGGGTGTGGGGTTGCCGTCAACCGCTATTGGCACGTAGTAGTTTGATAGATGGGATAGTTTCTGTGAGGATAACAAAGAAATTCAGAGACCACGGAGGAGGATGAAGAGGAGGACGTGAAGATGATAGGAGAAGACAAATCGGATTGATGGATTTCGTGTTTGTGGCTGGCTTGGTCTGTGCCGTGGCCGAAATAAGGATAACTACTACACTCACTGACACAACTGCGCCGTTGCAGGATGCATGTGTTTAGCAAGAGGACGTGCGGCTGAGGTAGGTACAATGGTATGCACAGTTTTATACTACGGATTAATGGCCATCGTTTTGAGATATCTATCACATTTATCTGCACATGAACAGATGCGTTAGTGAAATACTAGCGATGAATTTCTGCGTATGATGATAAAACTATACGTATGTACCCCTCAACTCGCAAGAGATCCTTTCGACGTCCGTGTGTCAGATTATGATCCTAGTCTTCTGCCCATCGACACATAATCACCAGGGCAGATCCCGGTCAGAATAATTACGTGCACTGGTAATCATAAGATCTCTCCAACAGGTCGTGCCCGGAAAAGTCTCGTCCCGTACTACAAATCGTAATATAATCACTTGATATATACTGAAGCATTCACTGTTGAAGACAACGTCGCTTTTGCTTGAAAGGCGCCTTCGAAATATTTTGTTATCATTATTCAGAGCACCGGTACCGGTAAACATGAAACTATGGAAGCAGATCTCCACATTATATTACAATCTAATATTTCGGTAACGGCGAGTCGCAGGTTGACTAAGAAATTAAGGTGAGACGCTAAACATGACCATGAGTGGCCGAATCCTTGAAAATTGTACCCCAGCTTCGCATACATAGTTACATGTATTTGAGGCGCAGCTTATAATCATGTAGCTGAGCAAAAGTGGGCCGTGATCAATGACCTCTTCAATAAATTTATGTCAAGTGGCCTCTAAGACGTCACAGCCCACCCGGTCTCCGTCTTTCTCTCGGTACAATCTGTCATGCAGACTACTACCCCCGACAAAGGATGTATGTCCATCAACTACATGTAGTATTCACCCAATACTCTTCATTGCAATAAACATTATAACGTTTGAATTGCATCTCATAAAGTGTAAAGCTTAGTTAGGATGATAGTTAACGAATTCAAGTACGTGAGATATCTGGAAGTCAATCATAGATCCATGCACTCAATCGCATATACAAGCTCAAGCTAATTATATAATACATTGTTTTGCCCACTAAACTCCTGATACAGTATTAAAGTCTACCAAAGGTGGAGAGTAAGGTTTCAACAGAAAATATTCAATCACAAAATATCACTCGGTGTATTCCCGCGTCCACAATCTTGACCCAAACAAATTACAGTACATGGTATACATATATTTGACATATTGATCGACCTAGGGCTATTTATGAAAGAGAATTCCTGAAATCAGGAATTTTAAACTACGTGTAGTAAGCCATAAGAAGATAGGGAGTTTGAGAGCTAGATTTTTGCACGTATCGTATGTGACAGCGTATTAAACGCATCAATACTTGCTGTAAATATACGATAAGACTCGATCGAGTGAGAATTTTGATGTGGGCCTAAGTTTATGTACCTAAGCTGACGCGCCTTTACAGACAGTGTAACGTTATGCAAAAGTGTTTTATCTGTTACGTACCACCACACTAGAGTACTGGAGCACACATTCCAGCGAGATACTTTATAGGATACATCAAACCACTACATGTAGTGCTTACTTAAGTACATATAAATCACATGCATGTACGTTGAGAAATTACTTGTATCCTACAAACGGTTCAATCAAACTTCGGCGATAAAATTTAAAGTTCCTACTTCTCGATGAACAAAAGGGTGGATTGAAATTTGAGAAGTGAGTCGTAAGCTACATGTATGCATATGGCTTAAACCGCTAATGACTTGCACCCAGTGACCAACAAATGATGAGTAAGGACACAGTCACAGAAACTTTGACCAAGTGTTCGATAGGCCGTCCGACTAAATTTCCCACCCACGTGGAGTATCAGAAATGGGGAAACATTGCGCGAGAATGCCATTTCATCCCCGTATTTTAACGAGGTACATATACGGTTAACGTAGTTCTATGGTATTACCAAAGACTATTGTAGTACTAATATACATGTATTCTACCCACATTGTTATCACTGTACCTCTGGGAACTACTAGCACAGACAGAAGGGGATAAAAAGACAGATATTTTCATTCATCCCCCCTTCTCACTCATTCATCAAGAAGATCGTGAACTATACGAAAGACAGCCACATATAATTGATCATGATCAATCGTAAGTCATATGTAACCTTCCTTACATGTAATAATGATAGGTGGATATTATCACAAATATACACGGTTTGGGACGTCCACGTGCAGCTGAAGAATCGTTTTTTCGGAGGTATGTAGCTCTGGACTCCAGTTGCTAGACTAATATTGTAAAGTCCCTCTAGGATCCTTTAAATTTTACTTGATTTATTTCTAGTTAAGGAGGAAATCACAATGGAGAAATCTTATTTGAAGTTTTCTTAAGTTACAGCCGCGGCCGCGTGCATCGGACATGGCTACCGGTGTCAATTAATATCAATCAACCAATCAATCAACCGGTATACCGATGTCATGAAATATCACTCGAGTACTGAGACATACAATATATTTTTCAAACAACAGCGGCACTCGAATATCTAAGTAGAGAAAGGGAGTGATAGAGAGGGAGAGGGGGTTAGGTTATTTCCATAACGATGTAATACTGTATATATACGCTAAAATTGTACGCATGCTTTGTGAATCCTAATAATGATATGATATATACTTTGAAAGGAGCGGTAACTACATGTATGTTAGTATCCCCCTAGGCTCAGAAGCCATGCGCCATATATCAACACAAATATATTACTATCTGAGGGTTTACATATGCATTCTAAAGAGAGATCACCCTTGCACAATTGCTTTCAAAGCTCTATTTAATTACCTCAAGCTTAGTATTATAGAACTAAAGGAGATCTGATGACTGCATCTCCTGCTCTATTATACCTAGGGCTACTACCTTACCCTACAACTATCCCTACCCAAATCCCTCGGACTCCATTGCTAATCAACATCACCTCTCCCGCCTCTATACTTTCCTTCCTGACAACCGCTTCTACCACCATTCCCTTCTCTAACAACCACCTTCTCGTAGTCCCATTATTCCCTCCAGACTCCAGTGACGGCGTAACCCACCCTCCGTCCCGCCAGAAGTACACACTTGTCATACTCCCCTCCATCATCACCCCGTCCTCATTCCACAAGACCACCTCCGTGGTATCGGTTAAGCTGGTTATACCAGTGCGGAGCCGTGCAGCGTCGTAATGATCCCGAAAAGTAGTTTTGTGAGATGTGAATGGAGAGGCGGGGGTGGGGATTGTGTCGATATGTATTTTCCATAAGGGAGGAGAGGAGAGTGAGGAGGGATTTGGGAGAGCACTAGGGAACAAGGTGGTGACTGGTACAGGAGGAATTGGGCCCGCCGTGGCGCTAAGCTTGCCCTCTGGTGAGAGGACGATTCGAACCTAGGAGGAGTTAACTTGGGTTGTGTTTACATGTAGTTACTACAGAGATCATTTGTAGCTGGATTGTACCCTTAATGGACAAGTTTGCGTTCCTACGGCCTCTTCACATGCCCGTCGAAATCCGTTCAGATCTTCAAGCGATGCTGTTATAGCCTCAGGCCATTCAAAATGACGCGCCGCACGGACCATACGGTCACGGTGATATTCAAGGAGGTAGAATGGGCATGGAGTTGTGGAGCCTGAGGCGGTAGTGTTTTCGGGGGATTGGAGAAGGAGCCGATCGTGTCTAAGAGAGGAAAAGAGAGAGAAGGCTTCCTCTTCTGTGGAAGCCATGGTAGCACTATTTTTAGAGTATCTGGAAGTCGTTTGGAAGCCTTTCAAGTCTGGGGTTACTTCTTATGCCAGTGAGGTCTGGACTCAGTGGAGGGTCCCCACGTCGGTCGTGTCCGGCGACATATGTCGGGTATCAAAAAATAACCGATCACTGGCACCCTCGTGAGACTCATAGCAACCAAAACCGACCTGCGAAGAAACCTCACATCGAGACTTTCGAGGTCAGAAGGGTAATTCCATCCCCCCCAAGCACCTAACTCCGTTTAGGAGACTTAAAATTACTCAATTGCTCTCCTGGTTGTTGAGTTATTCTGACCTGAAGTGATTTCGACGTTGTCGTGAGTGATCGGTTATTTTTGATACCCAACATACATATATATACATACTCTATCTCTGTAACCGATTTAAGTTTATTACTGGGTATGTTTAATTTTGCTTTTGTCCAAGAGACCGATTACTCTCGGCATCGATTACTATCAAAGCCGACTGTTGTCATACCATAGGTAGAATATGTGTGCAAGTTCTCATTGGTTTAATCGTCCAATACGGGTTTTGAATTCTATATACTCTAGAGTACCTACATATATGTATATATGTAATCCACCCATGCGCCGGCCCGGACAGTCTCTTCATGAGTTTCTCCCCGAGCTATTCGCGACAGAGCCACATTCACAGTTCCCTCCCCGCAAATCGAATTAGACCAAACAATCTTGAAAAAACGGGATGCATGCTCACACCACCTCTCTCGCCAAGTTGGGGCCGACGTCACCCTCAAAGCGGGCGGTGCATGCTAGAGATCTTTATCAGATAACTGCATAATGTGGGAGGTATGCATGATTATAATTGTCCTGTGGAGGGTGAAGCGTCGTCGTCGTGTTGAAATTTTTCTGTCGACTACATGTAGTTAAAGTTAGTGAGAGGGCCTAGAAGATACATGTAGCTTTGTTTATCGTGCTTTGTAAAGATTTCACGGCGAAGTTATTTCCCGTCGTTCCTCTCCATAAATCGTTCGCATTTCTGTTTGGCAAATCTCAACTATATCTAGAGAACCGCTTCTCGAACCAAGAGGCCCTTAAGAAGATCCCAGACCAGATCTCCCAAGCAACGCGGTACCCCATTGGGGAATTAGGGATACGATATCAGCCACAGGCGCAATCTCCGTTGCCGGCCGGAGCTTTGTCGCGTGTCGTCTGTGCAGATTGAGAACCCTTGGGCGACCCGTGTTCTGCGTGCGTGTTTTCGGGGGTCTGTCGGTCTCGAGTGTCTCTAGCCATTCTATCTTGGCTAGGTAAGGTAGGGAGGGTTGTGAGAGAGCTCTTGGGAATGCTTTAGCTGATTGGCTAGGGGTGGCAGTGCTTTGTCTCTCGTTCTTGTCCTCTCTCGTTCTTGTCCTCTCTCTCGCTGTTATTGTCCACCTTCTCGTCTGTCTGTGCTTGCTATCTGTGCCTGTCTTGGGCTGTCTGTGCTAGAGTTCTAAGAACGTCTGCCAGTAGAGTGTGAGAATTATTGTCCCATCTCTTTCTCCTTTACAACACCAGTTCTCTTTTCCAGCTCGTGGAATATCTTTCCTTATTTCCTGCTTTCCTCCTAGCCTTTCCTTTTTTCCATATCAGCTTCTATTTTTTTTCTTTTTTTTTTTGAAGTGGTGGCTTTGTTCGTCGTATGTGACGTGAGCAAGGTCAGGGTTTCAGCTACACGCGCGAAGGTTTAAGAGTTGAGAGGGAGAGTGAGTGTGAGCATAGGGAAAGAGAGTGAAAGAGAGGGAGAGAGGGAGTGAGAGAGTGGGTCAATTCCCTTCCTGGGTTGGTTGCAAATTCGAACCCCGTTCTTCAGCTGCTTCTTCTCTGTTATCTACTATCCGGCCCACCATACAGTCTTTGGTCCCATTACCGTTCAACCTTCTCTGCTTCGTTATTATTTATTCTTTATCTCTTAAAGCTAATTCCCCGAAGCTCTATTTATCCGCCCCTGCGTTCGGATCATTTTTCCTTCCCTTCCTCCCACCTGTCACCAGCAGTTGACAGCTCGGGTCTTTTATCCCTTCGGTCCGACTGTGGGTATCTACTGCAATCAAAGAGTTACCTTCCGATCGACATCCCGAGATCGCGCTCCCAACCATGGAAACCTCTACCAAACCATCGGATCCTCCTAAGGGGGCAGCAATAACGATGGAGAGAAACAACAACAGCAGCAACGTACCCTACTTGCCCCCATAGCACTAAATGCCCCAATACCTACTATAAGCATGAATGGGAGCTCGACTCCTCCAATGGAAGGCCGTCGGAGTCCAAATCCGCGTTCAAATCGTAATTCAACTATCTCAAACCGCAACTCCATTATCTCCAATAATCGCAATTCGACAATCTCAAACCGCAACTCCATGCCGCATCTCGACCCTTCGCCAATGCTCCGAAGCTATTCGACACCAGGCGGGATCTCACACGACTTCCTGGAGGATATGGAACCTCCGCCTGTTATTCCTGCAGCTATTGAAGAGGGTGCATCACCGCGCCGCTCGCGTCCGAGCTCACCCCATAGTATACGCTGGGGAGACGAGGAAAACGAGGATGACCCGCGTGAAGGCTACACAACACCCAGGCGACGTGGTTCGGGCACGTCGGAGTCTACAACAGCGTGGGATATGTCGCCTGGAGGTGCCAGTTCTATTGGTAGAAACGGCGATGCAGGGCCGGTAACAACAGCTGCACGTGCCCGTAAGCGAGTGGGAATGTTCTTTAGCGGTCTTGCCGGAGACAACCCTTCTACGACTTCACTGGACGACGAGGTGGTATATGATGGGTCTGCAACTCCGGGTTCTAGGATGAGCGCGAATTATCCGAGGAGGGGGGACTACTCTGGCGATGAAACGGAAACACCAATTGCGGCGAAGAAAACTGGCTTTTTCTCGAAGCTGAAACATCTAGGGCATGGGAGCCACGGCAGAACACTTTCTGGGTGGACTGTCGATTCAATGGACGATGGAGGACAAACCCCTGGTGGACCACTCACACCCGCCGTGTACTCGCCAGCTATTGGTGGTATTCCGGATGAAGATGAAGAATATATTGATATGGATGATTACAGAAGGTCTATGAGCCAGAACTCAGCGGGCGGGGGCGGGTCGAGAACTGCACCTGGGACGCCAAAACACCCTGTCCCAAGACGAAGAGCCACGATCACTGACATTACCGAAGAGGCAAGGACCCGCGACCGGAGTTCCAGAGTAAGCTACTCTCGTAGATCTTCCTTTAGAAGGATAACCCAGTTCAGCCACAACCGTAGGTCAGTTGACGGCGCCGAAGGAGTAGGTGGAATACCGCCATCACCTGGGACGCCTGGATATCATAATACTTCCAAATGGAGAGCTCTCAAAGCCGGTATCAAAATGATGGGCCAGCGCAAAAAAGAGGAATCTAAGATTGATCGCGAAAAGTCGGCCGAGTTGATGGCAGAACTGACCGCAGCGACACCAGCGGTGGTCATCTTGGCGAGTATGTTTCAGCGAGACGAGCACGGAAACAAGCGAATACCCATTCTACTAGAACAATTGAAGGTCAAGATCTCGGATACAGACAAGCACCCATCAAAAAACACTGGCAGGACACATGCAGTATTTAGAATAGAGCTGGAGTATGGATCTGGTATCACGCGGATGAAATGGGTTATTTATCGAGAGTTCCGTGACTTCTTTAATCTGCACTCGAGATATCGTCTGGCAGACATAAGCAACACTACATTCAGCGGCAAAGAAGCTCATAAATTGCCAAAATTTCCCCGAGCTACAATTCCATATCTTAGAGGGGTGAGAGGTCTTGGGAGTGATGACGAGGAGGACGATTCTTCAGCAAGTGGCGGCGAGACTGCGACAGTGACAACAAGTCCGGGCAAGAAGCGACCGAAGCATGCACGCCGTGAATCATCTTCAGTTGCAGGCGAACATCTCAATACCGGCATTGCTACTGGTCTTGCTGCAGGGCTAGGAACACTAACTGCACCAATCGGAGGTGCTGGAGGCATGGGTACAGTGCCCACTGCTGGTAGGAAGGAGGGTTTCGCAATAAAACAAAGGCAACAATTGGAAGAATACCTCCGACGGCTTATTCGTATCATGATCTTCCGCCCTGATTCTAATCGGCTGTGTAAGTTCTTGGAACTCTCTGCCCTTGGTGTTAGACTTGCAGCGGAGGACAGTTATCACGGGAAAGAGGGGTATCTCATTATCCGCTCCGCAAAGGGAAGTGATTTTAGAAGAGTATGGAATCCTGCAGCAATGGCAAAGCGACATTCTCCAAAGTGGTTCCTGGTACGGCACAGTTATATTGTGTGTGTCGATTCCCCAGAGGAAATGAATATCTATGATGTCTTCTTGGTAGACTCTGAATTTGAGGTAGACGCAAAGAAGTTCCTTAGGAAAAAACCAAAAGATCTTGCAGTTGCCCCAAGTAACCCAGCCCATCCACAGCATCATAGCCTCACCATCAAGAATGCCGAAAGACAGCTTAAGCTATTGGCAAAAAATGAGAGGCAACTGCAACAGTTTCATGACAGTATCGCGAACATGATGCAGTCTACGATCTGGAGCGAAACTCAGAGATTCAAAAGTTTTGCGCCAGTGAGAAAGGGCGTCTTTGCGCAATGGCTTGTAGACGGTAGAGATTACATGTGGAATGTGAGCAGAGCTATCAGTATGGCAAAAGACGTCATTTATATCCACGATTGGTGGCTGTCTCCAGAATTGGTAGGTCACTTTCAGTTGTTTTCACTCATGGCCGGCGCTAATTTTGGGGGGGTCTGTTTGTCTAGTACTTGCGACGACCTGCTGCCGTCTCACAGAAATGGCGTCTCGACCGTCTTCTCCAAAGAAAGGCCCAAGAGGGTGTCAAGATCTTCGTCATCGTTTACCGTAACATCGGCGCCGCGGTTCCTATCGACTCTGCTTACACCAAGTATTCGCTTCTTGATCTCCATCCCAACGTCTTTGTTCAGCGCTCGCCCAACCAAATACGACAAGCCACTTTCTTCTGGGCCCATCACGAGAAAATTCTAGTTGTAGATCATATGGTAGCCTTCCTGGGAGGTATTGATCTCTGTTTCGGGCGATGGGATACGCCACAGCACAGTTTAGTGGATGATAAACCAACTGGGTTTGAAGAAGGGAGTGGGGATGGTGATCCAGAGAGCTTTCAGCTCTGGCCAGGAAAGGATTACTCAAATCCTAGGGTACAAGATTTTTACAACCTTGACAAGCCTTACGAGGAGATGTATGACAGGACGAAAGTCCCGAGAATGCCGTGGCACGACATCCACATGCAGGTTGTAGGACAGCCTGCAAGAGATCTAACAAGACATTTCGTCCAAAGATGGAACTACCTGTTGCGTCAACGTACTCCTAGCAGACCTACGCCTGTGCTACTCCCACCACCCGACTTTACTGACGCAGAATTGCAGTCATTGGGTATCGATGGAACCTGTGAAGTTCAAATTCTTCGATCTGCTTCCTCGTGGTCATTGGGTACACCGAACACGACCGAGGCTAGTATTCAGGCTGCATACATCAAATCTATCGAGCTATCTGATCACTTTGTGTATATTGAGAATCAGTTCTTCATTACTTCCACTGAATGGGGCGGTACTGTTATTGAAAATAAGATTGGTGATGCACTCGTGGAGAGAATTATCCGGGCTTACAGGAATGACCAGGATTGGCGCGCAATTATCATCATACCCCTCATGCCCGGTTTCCAGAACACAGTTGATGCACAAGACGGAACAAGTGTCAGGTTGATCATGCAGTGTCAGTACCGTTCGATCTCACGTGGGGAGCACTCAATCTTTGGAAAGCTCCGAGCGCAAGGGATTGAGCCCGAGGAGTTTATTCAATTTTACGGGTTGAGGAATTGGGGAAAGATTGGACCAGAGAAGGCACTAGTTACAGAGCAGCTGTACATTCACGCAAAGTGCATGGTTGTAGACGACCGCATTGCCATCATCGGTAGTGCAAATATCAACGAGCGATCTATGATGGGCAACCGAGACAGTGAAGTGGCAGCAATCGTCCGAGATACCGATACGATTATGAGTACCATGGCCGGACAACCTTACCGGGTTGGAAAGTTCCCGCATACACTTCGGTTGCGGCTGATGAGAGAACATCTTGGGATGGATGTGGACGAGATTATGGCAAATGAACAGCAGATGGATGCTGAAATTCGGGAAATGACGGAGGCGGACAACAACGAACAATGGCTTGCTGAGGAGGTGAAGGCGATAGCGAGGGCAAGAGCCGAAAACGACAACGACAGTCTTCTGAGTAGTTCGGCGGCCACCGAACCGGCGCCTGACCCCAAGCCGTGGGTTACAGTTACAAGCCCCTCGCCGGGACTGACAAAGAGTAATATGACATTGAAGGAGGAGGCCGTATTGAGGAGCGAGGAGTTGAGAAGCTTCAACCACGATGTGGACTGGGAACAGGAGAATAACCCCAATATCAAGACGAGGAAGAAGGAGACCACCGATAACAGAATCCACGGGAACGCGGCACATAACAAGGACCTAGAGGGATATGGCTTCGATAAGATGAAGGAGAGAGAATCGAAGGAGACTACCCGTGAGAAGGATAAACGAGAACCGTCTACCTCATCCCGTGCTGAGGTTGCCTCCCAGCATCTCACTTCGCCTCGCAATCTCACAAGCCCTACTCCTTCAAATCCCAAAGATTCGAACAGGACGCCCAGCAGAGGCTCCTCCTCGGGTGGTCTTGGGAACATTGCGCTCCCACCGCCTCCTGGACCGGAGAGGATGAACTCACAGGAGCTTGGACTTGCCCAGCTCTCACAACTTCCTCCCCTACCGGTCACGAGCGATCAGGACATTGGTGGCCCGTGCATTATCAACCGCCCCACAACAGCCGGCGGGGACGGTCCCAACATCCCAGTACTTGAGGATCTCCATATGCCCACCGTTACTCCAGATATGTTTGAAGATCCACTGAATGAGAGCTTCTACCTTGATGTTTGGCACCATTGCGCGGTGAACAACACGAAGTTGTACAGGCAAGTATTCCGCTGCATGCCCGACAACGAAGTCAAGACATGGGCAGCATACAAAGAATACGCAGCCTACGGTGAGAGATTTGCGCAGAGTATGGGAATGGACAAGTCAAAGATGCGACGCCAACAGGAAGCCCAAGGGAAGACTGGCCCACCAGGCGGGTCTGACATCCCGGGGATGCCTCAATTCGGAGACAACCTTGGGGAGAAGGTGGCGAAGGATCTTGGTATCAAACTGGACGGGAACAACAAGAACCTTGCAATGGGGAACTTGAAGGACTGGACCACCCCCACTGTTGCAAACCAGGAGGAGCTGGATAAGGTCCGCCGGGATGACCCGCCGAGTGAGAAAATCGAGTTCCATCCGCCACAGCACGTACAGGATGAATTCACCGGTAACAGACCGCGAAGCACATCACATGCTTCTTCGCGTCTGAACACTGCGGTCACGACGGCCACCACAAGCACACTAGGGCCCGGCTCAAGTTGCTCTAAGGACTCCAATAACAAGCCAGACCCGAACCTGCTTCAATCCAATGGGAACGGTATCAACTTTTCCTCCAACACAAACCTCAACGGCGGAGTTGGAAGCACAAAGAGGAGGAGGAGAGGCACGACGAGGAGTAGCCGAAGGGATTTCCACGCCAGCGAGCCGCTGTTGGACCGTGACACTGCCGAGAGGCTCCTGAACATGACACAAGGACATTTGGTTGTGTGGCCATACGAATGGCTCGCACGTGAGGAGGAGGGCGGTAACTGGTTGTACAGCATTGACCAATTGGCGCCTATTGAGATTTAGTGAGTCCCCCCCCCCCCCCCCCCCAATCTTTATAGATTGAAATTTCAAAAAGTACATAGACTAACAGGAATCGCAGTGATTGAATTATCTATACCCGGGTTATTTCTGAAGGCGGTTTTGCAAAAGAGATAAGCCAATTTCGTTTTCCTTTATTAGCATCATCTCTTTGTGTTGAGGGATCAAAATTTTTGGCGGAGTTTGTCTGTGCACGTTTAATTTTCCATCTTTATCTCTATCATCATCATCCATCATCATCATAGGAGGGTATGTGGGTTTCTTTGGTCGTCTTTTTTTTCCTTCTTTTTTTCCCCCTTTTTTGCTTTTTAGGGGGTGGACTTGACTACGCTATTTCTTTTATTCTTGTATCATTTTACTTTTTTTCTCTTTTTCTTTACTTTTCTTTTTTTTTACTTTTCTTTTTTGTATTCACGTTTGTTTTTTTTGCCTTGATCAGATTTGCACTTTTTCCTTTTCCTTTTCCCTTTTCCTTTTTTCGTATATTCCTTTTCTTTATCGTTCCCGGCTACCGGTCTCTCGATAGATACATAGTACTTATTCCTGCGTCGTCGTCCTAACTACTATACCGTTCCCGCCATCCTCCTTCCCGGCCCCCCCTACCACCACCTCTTTCTTTCTTTACTATATCCTTTCTTTCTTTCTTACTCAGTCAGTTGTTGCAGTTGTCCTTTTTTTTTTTTTAATCTTTCATAATCTCTTTTTTCCGAGGATGCGATTTGGGGGGGGGGGGGGGGTGGGGATGCGGACAAAGTAGTTGCAATGTAGTATGGTGTAGTATATATATACACACAAGAAGTAGTTTTTAGTGGGTTGTATGATATATTAGGAGGCCCTGTATACATAACATACAAGTACATACTCTACCCAACAATACCTATCGAGGAGGAGGAGGGCGGAGGGGTACAGACATTATTAGCTACTTTACATATACGATACATATACCCTACCCATCTCATCTTCATCGTTAATTTTAGACGCATACTCTAGATGTCGTAGAGTGTTTGGGTGTTTTGAAGATTTAACGTGCAATCAATCATTTCCAGGGCGGGTTTCCGGAAGTGGTTAGTGCGGTGGGTATCCAACCAGTTCCCTTCATCACGATGATCATATGGAGCGGGGGTTATGTGACCATTGTAGACTCCCGTCATATATCGAGGGTAGCTGCTTAATAGTAGTGTGTGTGTGTATGTGGGAGACTCTGGATATCATATTGGATGTTGGATGGGCCATGGGGTAGCTGCTTGATGAGTTGTTGTAGGCACCGGCGATCCCCACATCCTGATCCATAGAGCATCTACTCGTAAACGAGTACTTTTCAGCTCATGCAGGGTCTTCTAGTCTGCTGCACGCACGCCGCCTGCATGTTAGAATATTTAGCCTTAGCCTTAGATGCCGGGTGCTGTGGAGCGCAGATCACCCTGCAATGTGCAGCACAGCATAGGCCAGTTTGTAGTCTAGTAGAGTACTAATACTCCACTTCTCTCCACCGCTGCTAATACCCCGCTGCTTCTCTCCCCCCCCCCCCCCCCTCTCTCTAACCCACTACTAACTAATCCTCTCTCCACACTCTGCTCTAGACCAGATACTAACAATTAGCACCCACAAATTCAATCCAATGGCCGCCCCCGCCCCCGCCCCCGCCCAGCCCGCATTCTCCTTGCACCCCTCCCGCCGCCCCGTCATCTACGCCACACACGGCATCGTAGCGTGCACGCAGCCCCTCGCCGCCCAGGCTGGCCTCAACATCCTCCGTAAGGGCGGGAATGCCGCTGTGAGTGACCGCCCATGATCCTATCTGGCATTATTACTCTACCTATATTGACACCGCTATCTTTCCAGGACGCCGCAATTGCTGCTGGTTAGTCTCCCTCCCTCTCTTTTCAGCAAAACCAAGACAAATCCCACTAACACCCCCCCCCCCCCCACAGCCGCAGTCCTAAACGTAACAGAACCAACCAGCACCGGCCTCGGCGGCGACGTCTTCTGCCTCCTCCACCATGCCCCCACCTCCACCCTCCACGGCATCAACGGCTCGGGCCCCTCCCCCTCCTCCCTCACGCTGCAAAAGGTCCTCGCCTCCCTCCCCCCCAATCACACTGAGTGGCGCATCCCGGCAGCCAATCCACTCAGTGTCACTGTCCCCGGCGCGGCCGCCGCATGGTGCGACATCGTCACCCGCTTCGGCAGCGGGAAGGTGTCGCTGCGCGAGATCTTCGATGACGCGATCCGCATGGCTGAGGATGGATTTGCGCTGAGTACGTTTGCGGGAAGGTGGTGGGGGGAGTGTGCGGGGGTGCTGCGCGGCAGCGGGCGGGAGGAGATGCTGCTGGCTGGGAGGGCGCCGAGGGAGGGGGAAATTATGAGGGTTCCGGAGCTGGCAAGGGTGCTGCGGGAGGTGGCGGAGCGCGGGAGGGCTGGGTTTTACGAGGGGTGGGTGGCGGAGAGCGTGGTGGGGGAGGTGCAGGCGCTGGGCGGGGTGCTGGAGATGGAGGACATGGCGGGCATGGGGGAGCGCGGGAGCGAAGATGTGGACCCGGTGTTTGTGGAGTATGCGGGCTATAAGCTGTGGGAGTGCGCGCCGAATGGACAGGGGCTTGTGGCACTAATGACGCTGGGGATTCTGAAGGCGTTGCAGGAGAGGGGCGTGGTTGGGAAGATTGGCGGGGAGGGCGGGATGCAGCACAATTCGCCCGAGTAGGGAATTTCTCTTTTCTCCCCCGCGAGTTATGGGCGCTGCTAATATAGAGAGATAGCTATCTCCATGTCCTGATCGAGTGCTTCCGCATCGCATTCACAGACGGCCGCTGGTACATCACCGACCCGCGCACCAACCCGGACCCCACCGCCGCCCTACTCTCCAAGGTACTCCCCCCACCCCCCACCCCCCCCCCCCCTCCCTACCCCCCACACTAACTAACACTCCTCATAGGCATATCTGCACCAACGCAGCACGCTCTTCTCCCCCACGCAAACAAACCCCACCCACCCCATCAGCCCGCCCTCCCTCTACCCATGTGACACCACATACCTTTCCACAACCGACGCCCACGGCAACTCCTGCAGCTTCACAAACTCGCTCCAGAACGGCTTCGGCACCGGCATCGTCCCCCGCGGCACCGCAACACCGCTGCAGAATCGAGCCAGTAGCTTCTCGCTCGACCCCGACGCGCCGAACTGTGTGGCGCCCGGAAAGAGGCCGTATCATACTATTATTGCGGGGATGGTGACGGAGCGTGTGCCGGGCGCTGCGGAGGGTGAGGGTGGGGAGAAGGAGGGTGGGAATGGTGGGGAGGGGAAAGGGAAAGGCGTAAAGTTGAATGGCGAAAGGATCAAGAGCGTCATGGGCTGCATGGGCGGCCTTATGCAGCCGCAGGGCCACGTCCAGCTCTTTATGAACTTGCTCGTCTTCAACATGGACCCGCAACAGGCGCTTGACGCACCTCGAATCTGCGTATTACCCATTTCCTTCCCCCCCTCTTCCCTCTTTTCCCCTCCTCCACCCACCACACACCACATTGAGCCAATACTAACACAACCAAAACACAGCTCGGCCTCCCCGGCGACCGCTTCGCAATCACAAAAGGCGTCTGCCTCGAGTCGGGCATCAGCGCCGCCACCGCCGCCGCACTCCAAGCGCTCGGCCACACCACGGCCGAGATCACAGGGTACGAGAGGACCACGTTTGGGCGTGGACAGATCATCAACGTATCCCCCCCTTTCTGCTTGCTTCTTTTTTCCCGGGCGGATGTTTGCTGACACATAGGGGGGGGCTAGTATAACTACACGCATGGTGAAGATGGCGAAGAGAGGATCGTGTATAGTGGCGGCACAGACCTGCGGGGCGACTGCCAGGCCGTGGGGTACTGATCCGTGCCGTTGTGCTATTGCTATTGCTATGTACATGTATAGGACACCCACAATACATGTACTCTAGGTACAGTACAGAACTCAAGTACTCTAGGCCTAGACCCCGGGGGGGGGGGGCCAGCGGAGATATTTTGCGGGGAAATCGTTGCGGCGGAGAATTAAAGACTGTGGAGTGGCTTTCTTTCGGATTTTTTTTATTTTTTTTTTTTTTGGCTGGGATATTCGGGTTTGGGGTTTGGTATTGGCTTCCTGTGGGCTTTTTTTTTCTCTTTTCTTTTCTCTTCGCTCTCTGGCTGTATGCGAGGGTGTGATGTGAAGCGCTTGTAGGGAAATACATGGACATGTATGTAATATAGTTGTGGTGGTAGCTACATGTAGTGGTAGGGGAGTAACGGATTAGTAGCTCTGGGAAACGGCGCTAAAATAGTGGCATGCGAGTGATAAATTGTGACGAGTTAGCTCCCTTCGTGTTCTATTATTAGCACACCCGCGGGAGGAGGTCAGTGATTGATAACAACGAGATTGCCACAACGTAACGGATGAATTTTGTACTGTGCTATTATGGATTGTGAGATTGTATTTGTTTCATATTCGAGTGATTGTCTGTGAAGGCATTGATTGGTCGTAAATACATGAAATGTTCGTGGGGGCATGAATTGCTCGTAAGGAAAATACCGATTAACATAAATATAGGAAAGAACCTGTATGGTATCTATTGGACAAATAAAAATGGGGGGAAGGGGGCAATGTTTCCCAGATAGCCTACTCAAATAATACTAGCAGCCCAACCGCAAGCCTCAGAGATAATCAATAAAAAAACCCTTTTGTGCTCCTAAATCTCCAGAATAAACAAAGTAAATATTTCACCCCTTGATTCTCACAAGCTCATCTCCCAGTCCATGTCATTTTGCTGTCCTGACAAACCTGGAACATTATTGGTCTCAATATCCCAGTCCCAATCCTTCACACTGTAATCGCCCTCCTCCAACACTATATCCACAGTCTGCTCTCTCATCTCCTCAGGCAGCTGGTGTTCCAGCGCCGGCCAAACACACTTCCATACGCCGCTTTTCTGCCCGTCATCTATCACGCGGCCCATCGCCCATTCGTACCTTCCGGGAAGTGCCATAGCAGACATTCCAACGATCAACCCCCTTATGTCGTCATTACCGATGGGAGGATTTTCGATTGATCGCCGCGCAGTAATGAATTTGATCGTCCTCTCTTTTAGATCAACAATGTGAATAACGTCGAGGCCTCGAGTCTGCGCGATTGTTGCATGGAGGATGCTCGAGCTTCCGGTGGAGCTGACCTCAAATTCGACTTTTATCGTATTATCTAACGAGATAAAGCCTTCCTCATCGCCTGAAGATTCCTCTTCTGAGTCGGAATAGTGGGTATCGAAGTTCGTCTCATCATTGCGAGCGTATCCGATACCGAAATCAGCTAATGGGTCTCGAGCTTTATCGTTTTCGCCGGTTATAACTTCAGTCGTGATAGAGCTCTGAAGCTTCGCCTTATCATACAGGTGTTGATCATCGGGGTTCACAAGCTCTGGGATCTGCTCTTCCGTTTGTTTTCTGAACATTTCAAGCCCCGCTTCGAGTGATTGTACTTCGTTGCGCTCGATAAGCCCAAGATCTATCCCTATACTTGCACTATGATTCCTGAGGTTCGTAGCCAGTCGCTTCAACGCACGATCGACGGCGGCTTGGTCATCGTAGAGCTCCGGGTCTGGAAAGGTTTCCATCTTTTCTCCGTTTCGTTGTGGTTCAGCTCTAAGCTCCGAGGCGAGCTCTGCTAGCGGATTTAGATTTTTGGTTGCCATGGTCGAAGCCTTGTGGTAGATCTAGAGGTGGTGTTGGCGAGGGGAAACATGTTGCTTTATGTGCTTTTCGATCCTGAGGATGATTCATTTATTACATACATGTAGTATGTGCGTTGCCTCATTCGCACGTCCTCGTTTCCATTCTTCCATTCGCAGCTCTTTGTAGTATGTTATGACAGCCTTGCATCTAAAAATGGACCGCGCCGCGCTGTGGTGGCTTATATAATGAGGCCGGAAGCTCCTCGTACTTTGAAGCATGCAGATAAGCCGCATTGAGTTAACAATTGCAACCAGTGCGGAAATCTTCAGAACTCCTCAACGGCTTTTTCTCCCCAGAAGCTGTTGTTTTATTCCTTAAAATGGCATTTCGAGGCTCTTCTAGTTGGAACTAATGCAACTGCAGCTAGGGATCCTCGCCGAAAAGAAAATGGCTGGCGAATACATATCTACCAGATTCTTGATACCGATTTTGAATTATTTACCCTAAATATTGTTAACCTTCATGCACTAGATTGAACTAGCTACCAGAAACTCTCACCTATTATGTATTTCCCCAGTCCAAGCTATTACCTCAAACAGCGGATACTCATGAATGAACAACTACCAGAATGTGACAGTGATGATGGAGCCACATGTATTCATGAGAATAAGATTCTGTATGACTTCTTTGTTACTAGTCAGTCGATCAGGTGCGGTCCTCTTATTCCTTATCAGAGACTTACTCACTTCCATTGCTAATTACTGTCGCTGCTCACTCTTAATTCCAGTAGTTAATTCCAGTAGGATAGTATATAGATAGACCGATATCATAGATGGAGGGATATTGCGGAGCTGATATACGTCTGGCATAGGGAGGGGAGGGAGTGAGAGCTTTAAACAACACATGTAGCCCCCTCCCACATTTTCATGACAAGGTGACATACACTTATAAGCTCCGAAACGCTGTCCTTTTAAACTTTAGACGTTTCCTTTCATGCCGAGAGTTTAACCCATGCAACGTCGCCCATATGCATGCGTACTGTTTGCGTTCACAGCATCTCACTCGTTATCTTTTGCAGAAGGAAAAATATCACTAATATCGTGCATTATAGATACTACATGTAAATATATGCTCCCTAACGGCCAAAATCAAGTGGGCACTGCATACTATTCGGAACCGCCTACATAATTGTAGAGACCCACTATTCAGTTGCCATTGCAAGCGAGTGTTGCTATCTACTACCATGTACCCATAGCCAGGAAACAGCCTTCACTTCCTCTCGCAAACCATCTTTCCATCCACCCAAACCCCCACGATATTCCTTCCCACACACCACAATCAGCACCTCATTCGGCCCATCCTAGTCTCGTACCCATCCCGTACTTGCAGCAAGCTGCCCACTGGAAGCATGAAAGCAGACGGGTTGGGGACGAGTCTAGGCCCATCCACCAAACGATAATCAGGGGAGAAACCTACCTATCATCCCCACAATTTACGAATCTCTCAAACCCATCTCTCACATTCACCACGCTCACCCCATCATCGCGCAGGTTCTCAAACGCCATGTCCTCCAGCCCATAGTCAACCAGCAGCGCATCCCACCTCATCCCCACCTCAAACAATCCCACCTCCTTCCCAATACCCAGCGCCTCCGCGCCACCAACGGTCGCAACGTGGAAAGCATATTTATAGTCCACGACCCAGTTCTCCTTCCCCGCGGGCTTATCACCACCGCGCGGAGAAAAAGAATCGATCCGGTCTTGGAGCGTGGCAAGACGCATATTTGTCCACAGGGAAGAAGACATGCCTGTTCTCCCCCGCCCCGGCCCCCTCATATCAGTAGGTCAATCAGGAGGTCAATCAGGAGGTCAATCAGCTGCAAACTCACCGCCCGCAATGTCGGAGCCCATCCCGATCTTTAGACCCAGCGACTTGAAGTGCGGTATCGGCACCGTGGCACGTGCAAAGAGGATGTTCGAGTAGCTGCGCTATCTTTTAGCCGAAAGTCTAGATCTACAGACTACCGCGGGCCCTAAATAACATACGGACAACTGGTAACAGCAGCACCCGCCCTTACGACTTCCCCCACCTCCTCGTCGTAAAGATGGCAGCAATGAGCAAGGACGGTCTTATCTGTTAGTAGGCCGAATCTTTGTAGGATCTTAATATCGCGTTTTTCGTTCTGATACAGCTCCGCCACTAGGTAGTACGTTAGGAATCAGCTATGGCCTCTTTTTCTTTTGGCTCGGAGGAGCGAAGGAAGAGATATCCCACCCCACGCGACCTCATCAACTGATTCCGAAGCATGGGTCTGCACATGGCAATTATACTTTGCTGCTAGTTTACCCAGCCCGTCCAAGAGCTCGGCAGAGCAAGTCGGGACCTTTCCACCGGGTCAGCGTCACAGTCTCCTCGATCATTGACCCTACATACAAAGCGCGGTGTAACAACTGGCTTCACCAACCCAGCCTCTGATGGCCACTTTTCTCTGCAGTAAGTTATAAAACTCTCCGTATCTTTTAACGAGGCCCCCGTTGTCTCTACATAGTTGTCTGGTAAGAATTGGTCAGAACACGTTTTACCCACAAAGGCACGCTGTCCAGATCTAGCACAGGTATCAGCAAGGACCTGGGTTGCAGGGAGGTGGTTAGAGCCAAAATAGAGAGCTGTAGTTGTGCCGTTCCGTAGAAGGCGGCGAACAAGAGCTGTGTAGATCCGCTCGGCATGGGTAATGGATGTGAAGGCAGCTTCTTCGGGGAAGGTGTATCTGATTTACTGATTTTTAGGGAATCGCTCATTCAAATTGGAGGGAGGAGGTACAAACTTCTCAAGCCATTCGACCAGCGGGACATCGGTCTTAGTGCCTAACTGACGAAACTGGGGCGCACTTTAAGGGAAAGGTAAGCATATATAGCCCGATGATTGATAGCATGCAGGAAATGATCATTTTGCCGGTAAATATCCTGAATGCCACTGGTCGACTTCAAAACACCGCCGATCGAAGCAATAGCAGTGGTAATATGTCTTCACGCTTGCAAACAGCCCCGCGAACGTTGCTTATTCCATTTTGCAACTGGCAAAATCCGGCGGCACTCTGGGACTCGTACCTGCTACATGACGAAACCAAGAAGAAGAAAACGTGAAAAAAAACTCACTGCACATGCTTCAACCACGATCTCCCTTGTAAGTCTCATCACATAACCATTATTCTAGAATCCAAGGAAACATAACATACACAATCGATCAATCCCGGGCACACCACCTGTGTCGCCCCCATATCCACCCTCACGATATTTTCGGCCCCCGCTTTCTCCTTTTCGGCATCACTCTTTCTATTTCCCACCGCCCCTACGTCTGCATCCCTGATAGCCTCGATCCTCCCGCTCCTCGCGTCCACAACAATTTCACAGTTCTCCCTGACCCTCAGCGCCTTAGGCGTAGGCGCGTCTATGAACGTGCCGGTGATTACGTATTTCTCCACTGTCGAGGGGATATCGGCTGGGGTTGTGAAGCGTGCCATTGTTGTTTGTTCGCTAACGCGGTTAGTTTGAGAGCTGAGAACTGGCGGGGGTTAGTAGCGGGCCCCACCCAGGTAGTAGTACCAGGGTCGAGTTAAGCTTTTGGAGCCGCTGCTAATGCCTTGGCATAATTTCACTACTATGCCACCAGCACCGGGGGCGTACTCTAGCACTGGCCGAACCGAATACTTCTACGTGCATTCTCGTCACGAAGCTTTAACGCGCGGCTCGATGGCCCTTTTACTCTGTGCCGTACTCTAAGGTGGGGATGGGACGCGGGAATTAATTACTTCATGCACTGTCTGCACAGAAAAGGAAAGACTCGAATCACTACTCTACTTGAAGACCAGAATATCTAACTGCATACATGCATATACAAGTACTCTAGAGTAGCATACCTAGAGTAGAGTAGAGAACAGTGGTTGGAGCGCGCGCCCCGACCTACTTAGCTAGCTACATGTGGGTACATGTAGTTCGGTAGATATCACAAAAAGCTTCGCACTGCCGGCCCCGGACCGAAATTGCTTATTGAGCCTGACTTTAGTTCTTCCATTCCGACTGGTAGAAGTCTGATCAGAACCCCACGAAAAGGACTTGGGTCGATTTGAGACCCCCTGGCCGGCCGGTGCTGGACCATATGTATGATCGGAGTAATTATTATTTGAGTTTCTCAGACCTTTTAGCAAATGGCACTATGATATGATATATAATCTTTTTTCCAGGGTTAAGAACAACCACAAGATGCAGGTCTCGGCGCACAGTTGGAATGTCATTTTTGGCAGGTGGTCTAGGCACTGTTGGGCGCCAAGAATAACCATATCTACAGACAATCCCTCCGACATTCGAGGCATGTAGAGTGGTACGTGTGTGTACCAAGACCTGCATTCCTGGTGTAGCGATCTAGAACGAGTTTGGAAACAAGACAATATGCCCTGTTTATCAATCCAGACCGGAGCCCGATGCTCCTTTCTACCTCGCCGTAAACCAAAATTCAGGACCTCGGTATATTCGTATACAATGGATGATTATGCGTTTCTTTTCAGGTATTGATTGAATATGTTATCTGGAAAAGGTCTCAATCAATGCGTAGTGTGTTTCTAAACTATGCCCTCCGTTTATTTTGCTTCGACCATGTTGGGTTGGATTGTATTAGATTAATATCGGCGTGGCCACGATTCACGAATTTTTCCCGGGCCCCTTCGATCTTTTTCACATGTATGGACGTTTAGGCAAGAGAGGGATACTCTAGGCATATACGCTTATGAGTACCTCAAATTATACTTCAATAGCTGATATCCGGCCTGTCAATAGCCACTGAATCTGTAATGATTTTTTATGCAATTTTTGTGTCGCCTTATTCCATGCTGTATTACTATGACAGGTAAGTAATATTATAATGTGATGAACATTACAACCATCGATACGACATTTAATCACAGATCTTGATGCTGGCTAGATCAGATCAGACTAAACGCAATGAATGTGGAAAAGTGGCTAGCTCACTCTTTGTCAATACCTTACATCAACCACCGTTTGATTTGGGAAACGGCCCATGAATGAGATACATACCTACATGTACTTGGGCAGTTACATGTATGGTATGACATAGTTCGCCAGCTATGAGACCGGCCAATTAGTATCTCCTCTCATTGTATTAACCTCCCCGCCCCCCGAGACCACAGCCCCTTGGCTCCGGGTATTGAGACGTGTCCTTGAGCTTCCGGTCCAGATTGCATGGCCCAAAATACCAGCGCGCGTGCCTCCTCAAGTCCCAATGTCCCAATATCCGAAAGAAAAAAAGGTGGGGGCCGCCAAAAAATTCTAGACTTTCTTCGGCACGGGCCCGAAGCAAAACACAGTCCTAAATTCCCTAATACGTACCAACGGCGTGCATACATAGTCCGACATTGCGCCATTAGATAGCAGATATATCTTCATGTCATTCGGTACATCAGGGAGACGCGCCACAGGAAACTAGCCCTCGGACAGACTCTAGGTACCGCGGAGGTTGGACTTTCTTGAGATACTTTTGTGCATTCTCGGCTGTGACCGACTGCATACCTCCCCGTTGTAAGGAAAAAAAGGATATTGCGCATTGAAATTTGCGCGAGATCACGCCCCTCCCCCCGCCCCGGCTTCCATTCCAGTAAACGTGGGAGAGCGAGAGAATTACACAACTGTAGTTTCTTTTTTTCTTTTTTCGTTTCTGGAATAAACCTGATGATGCAGGATCGAGTTTGTGTTTTTGTGAATGACCGCCGACTTCGAGTGAGAACGCGTGATCCGAAATACAAAAGCCTACATACGCACCTGTGCACCAAATCAGATCAACCGATAGCTAAATGATCCTAGAACGATGAGATGAACATTATAGACTGACTAAGAAGTAGAATGTCCATCTTTCAATGATGTCGATCATCGTAGGTTTACCTTCATGCATTGCCAGCTTGTATGGCCATCACACATCGGAATTAAGGCATGGGAATCGGTTGAAGACTTACTAGATTTGTGGTGTTTCAATATTTACAATGCTCTCAACTACCGGTTTGTTACCGCCTTTGCCTTGGCGATATAATAGAGTTGCAAGTTCTAATCGTTTTTGAGTAAGGGGGGGTTTAATTAACTGCACCATATATTAGCGTAATGTTTTATCAATCCTCAAGATAAGTGTACATGTGTACATACATAAGGTATGCTGAGCGCGCCCACCATCATGACCCTGCAGTTGAGGCACCTGGCTAAGTAAGTGTAATTCTTTCCCCTCTATATTTTTATGATCCCAACGGCAATGAGACCACACTCGACCAATCAACCATTTCGTACGCACAGGCTTTTTTTTTCTTTTCGGATATATTCCTCAAAACGAGCCAGGCCGGAAGGACTACACATATCTAAGTGAAAATTTCCGGCAACAGCGGTTGAAAAAGTGAAAGGAAGGGAAGGGAAAGGCAGTAGAAAGGCCTCTTTGTTGTCAATATCTCAATTGCTTGCAAGTACAGCTGCCTGTTTAACTGAATCAGATCGACACGTGAACTATTGAAAAGATGGAAGACCTAGGCACTTACTGATCATGATGATGATGTCTCAAATCAATCGTGCAGAATCTACATGTACCAATTCGATACTGAATTATCAGATCTTAGAAATCCGGGCCTCATGTAGCCAATCAGATGCATGTACCTTCCGGTACCAGTGTTGGTGTTTATCGGGTGTGACAAACCGACAATCAATAAACTAGCTCCGAGTTTTTCCTTTTTTTCATCAAAGGACAAAGAAAGAGATTGGTGTTTTATGGTTTGAATCCTGGAGAAAAAGCCTTGATGGATGTAGGTATGTACCCAGCCTATAGAGCAAACCTTAGGTGTCCTCTAAGTTGCTTGGCCAATAGGCCCCTGTCCGTAATAAACGAACGGCAACGGGGTCCGGAAAAGACTTTTTATTATGACGACGTCTGAAAATCTTGCTGAAGTCTGCCTACTATCTAGATGTATGTGTAACAATTGCCCCCTCAGTGTACCTGAATTTTTGGGCCACTACGCGCGTCATTTTTGGGGATTTCGCGTTACGATAAAAACGGCATTCCCCGGGATAGGATCACAAATGTATGCGATTTAAACTCAGAGGCTCGTCCTTGAAAAAGCTCGTGATTCCCGTAAGATGCGCGCAATCCATCCGGAGGAAGCCGAAAAAGACATTTCCACACCTGCCGCCGATGCACACAAGCACCATCTCTGTTAATCTCAGGGAACGAATAACAAATAGAGTATTAGTGGTAATATCATTATTATTATATGTGAGAGACATCCTGGCCACTGCATTGCAGCAATATTGGTAGGTAGAGTAGGTCCATGCTGGTCACCGTCCTGCAGGTCCAGTGACCTGACTGGAGTCACACTCGGAGATTTTCCCCCATCTCATTACTCCCTTCACCCCCTGTCTGTCTCTCCTTCCCACGATCAACCCTGCCGACGATCCTTTAAACGGAGGAGGGGGTGGCCCTAGCTGTCGTCGATCATGGTGCACTGGGTCTCGGAAATTTATTTTACTGATCCATCCAACGCCCAGTAGTGAAACTGGGAGAAAAGAATAGAGGGATGTTATGTTTCGCTGTTGTGGTTGTTGAGTTTCCCCTACACCCCGAAGATGATCATCAGGTGATGAATCCTTAGACTTGTCTGTTTCATTCCCATGTTTTTCTTTTGCCTACAAGGAAGGTCATGTAGATAATCGATTAGATCAAAACTTGCTTTGCTCAATCACCCCCACGGTTCGTCCGATACCTCACCCCTATATCACGAACTGAATCGAAGGGAAGGGTACAAACGGCTTAAAGTCTCCAGATTAACTAATCTAGATAGAAAAATAAACAAACGGAAGCACAGAATGCTGCTGGCCGTGTTTACTTCGAGAGTCACAATGAAATTGAAGGAAGGTCGATAAGTCGCACTTTGGACCTCTTGGCGTGTTTCTGACACGATGTCACTTGTTCTCTCTCCCGTGTATCCTCGAGGCAACCGTGTAGCATTGCGTACAGCCGTACATGGTATGTATTTGACTAAGTATGTAGCTAGATATGCCGAGCGCGAACGAAGGTACACGTACATGTATTTAGGTAATAGTGGATAAACAAAGGAAAGACCTAGATTCTGGGAAAGCAGTAGGGGTAGAAGCAAAAACAAATAAACTTGATCCCTTTCATGGCTATGCCATATATTAATATAGAACAAAAGAAAGAACTCCATGTCCCATATCCTATGTGCTTAACAATTGTAGTAATAATCCTCTGTCCTTAAAATAAATAAACAAGGAAAGATTTAATGATAACGATTACAATGACCGACAAAGAATGGAGAAGTGAAAAGAAAAATTAACAAAATAACACTGATAATAGGACAAGATGGGACCAATAGGATGCACCTCATTAGTACTGGATAAGACATTCGATATTCTAACGCCGTTGCGCATTTCACACATACTCGCCCGATCCCTGTAGCAAAATCAAACCCAAAATCCATACCTAAAGAAAGCACTAACCCAAAAGAAAGGTGAATTATATGATAGCCAACTTTAACACCCTAGTAAGTCAACCTGCGCGAGGGCCGATGCATCTCCACCAGCGGCCACCACCGCTGCAGCTGCAGCTTCAGATAATTTTCTCCTTTTCTCTTGAGCCTCCCTTTCCCTTCTTGCTTTGGTCTTTGACGACCCGCTTGGAGCCACACCGCTAAGAATCCTCGTGGCATCGTTGGGCGTATAGTTTACGAATGATCTAATACCATCGTTCGATTGTGAAGATTGCGATGTTCCAGATGACTTTGCCTGAGAGCGCATTGAACTACTACTAGCCTTCCTACGGGAGGAACCAGGCCTTGATATTGGTTTCGAAATTGTTTTCGATGTTTTCGACGAAGCGGCGATCGCTGCCGCTGCAGCAGAGGTGGCAAATGTATGCGATGAAGGCGGAGATGGCGTTTGATGGAGCGATGGCCGACGAGCGGTCGGATCTATTGACGATGAGCTTGGAAGATAATTCCCGCCAAAACCGCTCTGGTTAAGTGATGGCGTTAAAGAGTATCCAATTTCTGGAGTAGGTAGCTGTGATGGATAATACAATTCTGACTCAGGCGGAGATGGTATCGAAGAGCATGATGAAGCTGGCCGCTTAATACTGTGCGCAAATATGCCACCCTCATCTTCATCAAACGACGGCGACGGGGGCTGACGGTATAGCATTGGACTGTATGTAGGTCGATGAGAATTCCCATTCGTGTGGTGACGAATCGTATCATTTGATAGATCACTGAAATGTTCAGACGTGACTCCACTTAGATGTGAGCTTGGCCAGCTTTCCTCTATTATATCGACCTTGCCTTCTCCCCACCAGCCCTGCGGAGTTGAGCTTTCAATAATGGGCGATTCAGTGGACATTCTCAAACCAATGGACGGATCAAGCGGCTGCGGATCCATGCTGTTTTCTACCATATTATACTGATCATCTATGATATACTGGCGAGGTTGTGGAGTATATAATCCCTCGTAAATTTCCAGCGAAGAAGGATTACTAGCTCGGCGAAAGGCAAGTTGCACGGCTGAAGCTTCTGAACAAAATGGACCAGTTTGTAAAGATGACATACTGTGGGGGCGAGCAAGTGTCACTTGTTCATACTGTGGTGTGTGGAGATTTTCAGCTGATAGACTGAAGGAAGCCCGTGAGTATTCGGGTCGAGAGCTAGATACTCTAGATGAGGAGTGTGGGGGGGTGTATCGGGGTATATCCGAAGTCATTTGCCCTAAAGACTGTAACGAGTTCTGTGTCGGTAAATATTGAATCATTTCGTCAAATGTTGGGTTATTTGAGGGAATGCTATTTTGCTGCACGTTGTTCATTTTAATGAGTTCTGTGAATTGAGCTCGTCGTGCAGAGTGGAGATCGCGGTGACTTTTACGGTGGCGAAGCGTTCTGGTGTTTGTTTTTGGTCCCTCTGGAAGGATTGTATTTTCAACGGAGGTGGTCGGGATGGCAGAGACGTTTGCGGGGGGGAAAGAGGAAGAGGGGGAGGAGGAAGAGGAAGGAAAGCAGGAGCTCAGCGATGTTGTTGAGGCACGTCGATTACAACTCGCTGGAGTTCTCACGAGCGGGTCAAGTAGGTCAGCATCAATGCCCGACAAACCAGCCAGGCCCTGGCCCTTGCCCTTATAGCGGGCAGGAATGCGCATGTGCATCGTTTTCGTGGGTGCAACGCCAACTCCCCAAACGGGAACAGCTTGTGGGGCAAGCAGTGACGCTGAAGGTGGAGATGGTGGATGCGCTACGACTGGTAGCACTGTAGGCCAAGAGTCTTTTCTCCTTGCATGTTGATCGCCGGGACCTGCAGACGACCCGCAGCTGTTGGCGCACTGGTTGGCGCTATCGAGTCCAGCTGGGGGGGAGTGAAGCATTGTTGTCTTTGAAAAAGGCGTTCCGTATCAGTAAAGAAGAAGGCAAAAATGGTGGGGACAGGTGGGGACAGTGGATCATAGTGGGACCATGCCCCCCTCCTTCTCAAACAGCCTCATTCATCTCACTCACCTTAAGCTCATCGAACTCTCCAAAATCTGCATTTTTCTGGTCCCCTGTATCATTGCGAGCATTTGTGTCGTCAACCAGGTCGAGAAACTCATTGTACTGGATGTCTGAACAGAGACCCAAAGCATCGAAAGCGTGGTCCTCACCGCTTTCGGAATGATGCATAATATCCGGCATCCACATCGATTCTGTTTATTATTTCCGTGTTTAATTCCAACGCAACCTTGCCTTGGCTCCCTTAGGGATCGAGATTGCGAAAGTATGTATGCAAGTAGAATCAACCCGATGTAGGTGGCGTATGTAGCGTATCGTTGTTAACACAGAGAGGAGGAGGCGTGATGATAGTGGGTGCCTGTGATGTCTGAGTTCGAGGATCTACGCTTTCAAGATGCTACAAACTTGAATATTGGTGTAGGAAGAGGTAAAGAATTAAAGTCAAAGAAGGAGATAAAAAAATCAACAACAATTGAAACGAGAGGATGCGGCTAAACAAAGCTCCGGTGGATACCTGATGATGACCTACCACCAGTGCGAAGATAGATCGTACAGATGTAAGACAAACGGAAGAAACGTCTTTCCGAGTACTGGGAAACCAGGTAGCGCAGCACCGGTATATGTGGTGAAGATGCACGAATAGTCGATAGCCAGGAAAACGCTTGAAATAACCAGGTACTTATTCAAGTTCCCGTTCTTCGTCCGCAGCTCGCAGAAGCTTGCGTTAGACCAGCCCCTTAAGTTCCTCACAATCACAGAATTGAACTTAAATTGCCGAATATTGTGGAGGCTGCTGAAATTTTCAAGTACCCCAGCCTTGCAACAACCTATCAAATACCTGGGTAACAAAAGTCGGTCAAACATCAATGAGGCGTCAAGCCTAACACGGTCGGAACGGTTGACCTGAATATTGGGGTAGAGGTGGCTAAAAGAAATGTGACATTCCTATGGCTGCCAGGAGGAGTGGCTAGAATTCCGTAACCGGACCTACATCTATACTCCATTCTTGACACATAAGCGAAGTCTTGATCACACTCAATTCCTGTCAACAATGTTCAGAAGATCAATAGGTTTGGAGTAGCAAGATTGCAAACCCCTCACAATGAAATTGGATGTTGGCAACATGGCGAATTTCTGAGCTTGAGTATCAGTCGAGGGATTGTTTGTATTGACAACTAGATCGGGCTTGAGGTATGATAGACTAAGCCTCCCAATATGATAGTTTCTTATGCGTTTGCGCATGTATCTGTCTCTGCTATCACAAGTCCACCGCCTCCATTAGATTCTAAAAGCTAAATAGGACTTCCACCCAAAAAAGTACACCATGCCCGAGAAATAGTAGAAACACCGAGATCCCCACCGGAGTAACAGACCACAAAGGGAACAATGTCCACAATGTACAATTAAGCTTTGCTAGGCTTTTGAAGCAATGTCCATGACAACAGCCACTAACGGGAACGGCGTGAATGTAATTACTTTGGCCGAGAAGTAGAATAGCAGCTGTGCCATTCGTTTCTTTGCCGATGCCAGTCCTATTTCTCGCCCGTTAGAATATGAGAAATAGAACCGTTCGTATAGGGCTTCTTCGATGGCCCCCAGAACGGACCGAGGTTTAAGCGGCCACATTTTTAGATATATATATATCGCTGCTACAGGCAATATATTATCTCCATTTTTTTCCGGAATGACAACCACTTGCATTTTTCCCCTCTCAAGAACGTACCTAGATTGTGCTGTTCTATAACTATATCAAACAAAGCTGTTGTAATCGAATGAAACCGATAACCCCCGGCCTTATCTGCTAGTATTTATTTCTAGGAATCTAGGTAACAGAAGCGGACGACCGGATTGTATGGGGACCACATTCGTCCGGGAGACTTTCCAACCTCTCATTAAAAGCTTCCCGAGACCCTTTTTGTGTTTCCAGAGGACTTTACTTCCGTTCATGGACATTTTACCAACTTCACCATCTATTTTGGAATAATTATGTTATGTATGGTGCGTGTTGCAGTCTTCCCGACAGTGGAACAAATAAACTCTCAATAGTGGAGCTGGGGTGAATAGAGGCCATTATTTCAGCCACCAGACAAACCATAGGACAACGGATGAGTCGGCAAATCTTGGATCTGGAAACTGACTATTATTTAGTCCTTCAACTCCTGACGTCATCGCTAAGAACAAGTATGTCCCCCTTAACAGCGATCTTACGGTTAGTGAGCATCGAGTAGAGCATGTTTAGTATACTAGTGGTAGATACACAAAACCGCCAACGAGATAGTAAGATATGTCTGGAATTCCGTTTCTCGTATAAGGGTGGCACAACTTCCATCAATGGAATGAGGCTTCATCAATAAGATAGAATAAATTCTCCAATCTTATTAACGACTGTTGATCTTGCTATAACAGCCTGACATCGGGGTAGGTGGTAGGTGGTAGGTGGTAGGTGGTAGGTGGTAGGCAGGTGGTTCAAGTGTGAAGTATTGATGAGGTCCATATATATAGTTCACTTGTGTGCTATTTGTATGACTGCATGCAGCGTCTAATACCGTTGCCAGTTACTCTCCAAATCTGCAAAGCTACACCGGATAGCATATCAGCATTTCCTTTGTAACTATTATAAAACTCATTCATCATGAGTGAGAGCCGAGGCAAATCGGTTGGCTCAAGGAACCATACATATGACTGGCGAAATGATTCGAGAAAAGCTCTCTAAATACAGTCAGAGAGAAGAGTATAAGCCAAGGGATGGAAATAAATTTTTTTAATGGCGTGTTCTCGTCACTCAAGCCCATTACACTACGATAACGGCCAATCTTTCCCTTATTTGCCTTTTTGCCAGCTGTCAATAACACGATGTATAAATCACCAAGTCAAGGTTGATGTGCAAGAATTTGTGCGTAAATCACAAGAATTCTAATTAGGGAAGAGCAGTCATTGTACTAATCTTGCGTACTTCAAGTATGACGAAGATAAGTATTTTCAAACGGAAATTTGTCCCTGATGGAAAAAATTAGTCTCAATTACCAAAGAGGTAGTAGATAGTAAAATAAAGAAATCTTTATAGGATTAACTAAGTGATCGTTATAAAATAAAACTATTCGGGGCCGAATGGCTCATTAAGCAGGGAGTGTCTGACCAGTTCAACCAAATTTGATTAAAGTTGTTTGCCAAGGAGGGTTAGCGAAATATGAAAATACTCATTGTTTTGAGATAATAATCAAATATTGACAACCTAGGAGAGTGAGCTGGGTAATAAGCGATATGTTATCATAACTTTGACTGAAAGAGGAGTCATCGGAAAAGAGGGCTGAATATATTACCGTCAATCTAGGTCCACTGCACTCTCGATAATCCCACCACCTAGACATCGTTCGCCGAACCACAATGCTGCACTTTGGCCAGGTGTTACTGATCGCTCCGGGCTTTCGAAGAGTATTTTTAACCTGTTTGCCCCACCCGTAGCTGATTTAGGAAGTGATAAACTTTCGATTATCTCCACCTTTATCACCTTTACAGGCTTTTGTCGATGTCTGAACTGGGTAACCAGGCCACTTTCCCAGATTGAATTATCTTTAGCGTTACAGATATTGGTGAATATCTGAAGGGCTACTCTTTGGGCGTCTTCCCCTAGCCATCTCCAGTCCTCCATAATCATTCCCTTCCCGAAAAGCCTGGCATTGTCGAGGCCCTTTACCACTTCAAGCGTATTGCTTTCTTTATATTTCCTAGAGACATACCATTTCCCAATAAATCTTGGGTCCCCTTGCGGAAACTCGTAGTGACTCCTTTCACCAATAGTAGCATGCCAAAGACCTTTATGTTTCCCAATCACCGTTCCTTCGGGAGCCGCATGGGGTTGAACATTGCTTTCTTGATTTGGAGGGAAGATTTGGGATGGCCCAACAACAATATTTCCAGGCTCAGGCTCCAAGTATTCTTGTAGCCACCGACGGAATCCGCTCTTACCTCTTCCGCCCCCGGGCTCGACGAAGCAGAGACCCATGCTTTCGGGACGTTCAGGCTCCCCTAAACGCCAACCTGGGAGAGAAAGTTCGCGTGCCAATGCTTTCACGGCAGGCTTTGAGAGGCTATGAGAACCAAGAGGAAAGATGAGACGGGGAAGTACAGAAGGGGGGATCATGGAAAGATAAAATGTTTGGTCTTTATTTGGATCACAAGAGCGTAGAAGGTGAGCGCTATTTGTGGGGATGTGGTTTAAAACATGAGCATAGTGGCCTGTGAATGTTAGTAGACAAATATGGAGAAAGAAGGAATTGAGGGAAAATTTGGTTCAAAAATAGTAAGAACATCCCCAGCTGATAATTCCTTACCAGTAGCCATCCACCATTTTCTACCCTCTCTATTGATGGTCACATTTCTTTCAAACTCATTTTCCAGTCTTTTAATAACAGTGCCAAACTTGATCTGCCGATTACACTCAACGTCGGGGTTCGGCGTCTTTCCTTGTTGATACATTTCGATCATTGGCATAAACACCTCGTTCCAATACTCCTTCTCAAAACTCATGTATAGTGGCTCTTTTAGCCCCATAGCATAGCACACCGCTTTGACGTCGTTGAATTCTTTCTCTGTGCACTTCTCAGATTGGCTCACATATTGTACTTGTTTATCGCAACTCTCTTGACGGGGTTTGTTGTAAGGTAATCGAGCTGGCGTCATCGAAACCGGATTAGCAGCCGGTGACCAATTTGCCATGTAAAACGGCTGAAGATTCTCTCGTGGGTGGCCAGAACGGAGAAGTAGGGCAGCTGCAACAGAAGAGTCTACACCTGAGGACATTGCAATATAAACTGAATCGGTAAATGTTAACGTCGTAGATTTATAGAACGGTTAGGGTCGATTTTAACAGACTTTTATCGCTAGGAAAAATTTTGGGCTCATCATATTCAGTTTGGAAGATGTTTCTTTTAAAACAGTTGGTCCTTCGAAAGACTGTTAAGAAAGCAGCAACCCGGGGCCCAGGGTTACAAATCGATAGACGGTGTAGAATCATGGAGTTGGTGTTTATGCTCTGCGGAGGTCCAGGGCGGGCGGTTTTATCAGGAACCAGGTTTCTCGAATGTTGCAAGACCCCTTGGCAGTGGCTGGAATAGATTCGCGATCCGATGAGCCACGCTTCAAATTCGACCAACGTGTCAGATCGTCATGCATGACCCCGCGGCGTCTGCTGAGTAATCCCTGTGGCGTAATATCGCGCTCCATGCCAAGGAACAATTCTCCCCTCTTGGTTGTGTTCTCTCTCCTCCCTCTCGTGTCATGTCCGCCTCCTTTCCCCATCATCCATCATCGTGAAGCTTTGATCATCAACTCATAGAAGGAAACTCCGACTAACCACCGCTGAAAGAGCAGCGGAAGAAGAAGGAAAGAGCGGGATATTCGCAAGATTATCCATTTTGTGACTCTCTCCACTTTGTCGGTTAAGTTTTTTTTTTTTTTTTTTTCGTGTGTTTGCGTGTAAGAAGCATCGAAGCTCGTCAAAGGCTACACTCAGGAGAGAAAAGGGGAAGCAGAAAACGGGAAAGAGAAAGAGAGAGCCAAATCACTGCCACGGGTTGAACAGGAGTAAGGGAAACACGTCCGGCTTCACGTTTTATTTTCTATCATACCCTCTCTACCCTAATACTCTTTTTCTTCTTGTGAGGATATCTTCTACCACGCGAGCATTTTCGCCATTACTCGCTCATCCTCGGTCGCGAAATTCCTTTTTTACCCACATCACTCAGCGCCAAAATTGACCCGAAAGGTAGCATCGCTACGGTTGCTGCATCGGGTGATTTTTGCGTTGATATTCTACATATCCGGCAGGTGCGCTTTCCCGTTTAGGATTAGCGCATTTCTGAGGTTGGGACGACATAAGCATTTCCCCCCAAAGCGTCGAGGCTGAAAACCGAACCAAAGCAGGCTACTTAAACCAACGCCATATAGCAAAGTAGAAAGGGTATATATTAGGAGAGGGATATGGATACTACAGAAATGAGCGAGCCTACCGGAATGGTTGGCTCGGCGAATGGGTCGCGTATTGCACAGAAACATCAGGTCCCATCGTCCCAGCCAGACTTCGCGTCATCTCTCGCATATCACAGTCCCCATCACCAGTATCTATACCCGCCCGGTCATGCGAGCGATTTCACGCTTCAACAGCAGTTTGCACAGGACTTTTCTGCTTCGCCTTCATATTCTGGCGCCTGGGATATATCATCTGCTCAGCATCTCCACGGGCAGAGTTTTGTTCCACAAAATGGACTGCAACAATTTGCCTCTCAATATCCTACACAAGTGCAAATTTCTCAACAGCACCAGCAGCAACAACAGCAGCAACAACAGCAGCAACAACAGCAGCAACAACAGCAGCAACAACAACAGCAGCAGCAACAACAACAGCAGCAGCAACAGCAACAGCAGCAACAGTTTGCTAGTGCGTATAGTCCATCATCCCAGCAAACCATTGCTCCATCTCAACTCGGCGCAAATTCATTCCCCACCCAAAATACCACAGCATCTCCATCTGAATTATGGTCGGAGTTTGGAGCCACACCTCCGCAAACTAAACAACCTCAGCCCGCCAAAAAGACCCGCCAAAAAACGGAAACTCCAAGTGTACAATCCGTTAACACCAATGTTGTTGTAACGCCATCCCCAAGTTTTAAAAGACCAAAGGATTGTCCATGGATAACAATTGTAGAAAATGTGGACCCGCTTCTTCTCCGTACGTAATTTTCCTTGATTCCTTATACATGTCACCATCTAATACCCCAACAGAAGCACTGTCACAGGTTAACTTGATCAATGAACCTTTACCTGCTGGACCAGCTCCTAAAAAATCCAAGCTTAATACTACCACCAGCCGAACTCAATCACTTGAAAAACGCCCCCCGAAGGCTATCCCTAAATCAAAAATTCCCGATGATCCCATTGAGAAAATAAAATATCTGGTTTCCGAGGCCCTTTCATGCGATGACGATATTGAAGATATTCGGGAAGCATCAAAGAAATTGTGGGATATCATGTTAGATGTACCGCATCAGGACCCAAAACAAATTGAAGCTGTTGTTTGGGCCATTCTAAAATCTGGTGATGATTCAATATTGCAACACCTCGGTAGCTCAATTCTTTTCACAGTTCGGTTGAGATATTGGATGACAGCAGAGTGGAATAGAGACCGAAACGCATCAACCGTACTAAATTTGCTCAGGGTATGATATAAGTTGTGATGAACTCTAAGTATAAAAGATCTTTCTGACGACTTTATAGTTATTGCGAAAATTTCGAGTTACTGAGGAGCAGCTTGAGGAAGCAAAATGGACTAGGGCACTAACAAGTATCGGAAGTAAGACGAAGGATCAGAGGGTATCCGAATTATGTGCTGTGATAAGCAAAGCTGCAAGAGAAAAATCTGCAGCTCTGGCAAGAAAGGACAGAGAGGAGCGGATTAAAGACAAGAGTGAGAAGCAGAAAAGTGCTCCACTGACAGCGTCTGCGCCTGCGCGTACTAATGGCGATAGAGAAAAGGTTGCTGGAAATGGGATAGCAATCAAAAGTGAGGGCAGTAGAGGTCTTAATGTTGGCATCAAACGCAAGGGCGATGACGATTCCAAAGCGTCTGTTGGACCCAACGCAACGAAAAAAGTTGCGGTTGGTGAGGGAAAAAACTCTGTTGCCTCAAATTCTAATAATACAACTGCTGGGGTATCTACCATGCCTTCTAAAAACGGGCCAACGTTGGAGAAGAAATTGACTACAAGTGCTGGAACGTCTACGGCGGCTCCTGTTGCCAAACCGAAAACTACCACTTCCGGGTTTTTCAAGTCGTTGCAGAGCATGCGCCCAGTTTCTGCCAAAGTGCCCCAAAAGTGCGTTGCTTTCCCTTTCCCATACTTCCCATGAAAACCATCCATTTCGGGAATAAGATCGTCAGTTTCTAATGTGTCACGTGACCTGGATTTAGAGCCCCCGAGACCAAACCACAACCCAACACTGCAGAGCCACCTCAACCCACTACATTCACCAGCATCTTTGATCAACTCAAGTTACAGCAACAAGGTAAAACATTGGGAGTCAAGTCCGACGCCGATGGCAAAAAACGCGAAGCAGATGATGACTTATCGGGCCCTAATAAGAAATCAAAAAAGAAAAAGACTGTAAGATGGAAAACGGGAGATGACCTTGCAAAAGTTAAGCTTATTGAATGGATGGAACCCGAGGGAGAGTACTATGGTGGAGGAAGTGGGCACGAAAACCATGAATGGGGTAATGCTAGGAACTTTGATGTCGAGGAGGGCAGAGAGGCACTGGCAGCTCTTAAGAACAGAAACCTTATCGAAGATGAAGAGGACCTGTTGGATTGGTATCAACCTATAGGTATAATTTTGCTTCTTTCAAATCAGCCTCAGAACTCTCACATGCTAATAATTTCTTAGAAATCGATTTTGGAAAGTTCCACGATCTATTCAAAGCTGCTCCCACTGATCATGCGATCAAACGTGGAGGGAATAAGAAGCCTGTTAGTGAAGAGGCCAAAATACAATCTCAGAGAGAACTTGTTACTTTATCTGCGCTATATACGTCATCGCAGAGCATCCCAGTTTCCCCCCAGGAACCGGATTCAAACAATGATGGTTCTCAAGTATCTGACAAGCAACCAGTTATAATCCCGTTGCCCGATAATATCAAAGTAAGACCCTGTCGTCTAAGATTTATAGTGATTTTCTAACCTTAAGTAGCCCCCCGCTAGTATCTTTCAAGCACCAGCCTCTCAACCACAACAATCACAGCCACAACCACAACCACAACCAGTAATAACCCCAGACTTATCTGCCATTCTACAGTCATTTCAACCACAACTTCAGCAATCACAACAGCAGCAACAGCAACAACAACAACAGGCTCAACAGGTCCCAGCTCAGGCTGTTACTAACGATTTCTTGGCTCAGATCCAGGCAATTACTAGGGCTCAGCAGGCTCCTCAGCAGCAATTTGGTCAGCAGCCTCAGCCACAGCAACAAACAGTACAACCAAGCACGCCCGATATTGGCTCAATTCTTGCGGCTCTAGGTGGGGCTACTGCAGGACAGCAGCAGGCTCAACAACAGGCCAATAACAACTTTCTACAGAACTTGATTCAGCAAAATCCGACTACTCAAGCACAAAATGCTGCCCTAGGGAGCGCTTTAGCTTCATTTGGACTTCCATTATTCCAACCACTTGCGTCTTTTGGCCAGGCTCAACCCCCTCCAGCCTCCACTGGATATGAAGCGCCTGTTGCCCCCAAAGCATGGTCGACTTATGATTCTCAACCTCAGCAGGCTTACGGAAGCGACAGCAACAATGGTAACAATGCTAACCAATCTGCATGGACTGGAAGCGGGGGAACCGATGAGTTTGGTCGCGCGTTGCGTGATGGCGAGAAAGAAAAGGAGGGCAGAAGTGGCAGAGATATTCGTAGAGATTTAAGAAAAGCTACAGGATGGGATGAAAGGAAAGTTGAAGCGGAGCAGCCCCTTAGTGGGAGCGGTAACGGAGGTAGCGGGAGCGGTCGTGGTGGAGGCTGGGGTGGAAAACACAAAAAGGTAAATTATTAACCCCATCTATGCATGTCTACTTACTTTCCTGTTATCAAAATTCACCCCTTCTATGGCACATTGCATTACTCTTTATACAAATACCCTTTTCATCTGCCCGAGACTCTCGAATGGGCTATTTCAATCGCCATGTGATTGTAATCGTCATTTTCGACCACATCTCGGGCAATGTTTTTGTAAATTAATGTGCTATGCTAGCCGTTATACCTGTTTGTGTTGAGTTACTCCTGTGGCGATAGCACACGATGGCTATTTCTTCTGATCGGGGGGCATTGAAGATAAAGAGAAGGCAACACCTGGGGATCTTCTCGATGTTGGGATATCGCTCAATAGTGAATTCCGCCTCTTACCTTGAGATTTCTATTCCCGGGCGAAGGCGCGAGAAATACCAACCAAACTCGATATTCCATTAGCATCTTTTTTCCCGTCTTTCTTTCTTTATATGGCCTTATCTTTATGCCACCCATACTACACTCAATCCCAAACAAGCCATTATAAATTAAGAGAAGCTTGTGGAGGCTTCTCGGGAGTGCTTCTTATTTTGAACTTTTTCTGATCAAAGTTTGCCGAATATAGGATAAAAAGGCTGCCAAGCAAGGCAACGTTCCATGCATTTTCTACCAGAAGGGCAATTGCAAGAACGGCGACAACTGTCGATTTGTACATGAGAAGTCTTCTGGGGGAGGAAGAAGACGGGGTGGTGGCGGTAGTGGTGGTGGAAGAGAGTCGGGAGGCCCAGGTGCAGGAACACCTGGGTGGCCGACGAGTGGGGAAATGGAGTATTGATGAGAGATCATCAATAATATCCAAATAATGGCCCTTAACCAGACTTTTGTTGAGAAAATCAGCGCTAAGATATGAAAAACGATCACGAAGCCAGCACCCAGCCTTCAGGACAGCCTGTAAATTCATTATCATTACGAAGTAAAGTCCTCGTATATGGCTGTTAAATGATTGCACGACCACTACAACAACTTGGGCTTTGACCAGCCACACTACGCCACCAAGCGAATATCGTACTGAAGACCACTTAAGGTCCCACGAGAATTCTCATCATTATTCTATTTTTGACTCAGGATTCGAGGGGGTTCACACAATCAACTCCTTCGTTTATTTATTAGTTGTATATTTTTCGATTATCGTATTTTGGGAAGGAGGCTTTTCAGTTTCTCAAATCTGGTTTTACTCCATGTACTTTTCGCCTCTGCATAGCATCATGATAGCACTACTTTCATTAGTGTAATTCCTCCTCCTCCCCCTCCTCTCTATATCCCTCTCGGCTCTCTTTTTGCCTCTTGTCTCTATATTCCCTTTCGTTCATGGTGGTTTGGGTTCTTTTTATCGCTTTCCTTCTTGTATAGTGGGGTTTTGTATGTATAGTCGGCCAGGGCTTGCTTTTGTATTATTGATATTAGACGGTACGGGAAAATGTTTTTTTTTTTTTGTGTTTTATAGTTGTCCGGGGGGCAAATGATGCAAGGGTTACGCTAAATAGAGCTTGTCTTCCTTGTATGTAGTAATTCAATGAAGCCTAAACTAGGCTTTTTATACCAATTTCTCGTTCTCGCGTTTGTGGTGCTACTACCAAGTTCCCTCGGTGATTGATTGATTGATTAATTTTATGCAGCCCGTATGCTATGACATAAGTTCCCACGTTGCCTTAAGCTTCGTTCCTTACATTACATTAGGTTTTTCCAAGCGACCGCATGGGACACAGAACAAACCTAGTGGCATAGGACTGACGGGAATAGATACATAAATCCGTGCCCCTGCTTGAATTACTTGAGCGGGTAGAAATGACCAATACAACATGTTTTCACCCCAGTAAGGCCTCTTTTACCCTGTACTCTATCTATATGTATCTTTATATTGCCAGAGAATGTAATCAGTCAACACTAGGGCGGCGGGAGAAAGAACGTTTAATTATTTATTTCTCACCCAAAACGTAAAATTCCCAAATATAACTCACTTCAGTTACGGGCCCGTAACCGCTATTAGGGCAACGTATATGGTGCAGGTTAGAAATCCTCCACAATCAATCACATGGCATTCCTGGACATCAGTGCATGAATTCGGAGGGTAATTCTATGTACCCTTTGCTCTTTGATTAGTATTCAAGGCGGTCCTTTCAACCACGTCGTGCGTGACAAGTGGGACAAACGTCGATACAAAATATTATATCGAGTCAATTAAGGATTTTGCAAAAGTATTTCGCATTTGCCACATTCTCCGACTCTATGTAACATCGTCTATATCCCACTTAAGACCTACTCCTCCAAAATCCGGAAAACCCTCGCTGTCCCCTCTGCTCTCTCCGCGCCGCCCTATCTAGCAAAACACCCTCTCCCGATGTCTTTCTTCCATCGATGTATTTCACCAAAAACCCCATAGTTATTGCAGACAAAATACTGATACACAGGATCCCGATCATCACCAAGTTCGACTTCCTGAATTGTTTAGGCCCCACAACGTTATCAGAAGCCCAACCTGTGTAAAGTGCATACGTCTGTAGAGCAGGCGGGCATTAGATTTGCTTAAAGCCCATGGAGGTATAGCTGCCCACTTACAGTAGTAACTGAGCCCAAATTCCCAAGACCTGAGACAAGGGCTGATGCCGCAGCAACACCAACTTCACCATGGCGGGGCTGGAATATTTCGCTTTACTACATGTCAGTTCAAGTTACCACCGCCATGTACAGGATCACTCACTTGGTCCAGGTCATGCAAATTGGCACTGTGGGTCCTAGCCCAAATCCAATCATGAGTAGCCCAAAGTACCTTCCCCATGGATTGGTAGCATAAGTTGTGACTAGCAAGCCCGATATCTGCACGCACACTGGCACTGTGAAGAAGAGCGCACGGTGTCGATTGAACCGATCACTAAACGGCGTAACTAGCAAAATGGCAATCAAATCGCAAACCCAAATCGGCGAAAAAAGCAGTGAAAGCTCGATACTAGTCAACTGTGGGTTGATGGCCCTAATAATAAGGGTTCCAAAATTCTGAACTCCAATACCGACCCCAACGACGCCAAAATACATTATAGTCAATGGCCATAAGCGCCAGTCCATCAAAACTCCCATAAGGTCTTTAATTGTCCACGGTGGGACGTTATAGACTCTCGTCAGCTCCTCATAATGAATGACTGCGTCCTCGCCCACTAGTGCCGGTTTTGGGACGGGCAAGTATTTCTGAAAACCAGATGGCTTGACCGTTGCTCCTGGAGCCACAGGGCGACCTGGGAGCCAATATAAGATGAATACCCCGCAAAGAACGGCCGAGACACCATATAAAAGGAACATCCACTCATAGCCAGTCAGCCCTCCCATTCCATTCATCTTCTGAAATCCAGCGCTGACAAGGCCAACAACGGCCGCGGAAACCTGGGCGGCGGTGAAATATTGGCCGATACGCTTTCCAGTGCGGGACGGTGGGTAGAACAGTGTAAGATAGTAGGCCATACCAGGCCACATACCAGCGATTACGATCCCGAGCAGGAGTCTAAGTAGACTACATAAAGAAATCAAGTTAAACCAGTTTTAAGCTAGTAATAAGAGAATTCAAATGGGATATATACTAGAAATTCCACACAGCATTCAAGGCTGCATGGCAGCATCCAACAACACCAACGCCGATAACAATTCTAGACATCCAGACGTGCGGACTCAATCTTGTCATAATGAGGTTCGCCGGTACATCAAATAGAACATAGCACACATAAAACAATGCAAGACCAGTACTGATTTGATGAGGAGTAAGTTTAAGGCGCTGTGATAATGCATCACCGGTAGAAGAGTTCATAGTGAGTGAGAGGCCGACATTGGAACGAATGGCGGCGCAGAGGAAATACAGGATCCAAAAGGCTGTTTGTTTTATAGTTAATAGTAAACCCTTAGTTAGATTTTAAGAAATCATCGTACCGGGTACTATTCGGCGATCAAGTTTTCTAAAAATTATCAGATGTTTGCATTTGAAGTTTCATTCTAAAGCCAATTCTTACTTATAGACCTTCTCGACCTTAGCATCTGCCACGGCATCTCCTCCTACTTCTCTGTCCTCGGTAGAATCGCACTCATTGATTGCTGTTTCTGGAATATCTTGTATAGCCGTCTTCTTGAGAGTGTCGGCCATTCTTCGTTCCTCTTTCGAATTTATGAAGCTTGATCAATTGAGTCACCGCAGAGTTGGGGAAAAAAGTGCGAGGAAATTCCCCAGGATTTGACGTTTGTAGTAGCAACCGAGAGAGTGGAGCCCCACCTTGCTTCGCCTTAAGACCTTAAGCGGGAGTTTGCGCATATCGGCTAACCAGTTGAGGAGGTCATGGGTAAATTTTTGACAAACGTGATATCGCTTCCAAACAAAAACGCTGGGCTGTTTAATGATGACACCGGCACACTAAGGGGTCTGTTCGGTTGACACAAAAATCCATAGATTGGTTGCAATCTATGGATTGGGCTCGATAAAATAATCACCTCCAGAGGCGTTTTTTTTATTCAATCCATGGATTGCAACCAATTCAACGTCAACCGAACGGAGCCTAAAACTTCAAGAAGCTACAAATTATCTAAAAGCAGGCTATAGCAAGAATCTTCCCCTCATCCCTCTATTGCAAGTATAAACTTACAAATGTTAAATTGAGAGAGGTCCCGAGTGATTTCGAGCGTGATCGAGTGGGAGTGTAATTTATTTGTCCTTCTCTCTCAAGCTATGTACATACGTAGAGATCATAATAAATGAAATTAAGCCACATAGTAAATATTGTGAAGGAGGGTGTGTATAAGGGATGTGTCAAAATGACTTTTTATTATTGTGGCTGATGATTTTTCATTTTATTTCCATCTTCTCTCTATTTATGGCTGTGAAAAACAAAGGTAACTGTCTGCTCCCTATATATGACTTCATTAACTCCATGATGAAACCATACATGTAGTTCACTAGAGATAGTTCTATAAAATGAAATAAAGTGAAAATAAAGAATATAAAGAAATATTCCAAAGGAAAATTGCATGATAAAGAAAAATAAAGAAAATGAAAATCGGGAAATGAGAATGGAAGAGACGGAAAAATAGACTGACGAGTCAGCTTTTCTCGTCGCGTCGGGAACACTGCCCCAGAAAATACTTCGTCAAAGACACCATAGAATGACGAACAGATATCCTAACCGCGTTACATACACATTACAGAGGGGAGGGGAAGATTCACAGTTAGTTCTATCTATCTAGTGGACAGAACGTTCTTGCAGTTCGATATACGGTCTTTATCATTTAGTCGGGAACAAAAACCGGTGACATTGAATCGTTGAGATATCTTGTCTTGGGATCAAATAATTATTAAACCCAAAAATAGTAACCATTACCGAGAAATTTCTAGGGCAAAGGGTTAATCCACGTGGTTTTTAGCAGTTGTGAAGCTTGGTCAAGGGTCTCATATAATACGCATATGCTCTCCTGCTGCACTAAAGAGAATTGGCCACAACTTCTGGAGTCAAGTAGATCTAAATTTATAAACTCATTTTATGAAGGGCACTCGAAATACACACATGAAGGTGCCGGGCCCTAGCTAGACGAATGGTTTATCCTAGAATACTAGGCCTATATTATTTGTCGTCCGGTCCGCGTAACTACTTGAGGTATGTGTACCTACATGTATAAGACTTCGTACCATGGATTGTGATCATACGTATGAAACTAATTGGTATGTAGGAGAAGTATATAATAACGAATTATGTTGAGAGGGCCTAAACTCTGGATGCCTTGAAATATTCTCGTTGTCGAGGGGAATCCTAATCTTTAAATATTCTTTACATAGTACCGGAACTCGTTCTATCTCATACATGATGGAGTCGTGAATTTGACTCCGGTTTTTGCCTCTTTGTGTACAGAAGTAGGTAAAATGTATTGTTATTTAGAAGCGAAGGGGGGCCAATTAACCTTTCCGGAGATTAAACTGAATATTACTTATAAGATGAAAAGGAAAAAAGAAAACCTCCCGTGTGTATATAAAAAAGGAAACCCTTCAGAGGACGCAAGAATACAAGAATACAAGAAATTAGAGCCTCAAACTTTACTGCTCCCACTCAGCATCAATTGCCCTCATCCTCTTCCTCCATATTAGTCTTTTCAAGCCTCTTCTTCCACAACCTCTTTTGACACCACTAATATTCTCCTCTAACCGCCACTCTCTTTGTTTCTTTTCTTCCTTTTCCGCTTCAATCTTTTCCCATCCAGCAAGCACCACCTCTCTCAACTCCTTCTCCCCTTGCTCCCCTTTCTCCTCTCGCCACTCCCGATATTCCATCTCTCCCTGTCTCATCCTAGCATTCATGAGCTTTACCATAACCTTTCGATCTCTCTTCTTCCGAACTTCCTTATGTACACCTTTTAGTGTAAACCCTATAACTCCAGCGGTTGCAGCATTTGTTTTGAAGAATCCACTGGCTACACCCTTCCCAAGGCCCTTAGCAAAGCCGACGGCCCCATCCTCCTTTGCACCTTCATACGGCTTTACAACGACGCCAGTGACACCGTCATATACACCAAGCGCGAATTCCTTTCCCGCTGCACGAAGTCCGGAGTGAATACCTGTTATACGATAAGGAGCGCGAACAGTATCACCGTAAAGGCGTGGCGCATTATGGAACCCTTGAGCGACAGCAAGTGAGACTTCCATTGGTGCACGAACGCCAGCACGAGCTACTTTTGACAGGCCTTTCGCGGTATTGTGAGCCATTTCGCGGTGGATAGGCTCTTGTTCCTCTTGTTCCTCTTCATCCGCATCTTCATCCCCTTCAGGAATCGACCCTATCTGTTTTCTTACGCCTGTGTCTGGGACTCTATCGGGCGTCGCATCTTTCTTGTGGCTGGTTGGAGAGGGGTCTTTATTGGACTTCCGACCACGCTTCGAGTTTGATCTTGACCTGCTTTGGGCTTTTGATGATGAGCGTTCTCTGATTTCCCCAGCAATATCGAGACCCTCCTCCTCGTCGAAACGTCTTGCGCCCTTGTACCACGAATACGGAACGCTAACGGCGCCTTTGGCAACACCTGCAACAGAACCAAAGAGGGCACTAAAACCACCGCTTAGTGGTTCTCCAGGACCGTCAAAGTCATTCCACTCGGTGTGTCGTACACTATTTTGCAATTAGCCTGTATTCAAACGAGTGAGTTCTTGTGATGGAAAATCTTACAGCCTCAAGTCTTTCCAGCCTAGTTTCCCCTCCTTTACTAACGCCCAAGCAACGAGTGCACTGAGTCTTGTTCTTGTGCGTCTAATTCGCCATACCGCAACTTTATCGTTTAACATCGCACAATGTATACCAGGGCCCCCACTGCCCCATTTCCCTTCCCCTGGTCCTCCGGGCCCTCCCTCGCCCCACTCTTTTCCACGCTCACCTAAACCACGTTTTCCACGTTTGAGGGCTTCAATGCCACGGTAAAACGATTTGACGGCGTTTTCTGCGCCATCGCCATCGTCTTCTTTGATTCGTCGACTAATCTCTTTTGCCGCGGTTTGACACTCTTCAGAGAGTAGCTTCTCGATACCTGCAGCAAGCTTTTCAGCCGTAAGTTCTTTGTGCGGTACTGGTTCGGCTCCCGCATTGGCATTGGCGACAGTGGCACCCCAGAATGCTTGATCACCGAAGAATGGCACAATCATCGTTGGTCGGCCGTGGTAAAGGCCAATGGCAGTTGTACCAGCACCACCATGATGCACCACGCACGAAACCTGAGAGAAAAGCCAGTCATGAGGAGTATTTTCTAACATGAATATGTTTTCTGGTATTTCGCTTTCATCTTCCCCGCCAATACCACCCCAGCCCTTGGAAACTAGCGCCCGGACACCAGATTGCTTCACTGCTTCAAATATGAGGGCTGTGAGACCATCTGGGTCGTCTACGACAATAGATCCAAAGCCAATGTAGACAGGAGGCGGCCCAGCAGCTAGAAAGTCGGCGAGGGGTTTGGGAGGCTTGAAAGAAGATGCAAGATCGAGGAATACAAAGCCAGTTATATCTATGTGGTCACCCCAATCATGAGGTTTAGGGATTAAGGCAGGGGACCTGCGGTGTTCATAATTTAGTGCCCATACTTAAAACCGAAAATAAGTAGTAAATAAATTTTGGAATTAGAGAAGCATACCACATATAAGTGAAAGGTACTTTCAGTCGACTTATCATTCCTGGTGCCCATAATGTTGCCACAGGTTCTAGACCTAAGGTTTTTTCTCGAAACCTATTCACTAAATCCCCCAATCCCTGCCATGTCATCATCTCAATCATAGGATATGATATCGCATTTGTATACTCGCTGCCCACATTGCTGCTTGTTATATTTGCCAGCGGGTGAGGCATTGTTTGTGTGGGTGAATATGGAAATGTGAACATTAGATGTAGTGGGACACCCAGCTTTTCTGCACAATGAACATGCGCAAAGCAGGGCGGATTTGCAATTATGGCGTCAGCGATGAATGGTCGCCCATCTATTTCTCTCTCATCATCCTCTTCGTCGCTGCCCCAATCAGATGTTGTTACTGAGCCTGTTGTAGACTGATCCCTACGTTTTTTATTCTTTTTAAACGAATCATCGTTGGGCTCAACACATGCTCTCCAAAACCCTTGGAACATCTCAAACATCTGTTCTCGTCGTCTTATTACGTCTCCTGCTTTGATTGTTTCTAAGCTAGGTATCAATCCCTATCCAGAGTTAACACTCATCCGTAACTTACACAGGGCCAAACTAGTTAAACTTACCGGATTCTTAACCATAAACGCCATCAACTCTGCAGGGTCTCCTCCTATATCAAAGAATTCTACTCCGTTCTCCTCCACGAACTCTTTAAATGCTGGGTGAGTTGCTAAGCGTACTCGATGCCCACCCTGCTCCGCTAAGACCTTTGCAACTGCAACAAATGGTTGCACGTCTCCCCTTGATCCAATCACCATCACTACAATGTTCAGCTTTGGTGGTGGTGTGACTTCATCTTCTTCATCTGGTTTAACGCCATCTGTAGGGAAACTCTTATTTGCGCCGTTCAAAAACATAGACAAGGGGCCTTCTTTTAGCTTATTGAAGTCGATATGCACTCGCCCATCCTGGTCAACAAATGCAGATGTGCTGAACTCATCGTGTGTGATATCAAAGTGGGAAAAACGAGAAGGTGTCATCGTAGGTCTTTGAGCACTAGACTGAGGAGCGGGGGACCAAGTTTGACGGGAGGTACGGGAGGTACGCATTGTTGGTCGTTCCTTTGATTTCGAGAACTGCCGGTGGAGTCGAGGATGTTTGTGAGTCGCGGCATTTTTGTTATCTTTAGAACTACTCTTCAGTTCTGGTTCATTAGGCATTTTATCCATCGAATATCTGCGCAAGCGATTGAGTAACACGTTTATAGCAAAACCTTAAGTCAAAAGTGAGTGTTCGCGTGGACGCGCGCGTGAAATAAATTGACAGGCACAACCAAGTCTCTAAATAAAAAGAAGCGTGGCGAATATCTACGGTGAAGAATAAGAGAAAAGAAGATGCTGCAGATAGACACATGTTTAATATCTGTCTTAGAGTATTTGTTATTATTGCACTGACGTCACAAATAATGCCCCTTGCTATGATCCCTGGAATCAACTACATGTAGTTCATGACGCAGCGTTGCTTGGCAAATAATAAGTATGGGAATCTCGAACTTCCATCATGTCTTGACAACGGCGTCTCGTCCTATGCATGGCAATTAAGAAAAACTATTACTTATTCGAGCTCTTGCTTTGGTTGAGACGGGAGGGGTAAAGTCGATGTAAGTCATACTGCCGTAGAGTAGTATTGCTAGGGTTCTATGACCAGTTAAATATTGCCTACTCAACTGCTGGCTTTAAGCTTTCAAGATTCCTACCGATTCGAAACCCAGGATCGGGGGCATCATTTTGTCATAGGACCGGTGTTATGGCAATTCGGAGGACGATGTTTAAATCTCCATCATTGAGCTCTGAACCGGCGCGCTAGTTACCAATGTATGTCATTATATGTGCGCATGGAAGTACTACATGTAGAGTACAGCGGTGGGTAATAAATGATATTAGGGCGTATTTTCCAACCGTCAATTTCAAGAATTTACAAATTATGGGGCTCCAAAATGGCAACCGGGGCTGTTAATTTTGGATTTCGGCGGGGCGGCGTGCTGTGAAATATACCAGGAGGATCACAAGTACCCAGTTTTGTTACTACCAAAGCTAGTATCATGGGTATGAATTTTCAGTTCCAACAGCGTATTTCACAGGTAGCGTGATGAATTGTCTGATTTTCGGGGTTATTCTGTCGTACCGTTAACCAGATCGATTTTGGCCACTGAGGAGAACTGTCAATTTTGCCTCCCGAAACTGTCAAGTTTGAAGTGTCAATAGTTGAAATTGACGGTTGGTAAATACGCTCTATTAGAACACAGAGATACCTGTTTTGGTAAAACGACACCAACATTCGGTGTTTGTATACTCAGGCACCTATTACCCATCGCTGTACTTGTACCTACATACATACATGTATACTAGCAAACGAACCCTTAATTTTGTAATAACCCTAACCCTATATATATATTAGACCTCTTGTGAAATCGCTCAGGATAAGCTGGAGCTGTGATAACCCGTTTATCGATGGGAAACGCTAGTCTTGTGCACTTCCCAGCCGTACGTGTTGATTTCCCAAAAAACCGGCCAGGGAATGAGACTAGGTAAACGGCGCGATCAATCTCTGCCAGAAAAGGATGATAGAGGGTGCTTTTTTTTAAATCAATTTTATTATATCTGGGAATAACATATCGCATGCAGTCATAGACTATGGCGTAAAGACCCCTCCACTTCCCACCCAGAACCCCAGCTATAGTGACTATGGTATGTCACCAACCACACATCTCCTTACAGAGCAGATGGCAGAGATCCTCCAACTTAAAGAAAAATGGAACAAAGTAGAAAAACAAAACATGAACAAAGGAAAACTGCTTCTTGCAAAATCCCACCCCCGATGTAGTGACTATGGTATGCCACCAACCGCACATCCCCTCTGAGGGCAGACGCCGAAGGCGGGAGAAAAAGGTGGAGTGGTGGTGGCCCCCGTAGGGGACCAAGGCGAGCGAAGAAAGTGCTCATACTCGACTATTTCTATCCCAAAATAATACTACCACACCAAAAGTTGGGGGATGGGAACGAGACTAATACATGTATATAGTTAACACCCAAAAGCCACACGTACCCTTGCCCCGATATACCACCATTCTAAGGCTACATATATATGTATACATAATTATGTAATTTAAATATTTCTTTAATGGATAAGTACATGTACCTACGTACACGTAATCGACTGGGGCCAACAAATTTCCACCGAAACAGATGAGAATTATATACATATCAAATTACCCTATAAGTGAAAAAAGGTCGCTCACCAATGATGCCATTGGTTAGTAAATTTCAGTGTTTGCAATCGATTGGGCCATGGGACGGAACATATATAATGGTTTACGACATTTCCAACTAGTTTTGGGCCGATAAAGATAGACACCTAAAAGAGTTAAAGGTATCGACTAAGCAGAGAAGTTAATGCTCAACATAATGTCCTTTTCATTATCGCCTTCCACTACTCGCGCGATTGCACAGAGACAGGCAATATATATATCCCACAAACGTTAGAACTAATACTAGGAGTAACAACTCCGAATAAAAAGAAAAAAGAAAAAAATAACACCAACATACTTTTCCAACCCTCCAACTTACCATCTCGCTTTGCTGGCTTCCCATTACGCCATAATAACTGAAGAAAAACTACTATCATGATCAACGTCCTAATCCCCCCAAATCTCACATTAGTCCTAACCCTCCACAAAAGTCCACCAATTTTCCTGGATGTTGAATTCGTATCATCTACTGACCGCCAGGCATATGTGTTGCAAGCCACTGTCCAAAGGCGACTGGGTTTCTGGTTTGGATGAAAACGGTACCGGGTCCTGAAGAGCGAGGTTTCTTTTAATAAAACACATCAACACGGGGTTAGATAGGAAAACACACCAGTAAATCGACAGACCAACCCTTCTTGGGCAGTCATACTACTGATAATTCCGCCGCTAGCAACACGCTCTATCGTATACTTACAATTCCAAGCGACCAGATGATCGTTATCGACAATATATTGCTCCCCTTGTGCCATCTGCCTGATAGTTAGCTATGTATCTAGTCATATGTTTACCCATCCATATTTGAATCCAAACTAACATTTTTCTGAATAATTGCTCCCAAACTGGTCACAAAAAAAACTCCCTGACCCGAGATTTTGTAAACAAACAGACCCTCGCCTGAAAACATCGCCTTTCCAAACCCTTGACTCTTATAATCTTTTACAACTCCTTGAGTCGCGCATAGGAATGCATCTTTACCGACTGACCACTGTTGCTGCCCATCCAGGCGGACGGGAACAATATCTCCCAGTGCTGCGGGAGCAAGAAGAAGCTCACCAGGCCCGGTATATGTCGATTGAGCCAAATCACCACCAGCAACAAGTTTCTTAAACGAAAATTTGACGGATCCTTTCAAAGTGACGGTTGGAGACATGGCTACCATTGCTCCTGTTTTTATGGGGGAGGGCAAAGGTTAGTGCATAGAGGACGTTAGGGTGAATTAGGTGGAGAATACCAGGCTTAGCAACAACCGGACATCCATGTGCTAGCTGCAATGTCAAGAGTGTATTCGAATCTCGATGATCAATACGGTAACTTCCGCCATTAAAGCTTCCTATTGTGTCCGTGATCTGGTTGGAGCCCCCTTGCCCTTGAGGTATGACTTGAGGCTGGGGCGGGAGATTTTGATTGGTTGGATCATACGCGCCCTGTGTGATAGACATACGATTCTGACTGTTGTCAGAAGGAGGGGGGGGGTATGTTTGCTGGCCTTGAGACACGGAAGGAGGGGGGGAAAACTGTTGGCCTTGGTAGGTTTGCTGTTGAGGGGATCCTGGGTGAGGGGGAGGGGGAGGGTGGAAGTATTGCGGTTGTGCCTGCTGTTGCTGATACTGGTTACTGGAATTTTGGGGAGGAGGAGGAGCGTATTGCGGAGTATAGCCCTTTTCGTTTGCTAAATTAAATGTTAATTAAATATACACAGTTGAAGATATAGAGCACACATGCAGTTATAAGGTCCTTGGGCGCCATGGCCATAGTTGGGTGGTGGAGGAGGGGCACCCGACATTATTATACTTTGCTCTACCTGAATCCGGGCATTTAAAGTTAGCAAACTATTTTTTCTTTGTTAGAATTCTCATTTTATAACATGTAGATATGTTGGCCTGTGAAAGGCGTTTACTCTCAACCATAATGACCGGCCCCCGAAAGTCGCAAACAACACACACGTGGAGGAATACGAATACTCACAAGAGAATAGTGATTAACCGAATGGTTGTGATTTAACAAGCAGCTGTAGTATTTTATGAATAAACACAGATTATTAGGATTGAAAGAGAAGAAGAATCAGAGGGAGAGTGGTGGGAGGGGCTGAATATATGCAAGTAACACCACCAGTCACTCAATACAACCACCTTTCCAAATATGTATCTTCTTTCTTCTCCCCACCATTTGTGCAGAGCTCTGGGCGCAACGTGACACACGCTACATGCTGTGATCATCCAATGAGGCGGAGCAATTGGGGACGGTGGCAGAGTTATGAGTGGTGTGGTAAATTCCCGGTTAGCCGCCATGCCACAGTTGCAGAGATCTGCATTTTCGACTGGTATCGCCTGGAAAAATAAAAATGCTGGTGTCATTGACAAGGTAGTTGGTTGTCAGCTCCTTACCTAACTAGTCTGCATGGGGGGCTTAATATCTAGAATTGTAATTAACTCTGAGTGGTACATACAGTAGAGTATGTTGAAAGCTTAGTCCAACAGCAAAGAGAGTACCGCCATAACTCGAAAAATTGGCTAGCTTCCAGAGATCAAAATTACTTGTGTGGGAAACTTCTGATGCAAATCGATGCCATTCAACCAATCACTCGAGCGATAATCCCTGGCCGGAGATAGCCAATTTTTCGAGTTTTGGCGGTACTTCGGTATCAAGGGTAAGTGAGTAGAACGTGGCAGCGTGGCTAAAGCTGTAGTTTACCTGTTTTGCTCGCGAATATGAACCGCCGCGTTCTACTCACTTACCCCTGATACCGAAGTACAGTGTGTAGAGTATATATACGTACACCATCTATGAAAGCTATTAGAGCTTACTCGTATTTTACTGACGTTTGTGGACGCGACTAATATTGCATACCATACAAAAATACGTCAATCTCATGATTTTTAGTGTATGCAATACCAGTGGCCCAGTTCAAAAACATCAGGAAGCACCCTATAATAGAGGAATTAAATTTTTATGGACGATCTATTATTTGATAAGCTTAAGAGAGATAACGAGATCTGTTAGTAAAGCCACATCAAATTTCCTTTTTCTTAGGTGGCAGCATTTAACTGATCGTGACAGTCGAAAAGATAAACGTGTAGATATGTACCGCTTCACGGTTGAGCTACATGTACATCGTATACCGTAAAATCTGAGAAATTTCGTTGCGCTGCAACAGGGATAAATGCACATCTAGACCTATCAGAGGCAGTCTTTTAACATCAATCTGCAAGTTTTGGTGTAAAAGATCCCTGCTGCAGCGCAACGAAATTTCTCAGATTTTACGATATATATAAATAAGTCTGGCAATTCGAGACTTTGCGCTGAGGGATCCGGAGCCTTTTTTTTGACAGACTTGGCATTAATTAGCCAAGGAATTATAGATCCAGCCTTGCATTTGACGTCTCCCAGAGAGGCGAAATTAGACCTCTACTCCTTCTAACATTTGTAGAATCACCAAATGGAGATATTTTTTCATTGGGACTTTTTTATAATAAAATTCAGATGCAAATACACCTTGTATAAAATCCTCAAGAACTTAGCAACAGTATTGATGGTAAAAATAATCCATTTACCTTGGTGTTGAGTTTCTTCTCTCACCAAAAACTGGGTAACACCGATCACTGGCAAGCAACATCTGGCTCCATTTTTGACCCCGCCAAATCAACGAAAATCCATATAATGCCAAATTGGATGCATCCAGTGCAAAGTCTGTATTATCATTCTTGAATAATTACGGTACCAAAAGGCGGGTGGATCCAACACCATCTTTACCAAATTTAAAACACCGTAGGGTTACGCGTATTATATATACGGTATTTCTATGGATTCCGATTTAATCCGGAAGTTTTTGCACGATTCCGTATTGGTACAGTACCTATTACATCCTCTTTTTTCGTACTTTATTTGTACATCTAAGTGTATACCTAGAGATTTCCAACTCGATCTCAAACTATATGTACTGTACTCACGCCTAATATAACTACAAGGAAATACGTACAAACACATGTATTGTTATAATTATCAGGAATATTAATCGGCACCGGCTAGATGTTACTCGTATCTTCCTAACAAACGTCAGGAATTCGAAGATACGAGTGCAGGAATTCAAGTGCAAAAACATGTACTAGGGTGTAGCGAAAAGTGATCAGAATCTGATGACAAATACACCTATTCACCGTAACATTCACTTATCAGATTCTGATCACTTACCCTCAACACCCGGTACTACTACATGTAGTTAAATGCATTAAATTGTGCATGTACAAGGCTCTGGCATTAAGTGAGCGAACTAAATGGGGTGTTGACCGGTAAGGATCCGTTCACTCACTTAATGCCAGAGCCTTGTAGAATCTTAGTATGCCCTACGAGGATTTGGGGGACTTGAGTTTTTGTATGTAGGTACAAATTGCAATTGCCTGTTAATAATGCCTAACTTAGCACCTCCATCCCTGTATGTGCTCGGCTATTATGTGTAGTTACCCAGCCGATAATATAACCCGGCCATGCACTGCATGCAACAGCCACCGCCACCATCACATCACCCGTGCCCGCCACATTGTCCCTCTATTGGCCGCCCTAGTATCTACCCGTACCCCTGGGCCCTTAACTCATCTCCAACTTCAAGGAGTGTTCTCATCCCAACTTCTCTCTCCCACTTATGCAGTAACCTGCTCTAGGGTTTACAGGAACTTGCATAGCTATTTGGCTCCTACCTTGAAATTTAATATCAAAGTCAACTACAGGTTTACAACATGGCCTCTGTCTCATCTCTCGATAAAGACCTTTCAAGGCTTCGTCTCGCCAAATACACGGCCCAGGATTCACAGGATGTTAAGGACTGGATAGGGGGTATCTTGGGTGAAACTTTGCCAGCAGGCGACTTGATGGTTGTTTTGAAAGATGGTGTAGTTTTGTGCAAGTGGGTATCCTTGTAGTTCTATTTACCCCCAAACATTTCTCACTGCTACTAAGATAGTCACATCCTATGAGGGCGTTCACTTCTGGATTTGGGATTGGAATTTAGAGACTGAGTTTTGCTAACATCCTTTCTTAGGCTTGCCAACCGCCTCGAAACCTCCAATCCTAAATTAAAGTTCAAAAAGTCCGCCATGCCATTCGTTCAAATGGAAAATATCTCTCATTTTCTCTCCTTCGTCTCTCGCTCCCCGGTCTCACTTGCAGCCCACGACGTCTTCCTCACTGTCGACCTTTTTGAGCAGAAAGATCCCGCTCAAGTTGTCCAATGTCTTGGGGCCTTCTCCCGCGCCGCTAATAAACTTGATCCGATTTCTTTCCCTACAACTCTTGGTGGTCTTAAAATACCTACATCAACTGCTGCCCTCTCACCTCAGCATTCTGGTGGTTGGTCGCCTGGGAAACGAAGTGTTTCTGCAGGATCTACTGGTGGGGTTGCAAATGCGTATGTTCAATCCGCAGCTGCTATAGGTGCACCAACGCCTTTTGGGAAGCCAACCATGCCTCCCAAAAAGCCAGTCGTGAGCTCATGGAGCAAACCAACTGATGAGAAAGGCACTGCCCCGGCGTGGAATATTGCACAGTACGGCTACATGGGTGGTGCATCGCAGGGAAACCAAGGGGTTTCATTTGGTTCACGACGACAAATCACCAATCAACCTGTTGTCAAAGGCCCCTCGTTGGATGATCGTGAGAAACTTCGGAAGAATTCTACGGATGATGCACAGCGTATTCAGGATGCGTCCCAAGAGAGGAGACGCGCCGAAGAAGAAAGATCACATATCGAAGACGAAAGAAGGGAGGGTCAAAAGCGGAAAGAAGAAGAAGAGAGAAAAAACATTGAAGACGAAAAAAGACGGAGAGAGGAGCAGATACGTACTAAGGAGGAAGAGCGAAAACGTATTCAGAATGAGGCTGTGCGAAGAGAAGAGGAACGGAAACGTATCGAGGACGATGAGCGTCGGAAGCGTATCGAGGACGATGAGCGTCGAATTGCTGTTATGGAAGCAAGGAGACATCGTGAACAGTTAGAAGAGGAGACTGCACTAGAAATAACACAGAAAAGGCAGAAGGAAGACGAAGCTCGTCGAGTTCGCGATGCAGAGACTCAACGAAAGCTCGATACTGAGAAATTTGAGCGTGAGCGAGAACGAGAGAGAATCCGACAACTGGAACGTGAGCTTGCGAAAGCTCGCGAACGTGAACGTATATATGAAGCTGAGAAGGAAGAACGGCGCCGGCAAGATACAGAACGAATGCGCCGTGATGCGCAGGAAGCTGTGATCCGAAAGCATAAAACTGGGGATACCACCTATGGCCAACGGACTGACGATCGAGATCCGTTCTATATTCGTTCACACAAGACGGGTGATCGAGAGAGGGAAAACATGGAGGCAGAGCGTCGTTTCCTTGCCGGAGCTTGGCGTGCAGACATAACCACCCCGCCATCAACAACAAATTCTACGCCATTATTCCCCCAGCACACTCCTGGTACGCCTCCGCCGCACCCCCCAAGAGCACTCCCCACACCACCTCCACGCAAACTTCCCCCTGTACCAACAACCCCAAATAGGGTCGGTGCGTTACCGAGTAGTCGATACTTTGCGCAAGAGCACCTCGCGAGTGAGCCAATGGGTCGAAGTGGTTCCTGGGAAACCAATGATGATGGTGCAGCAGTAGCCCTAGAACGTGAACGCGCCGAGAAACGAGAAGCAGAAAAAAGACAAGCTTATAAATGGGCCAGGTGCGTCATGATTCTTATACCTGAGCCCCCGAACCCATTGATCCCCACTGCTGAAGAGGTAGCGGGGTGGATCACTGACCGCGAATCTTGGATGAATAGCATGTCTCTTTTGGAGCGGGAACGGGAGAGGGAGCGGGAGAGGCAGAGAGAGTGGGAAGCCAATCAAAGAGAGATGGAAGAAAGACGCGAGAGAGAAGGCGCCGGTGATGACGGGCCTGCATGGGACGTTAACCAATATGGGTACGCAGATGATATTCTCGATTTATATTGAGCGTTATTGCCCTTTCTTCCTTTGATGTTTCCTTTTTGCGGCTGCATTTTGTTTATCGGACTTTGGGTTTTGCATAGCGAGGGAGGGTCACTACCCTGCATTCATATTATATCTTGTCTTTCTCTTTTTCTTTTGTCATTTTGCTCTCTGCACATGGTCGTCCGCCGAGTTCTCTTGCGTATTCCTGGATAAAGAAAAATTGGGTTTATTTGTTACTGCTTGGGTTCCTTTTTCTGTTAAGTTTGGTTAATATCTCTATTTTTGTAATCGATTAATTTTCTTTCTGTACAGTTTAGATGGTCTCATACTCCTTGGTATTTCCTTGGATATCCGTTCCTTCTTTCCACTCATCTTGTTTCCTTTTTTCTTTGGTCTGGGATTAGAAGGCTTGCCCCACGGCATCACGAGGAGGACTTATATTACAACATCCATCCCCACTTTAGATTTACGCTTTGGGTTCTTATTTTCACAAACTTTTGCTGACTGCTCCCGCCGGATGGGATCAGATACATGGGGGGTGCCGACCAAGGAAAAATGGGAGTGTCGTTTGGGGGCAGACGGCAGATTATCGGGCCAAGAGATGTGCCCAAGAAGTGGTAAGTTATACATTTGATTTTGAATTGGGAGGATGAGACGCCGGATTAGTTGGAAAGAAAGGGCCGTTTGTTTATTTATCGCACCTGTTTCTCCCGATTTCAGCGGTACTGTTTTTTGTAATAGATACGGATAATTGAATGTTACTTGCCACAGGTCATTGTTGGTGACAGTACTAGTACATTTTTTTGCTTTGTGTGACTCATTGTAGTAACAGGCATGTCATATTGAGTCTCAACTGGTTGAAAAAGGTGTACCTATATGTAGTCACAGTCAAGGGGCATCTTTTTTTTTTTTTTTTAAATCATTTTCATTGATTCTGGGAACAACGTTCGCAGCTTTACATATGGTCGCATGTCATTGGGTTATGGAGAAACCCCCCGTATGAAAGAGAAAAGTACAGCCTTTTACCGTCTCTTAACGAATACTACCAGTTGACGAACAGGGGACTTTGGGCCAATAGAAATTTAAAGGACCGGAGATCTCGTAGCTTGGCTGTTGCTTGACTGTTTCTTTCCATACTTTCAAGTGGCAGTACTAGTATTCGTCAAGAGACGGTAAAAGACTGTACTTGCCGGATTTTTTTCTGTGTCCAGCGAACCTATTCTTCCTGATACGGAAGAGTCGCAACGAAGTTTTAGGGCCGTTGCTTCGTAGCACTCCCATATTTCCGGATAAGGAAGAAACAGCTGGACACAGAAAAAAATCTGGCAAGTAAGTGGCTTCAGTACCTTTTTTCAACCAATCATGATTGACTGTCCGAGTGAGGGGGGTGTCCGAGTGGCTAGGAGGCCGTCTATTGAGTTCCGCCATAGCGAGGTGCAACTATACCTACATATGTTCATTTGGAGATTAAACCACCTACGTGCATGGGATTACTGCAGCTGTAACAATTGTAGAGTATGTATCGGCGCCAAGATAATCGGAATACGAGCTTTAGGGCTATGTCATTTTGAGATTTTATAGATCGAAAATCACCAGTGCTAGCTAAGCATCGTATATGAAGATCATCTACATATCTCGTATTTATGAATTAAGATAACCCACTAGCCGTGCGCCAGCCGTGTAAGGCAGATCAGCATTATGGCCAGAATTCTTATAAGTAGATTAAATGCGTGCGTGTCCCTCAAGAACGAACTTGACCAGGACACACCATCTGTATCGAAAGTACATCAGTCAATGTTTATAATGCGCCTCTCCTTCTATCTCACTTTCATTTTTGTGGCTTATTGTACTTCAGTTACGCTGGCCGCTAGGTGCCCCATAACTGGTCCTTTCCTGCCATCTCCAAAAACATTATCAACTTCACCTTTCGTCCTTGATGCGGGTGGAAGACTAAAAGAGCTCCTCGATTCTGCGCTTACAGGCTCCATCGAAGCAGGGTGGCAGACAAACGTCACCTCTTTCTCTATCATTCTGACTGATACCGGAGAAAGCCCACTTTAAGAGTATCACCACACGGCATCTAGAAATGTGAACAGCACAAAGAATATTGATGGAGACACTCAATTCATGATAGCATCGATTACGAAGTCTTTACCGACTTAGCCTTGCTGAAATCAGGATTCAACTTAGATGATCCTATCACCAAATACCTACCTGAGCTAGCTTCAAGTACTTCTCCAATCAAGTGGAAAGACATAACTTTAAGAGCATTGGGAAATCATATGGCCGGGATTCCACAAACCTGTAGGTGTATTTATAATATTAGGTTGGAACATAGAGGCTAATTATCAAAGACGGATATCCGGATGATTATACACTGAAGTCTTACTTTGAATCCCTTGGATTTCCTCCGCTCTCCGAGAGCGATTATCCAAGATGCGGTGTTATCGGTTTACACCCTTCGTGCACGAAGCAGCGTTAGTAAATTGCATCTATCCAAAGTCCTTGCCGCCACTAACTCTAATTCCATTTTAGAACTCCTCTCAGGGCTTTTGAGCTCGGTGTTCGTTTTCCCTCCCAATACGAGGCCTGTATATTCAAGTATATCTTTCACACTCCTTGGTTATGTTATAGAGGAGGTGACTGGCAAAACCTTTGGGGAAATACTTGATACAGAGATCATCCAGCCTCTAGGAATGGAAAACACGGGGCTTCAGCCCAAAACCAAAACTTCGGGGGTGATACCACCAGTCGTGAATGTTTGGGGTGCAGATTTCCAGGATAATAGTCCGTAAGGCTTCCTTTTCTAGAAGCACAAAGGCAATATTAACAAATTATTCCAAAAAACAGTGGTAGCGGCCTATATTCAACCACGAATGATATCACTCGTCTCGTCAAAGGGATACTTTCGCTTTCAATACTTGACACACCTTCAAAGGTTAGAGGATGGCTCAAGCCAACATCAGAAACTGCCTCTCTGTATAGTTTGGTTGGCATGCCATGGGACTTATATCATTAACTCAAAACACGAGCTTGGTGAAATGCGCAAGTACATATAATTAATCTCCGCCCTAAATGGTCACGATGGTATGCATCATTCGCTCTCGGAGATAATTACGCCCAGTTCTACTCAACTTCCGCATGTATATTGACAAAAACTACCAACTAGCTTGACTATAAAGTACTAGTAGTTGCCCACCTCGCGACCGCGAGTTGTACTTACTTTGGATTATTGTTATCAAATAATTGTGGGAGGCCGGCCTTCAATGGGGGGCCTTCGCCCCTCCCCCCCCCCCCCCCCCCCAAACCTCCTGCTCTGCCCAATTCAAATTTCTTAGAATTATAGAGGGCCTTCGGCCTCGTCCTCCTTCTTCCTTTCTGTCAGTTATGTATTATTCGTTCAATCGTGGTGCTCAAGGTTTTGGTACACTACGCACTGGTATACAATACCAAAGGGCAAACACGATTTTGAGGATGCAACGCAACGGACCCCACCACAACCAAAACCACCGCCACTACATAATGGATTGGGAGAGAAATATGTACCACCCTATTGCAGGTACAGCCCGGAAATCTCCGGGAAATCATAGCATTACTACAGTACCGCTACTGCACAAATACGGCATTCAACGCAAACACCGTATTGTAGCCAATATTTGATTTCCCTCTATATAATAATATCTGGAATACAGCAGTACTCTTTTACTATGGCACGGATTACACCTCCTTTTTTTGTTAATGTAGCTACAGTCTCTCGGGACTAGCCTACCGCTGATGCCCAAGCTGCCCCTTACACTGTACCCGTATCATGGCACAGCAGATACTACGATACAGGCCCGTAATGCTTTTTATACTCGGGGTTAATTTCCTGCCCAGTTCAATCCAGTCCGCCCGTTCTGTCCTGTCCTGTCTAATTGCTGTTCATATATTAGAATACTACAGATCAAATGTAACTAGAATTGATCTACTTACGAGGATTTTCTTTATAAATACTGCTATTGAAGCTTGGCCTCCACCTTCGATAACTCAATAGCTATACAAATTGTCCGCTGATGGTTTGGGCCAAACAGCTTCCTCCGGCCGCTTAACGCACGTTTATATAGTTCTGCTGCCTCCTGATACTGTCCTTTATCGTTCAATAATGAAGCAAGGCTGGCGACGATAACCAAAATATCAGGGTGTTCTTTTCCTAATATTTTCTCCAGGCCTGTCAAAGACCGTTGGATTAGCTCTAATGCCTCTTCAATATCCCCATAATCGTGTTTGGCGGTTCCTAGGGACCATAAGGTGCGTAGTGGTATCGAGTCGTTTGGTCCGTAGACCTTCTCTTGTCCTGCTAACGCTCTCTTGAAAAATTCAAACGCTTCTTGGTATCTTCTGAGTTGTGCCATCCCCGATGCTATGCTGGCAACACTGGATAGGACATGTGGGTGATCCTTTGTGAGAATATCCTCTTGTACAGCTAAGATATTCTCCCATTGATCTAGCGCCTCCTGATGTCCTCCTCGAGATGCAACATTGTGAGCCATTTCATATCTTGTAAATAAGGTTTCCGGATGATTCTTTCCAAGTGATTTTTCCTGGATATGTAGAATTCGTTCAAGCAATGCAAACGACTCCTCCCGTTTTCCATCCTCATGCAAAGAGTGCACTAAACACCGAATGGTTCTCAATGTTTCTAAATTATCGTCTCCTAGCGCCCGTTCCTGAATAGCCAGTACTCGTTTATACCAATGTGCAGCGTCCGCATACCTCCCCAAGTCGTGAAGGCATTGACTAATTCCGTTGAGTGTAACGCATGTATTAGTACTTTCTGTCCCAAAAACCGCTTCTTTTGCAACTAGGGCCTGTTGGTGTAATTCCAAAGCCTCCTGATATCTTTGCTGTGTTTGGTATATTTCCGCAACCCCCTGAATTGCACCCAAGGTATCAGGGTGTTCGATTCCAAACTCCTTTTTCCAGCCCTCCAACACCCGCTTATATGATTTCAATGCCTCCTCCTGTTGGTCATTATTGCGATAGCTGAACGCCATGGCGTAGACTGTATTTATGGTTTCTGGATGTTGTGGTCCAAATGTTTCCTCTTGAGTTGCTAAGACACCTTTATATAACTCTAGCGCAATAGGACTCTTTTCTGGGCCTTGCATTTGGATGGCTAAAGCGAGAGATTTGATTGTACGCAGGGTCGATGAGTGGCTCTTCCCAAGAGTCTTCTCCTGCCCAGCTAGGGTCCTCTGAAGTAACTCTACCGCCTCAAAATTTCCATTGCGTCCAAGGAGTTCCCCCTTGAGTTGCATGGCATTTAGGGTTTCGGGATGCTCGTCCCCTCGAAACCTCTCATAACAGGCTATAACCCTTTCCTGCATCACTAACGCTGAATCGTGATTCATTTGAGCATTGAGGACTATCGACATTCTTCCCATAGTCTCTACCGTTTCAAGCGTATCCTTTCCAAACATGTGTTCCTCACCAGATAAAGCTCGCTCTAAGAACCCTATTGACTCCTCGAAGTGTTGTTTTGTGTAGTATATCCATCCTAAATTCGAAAGAGCGCGATGATAATCTCGTTGATAAATCATTGACTCGTGATTCGCTATCTCCTCATGGAACTCCAGTGACTTTTGGAGTATCTCCTCCGCCTCCGTATATCTAGAATAGTTCACCAGGAAGATCCCTGTTTCAACCAAGGCATTCGCAAATTCTACTTCCAAAACCATCATACTTGGAGCGGGAAGCCTTCGCAAGTGGCGGACGACAACATCGATGTACGTGAAGACTCCACGCTCAAACTCTGCATTAGGCGCAGAACCATTCTTTATTACTCCACTATTTGTAGAGCGGATACATCCTGCTAACAGAGCGATGACTCTCATAATGAAGGCCCGCTCTTCCCACAGGCCGAGGTTATCGCGTGTCCACTCAAGGATGAGAGGATGAAAGCAAAGACTTTTCTCGTTTTGATAAGTTCTCCGCTTTGTCATAGAGAATGAAAGAAGGGATTTGATTCCAATATCGACAAAGTCGCTTTCTAAATATACTAGAATTAGCAATTGAGCAAAGGAAACTTCCACTGATAATTTTTACCTGTAGGGAACCATGAAACAAACCCTTTTGCTCTATCGAATATTTCCTGGGGTACTTCTTGGTTTCCGTTTACAAGGAATGCGCATAATGCTAATAAATTGGATGCAGAAGGTGGAAGGCGGTCGAATGAGATCTTCCATGTGGTGAACAGGGTATCATTTCTGTACATTTCAGATAATTGTGGATCATTGGCTGAAGCTAGTTTCCTGAAATTTGTGTTGAATAGCGGTATATACTCAGAAAATTCAATAGCCATTGCTGATATATAACTTCCGGCCTGATCTAGGGCCAATGGAAGATAGCCCAGTCTTTCTGCTATCCTTGACGCTTCTTCGTAGTCTGACTTTTGTTAGCGTATATCCCCCAAACTATTCTCTACTTAGGCCTATACCTGGACCGCACGAAAGCTCCGGATCCTTGCCAGCACTAGATAGCAGTATCGAAATTCCAGACATCTTCTCGATCCCACCTATTTCAATCCCAACACCAAACCTTGCAACCTCTGGCCTCCGTGTACTGACTATAATGCTCCCAAAGTCACAGGAAGGAAAGAAATCTAACATCTTGACAGATTCGAAATCGTCGTGATTATCAAAAACAACCAACCACTTGTCATTTTCCGAACTTAACAACCACTTCTTGACCGCCCTAGCCACGAGTTCCGGTGGACATTTCTCATTTATCTCACCAGTTGATTTGATAAGACCAGGCAATCCTAGCATATCCCCTATCTCGACAAAATCCGGAGCGGAATCATGCCATTTGGATCGATAATGAAAAATTATTTGCTCCATTATATCCAGAGAACTATGTGCTAAAGTAGCTTTGCTTGTAGCATCAACCCAAAAGATTGATGTATATGAAGGTGAATTTCGGTATGCGTACTCAGTGACAATTTGAGTTTTCCCCATACCACCGAGGCCGTGAAGGACTGCAACTCGGCGAGTCCGTTGGTTTTGGCTTTGTGATGGATCCAGGATTTTATGTAATTTATCAAGTAAGTCCACTCTTCCAACGAATTTATTGTTCCTTTTTACCAGTAATTGAATGGGAATATTGAACTTCTGAAAGATTGGAATGGCTGGGGGAGTGGGTCGTCCGGTTTGTTGTGGAGGAAGAACTCCGTACAATCCATCATTATATCTTTTTAATTGTTTACCCAGCTCCGTGAACTTTGCCTTATCCGCTATAGCCCATTTCAGCTTCCTATATACTGGCAACATCTGTTGTAGCTTCTTTGTTGCATCCTCAATTCGGGCGATTTCGTCGTCAAGATCCGGGACGAAGTTTTTATTTAAAAGCCTTGTCGAGCTCTGGGGGGTTTTGATAGCATTTGAACCCAGGGCTATCGGCGAGCTAGGTTTTCTTCGGAAAAGTTCAGATATCCTGTGCCTTTTTCGGGTTGAAGCTTTAATACCATATTTTGAGTTTAGACTATCCGCATCCGCAAACAGGGCAACAATACGGGCCAATGTTTCAACAGCATGACGATAAGAATCATCATTCGGGTCCAAAGTTCCACCGCCCGTACTCCAAAATTCTTCCCACCTCTTCAACCTATGTTGCTCGTTTTCGATCTGCCATAAGCAATCACTATAATCGGAGCCGAAGCTCTGCGCATCCGAGAACAGATCGTATAATTCAAGAGCGGTTTTCCCTAGTTGAAGGCCCACGCCCACTAGCCCGGCGGTTTCGGCCATGATTCGTAAAAAATAAAAGCTGTTTCCTGCCTAAACTTCAAGGTTAATAACCATGTAGAAACTTACAATAAGAACTCGAAAAAGCATTATTGACCTTAGAAGATATATACCTATGATGATATCGCTATTTCGTATCAACTTGACCGAGAAGGAAGAGGAATCTAAGTTTTTGCCGAAATACACAAGCACCTGCTTGGGAATCCTCACAAACACCAACAGCCATGAAATAGAATCAGGCATCACTGGCAGGGCTGACATATATATATCGGCGATTCCTGGTGGACTGCGTGGGTGAGCCTCGGGCGCTTATGCATACCAGCTGCGCCGTGCGATCTCCAGGTCCAGCGCGCTCTCGTGTTCGCGCATTGAGAGTGTAGGTACTACCTACAGGGATCCGAGTGCAGATTCCGAGGTTTTGAAGTTTTGCAAGATGGCTTGTACTCCGACTTTCTCAGGCGCACATCATGCCTGTATCTGGTCTTGAGTCAAGTAGACGACTTTCCTAGCTACTCGAACACCCCCTCACTCGAACAGTGGATGATGATTATTGGTGAAATAACGATAGGAACCGGTTATAAAGGTCTGTTCGAGTGGCTAGGGAAGCCGTCTATCTTGTTATTTACGTGGCCTGCGCACGAGCCGGCACAGACTAACTTCTTCACTAATATCGTACAACTTTTAATAGAGTACAGACCTCGTGTCCCGCATTTCTTTGGAGTCGATCTGAAATCCTGCTATTTCTATGGATACAAGTACGTAGACTACCTGCAAAACCTCTCTATTAAACTCTACTTGCTTTTCGGGATGATGCATGCAGTTTCATCTCTATCGGGGGATTCACTATATATATCGACAGTCAGTAACCACGTGCACAGTGCTGTTTTTTACACCGCAAGGGCATACTTAAGCGCGCTTTATCTCACCCACTTATTTCAACCATCGAGTTAGGTTTATAGATTCAAGCGTATAAAGAAATGGGTTCCTCTTGGTCAGCCTCTAGCTCACCCCGCAATCACATCGAGGGCGCTACCGAATGAACACTAGGGTAACTTCCCCAGAGGCTGAGTGATTCTCTATGATTCAATCCAGCAGCTAGATTCATAAACTCGTTCCTGAGCCCTTCGACCACCACTAACCCAATAACTTACATTATCCGTACCATACCTCGCTCTACCTTTTTTCTTATTGCCATCGTTTCAATAGTACAATGTTACTATATCTAAGTGACTTTTCATTTTTCACCGACCCCAAGTCCCACAGCGATAATACATGTATTCATCCATTAATTGTATGCAAGTCCCATAGCGAGTGCACGAGGACTCTTCAAAGATACATGCATATGTAGTGGGTTAGGTTGTTTCTCAATTCCGGTCGCTCTCTAAAAGGTTACAAGTGTGTTGAATCGCCCCGGGGGTGGCACATTGCACAAAATCCGTCGAAAATACGAGTGATGGGGTGTGATTGATGCTTATAACTGTGACTAAATAGGAAGTACAAAAGATCTGATATTATAGGTCCATACAATATTTTGATTTTTAATAAATGTTTACTACACATACAGAAACTGCCGTGATTTAATTGCATCAACTCATCGGTATCGCGTACGAACCGCCCGCTTTTGTATCCGGCAAAACGGGGAATGAACCAAAGTATAGAGAAAAAAGCCAAGGCCCCTCTTCAACAGATCAGGGCAAATAATTTAAAGAAAATAAGACAAGAGGAGAACGACAAAAAAGCACATCTCAGATATCTTGAGCGGATGGGAAAATGAAGAAAAATTGCCCAGATCGGGAGTCTTAAACACAGGGCACCAAACTAGTGGTGCATTGCGTCCAACCCTCCGGCCAGATCCTGCTCCAACCCTTGGTTTCTAACGTTCGCCTCGTGCGGCCGTGGTACATCACTCCTGGCCTGTTGCGCCCACTGCTGCTCTGGTATACCAATGCTGTCCTTTCGGCCTTGGTTTGGATCTAATGTCGCCGCTGGGGCTGGCTGCCTCCTGACGCTATGTCTAAATCGAACCACCTCGTCTAAGATCATCTGTCGCATCTCCGGAATTTGCTCTTCTACCTCGAAGCTAAAGTCGAACGGCGTGGGGCAGTTAGGTTCATCTGAAGCATCGTGCCAAATGTGGAGATAACGGTGCTCCAACGCTTCCTCGACCGATATTCTGGATGTCGGGTCGAATGCAAGCATACGATCGAGAAGATCGAGGGCGTCCAAGTTGGCGTTCGGGAAGAGCCGCTGGAATGGCACCTTAGGCATGAATGGGAGGTTGCGCACATATTCTTGCGCACGCGGCGAGCCAATCCGCGAAAGTGTTTCTTCGTTGGGTGTACCTAGGTAGTGGAGAATCTGGTTGAGTTGATCCACATAATCCCTACCTTTGAAGAAAGGTCGGCCTCCGAGGAGTTCTGCAAGAATACAACCAACAGACCATACGTCGACTAGTGACATGAAGTTAGTAAACGACTATCAATTCGTGTATAAATGATGACCTACTGGCTTTCGTGTAGCTTTGGAAGCTCAACATGATCTCTGGGGCTCTGTACCATCTGGTAGCAACATACTCCGTCATGTACCCAGCGTTCTCCTCGGGATCGATAGCGAATCCTCTGGCGAGGCCGAAATCACAAATCTTGAGTTCGCAGTCGGCATTTACCAATAAATTTCCGGGCTTCAAGTCTCTGTGGAGAACGTTTGCCGAGTGGATATATTTCAAGCCGCAAAGAATCTGGTATATAAAGGATTGAAAATGCGCGTCCGTCAATGGCTGACCACTGTAATCGCAGATGCCGTTTAGTAAACATTATCAGTGACGGAACATGGGGCATAGGAACCTTCGAATAATGGCAGCCAGATCGCACTCCATGAGCTCTGATAAAAAGTTAATTTCGTCCTACTAACGAGTCTAGAATAGCGATATACCTTCATAAAGGTAAACTTCATTGAAGTTTTCCGGTTTCGGAATGTCCATATCATACAGACAAGTGATCTATAAAAGGCGGGGTAAGCGAAATTATCCAGATGCGCAGCTCATCAGACCACCTCCCCCTTTCGTCGGGAACGCCTTCAGAAATCGCTGGAATAAAACTTACGTTGCGGTGCCCTATTCATCTCAAGTTAATACGGATTTCGAGTCACGTGGTTCAATTAATAGGATGGTGTGATTCTTGCCTCGGAAATGCTGCAACAACTTGATTTCTCTCAAGGCTCTCTTCGCCAGAATCTTCTTGGAAAACACATTGGTGACTTTTTTGACTGCAACACCCTCGCCGGTGGCTGTATTATTGGCAGCACTAATCGCAGGAGCTTCGTATTAGCATTGTTTATACTGGTACAACGCGAAACGTTTCAACTACAAATGCAAAAGATAGCACCACATGTACTTACCAGACGATACCGTAAGCTCCCTGTCCGAGTTCCTTGTTGACAACGTAACGTTCGTCGACAATGAAGTCTTGGTTGAAGACTTTGAAAACCTTTCGGCCGGTCATAGAATTATCCATGCTTAGAAGTTCGTTTGAGCTTTGTTTTTGTTTAAAACTTCAAAATGAAACACACGAAAGACTATTGCTTCTAGTTAGACCTTGGAAAGAAACAATCCTCCCGCGAAATAAACGCTGTGATAAGAAAAAAAAATTGTCTCCTCCCGAGGAAATATTAAGTTATGCAGATGCACTTTGCGGGGTGCTGATATTCAAGCTTCAATCAGACGAGGATAGAGCGAGCGAAAGGGGGGGGGGGGGGGGGCAAGGGAAGGAGATATAGAGCGAGTGAGAGGTTCTCAAAGGAAATTCGAACCTACAAAGATATCTGTTCAGATGATAGATGAAGCTGAGCGAGGACGAGAAGGCTTTTGTGGGGATGAAGCAGCTTAGGAGCAACAAGCGAGAGGTGAGGATACCTTCAGTAGGGGAAGAGGGGTTGTGTTGAAGGAGCAAGAGGAGGGGGGTAGGAAACTGCCGCAAGCTGCAGAGAGGGGCGGGCGCTGACTGGTGTAGCACGACAGCCTTGGATGGAATGCATGGTGGGGGGTTGTCTGCTGGAACCAGTAACAGCTGAAACCCTGAGAAACCCAGAGAGGGGAAACAAACCACGGTTGAAATCTGGATGGTTGGGTTTGGGTCGCGCCCACTAAGCGCGCGCCCCTGCAGCTTACCATCTTTTGTCCAATTAACGCCACTAGTCCGAATTCTTACCTTTGCACATGAAGCGATGCCAATTTCCTCAAAACCTAAAGCTCCCAAAGACACAAATTTCCCTCAGGTGATCCGGTGATGGCATAACTGCTCACCCACCGGAGAAGTTACAGAAGAAGGTAGACTGTGATCATGAGTTTATCTTCTGGAAATCCAGTAGAAGACTGGGATTTTCAATGCCAGGAACTAGAGTACAGATCGGTGGCTGCCTGGAGACTACGCGGGGCGGCTATGTAGGTACCAGTATCAATCACGGTCATGTGCTACTATAGGCCTAGGCTACAGTCGGCCAGCTACAGTAAGAAAATTCAATCTACAACTCTCTCTCCCGTAGATAAATCGCTGTTGCTAGAGGATGAGATGAACGGCTCCATTACAACGGCCGCTATGCGCATATTGATGTTGAGGAATGCAGCTTACCACGAACCACGACCGGCAAGGGAACTCTAAAAAGGGTGCATAAGATTTATCTCCGTCTACCAAAGCTTAAACTCTAGACATGCCATTTCTCACTAGCATTTCTTGCTTTATGTATGTAGTCACTAAGACGTATGTGAGAGTCTGTCAGAAGGATTTAAGTGCCATCGGATGAGCGGGGAGAAAGTAGCTCATGTTGGATTCCAACCCGATAATATAATTGCGAGCAGGTACAAGGCATATTCTTGCAATTGCTCAATACCCTGCTTAAAAAAAGACGGCAAGGGTCTAAATTCCTGCAGATAATACAGATGCAGTTAACTGCGGGCCGAGTACTTGTGGGGGGTCGAACTCCATGTGGGCCGAGCCGGTGAAGTTACA